GTAGCTGGCATGCGTCGATGAAGAGTGCGCGTAGCTTGGGGGTGGGATATAGCTAGCATGGGTCGAAGTCGAGTGGGCGTAGGTCGTCGGAGGCGGAATGTAGCTGGCATGGGTCGAAGTCGAGTGCACGTAGGTTGGCGGTGGCGGAATGTAGCTCGCATGCGTTGTCGACGACGAAGAGTGTGCGTAACTTGGAGGCGGAATGTAGCTAGCATGAGTGGACGACGATGAAGAGTGCGCGTACGACGGAGGTGGTGCATAAGTCTGGTGGGTGGAGGTCGAAGACGAATGTCCGTATGTCGGTGGCGGTTGCACGTAAGTCTGGTGGCTCGACGTCGAGGAAGAGTGTGCGTATGTCGACGGAGGAGGAGCGTACGTGGGATGAGTCGAAGTCGAGGAGGAGACCGGGTACGTCGTTGGATGAGGAGCGTAGGTCTGGTGGGTTGAAGACGAGGTCGCATAAGTCTGCGGCGGTGGCGCATGGTAAGTGGTGGTCGTATAAGGGTAGATATGAGTCTCCGTCGTGGAGCTGTGCGTGGTGCACGAGGTTGCCCAGATGATCGAAGTGCTGACCTTTGGAGTCTCATATCCGACCTTTGGAGGCTCATAATCACCACGCTTGGCATGGCCATTCTGCGTTGGGTAGACCCAAGCAGTCGACTCTGGAAAGGTGTAGGTGTTGTACACTGGCTTGACATCTGCAGACGAGGTGGAGTAAGAGGTCTGAGTGGCGTATGTCGCAGGATAGGTGGTCAAGACGGAGTAACCCTCATGCTTGCTCTCATAAGTTGGCTCTGGTGCTGGGTAAGACTCAGGCGTCTTGGCAGGCGAGATCGAGGTCGATGTGAAAGTCGTGCGTCCACCTGCGCAGGTCTTGCAGATATCAGTGACCGTGATCGTGTGTGTGTGGTCGGCAGAAATGGTGTGCTCGACGACGTTGGTCAGGATCTTAGTATGATCAACGGTCAGAGTGACTGGAGTACCGCTTTGAACGATAGTGATCGTCTTGTTCTGGAGTTGCGGAGCAGCGGTGTGTTCGACGGTGAGAGTAGCTGGATCGAGGGTGTGGTCAACAGTGATCGTCCTGTTCAAGACGCTTGGCTTGGCATCGACAGTGCTGCTGAGTGCAGAGCTGGACGTAGTCGCGGCGGCAGCAGGGTCTTGAGAAGCAGAGGTCTTGTTCGCGGCACCAGTAGCCGAAGGGAAGTTGATGCTCAAAGGCAGGGACGAGGTAGAGCTTCTGACACCAAAAGTTGGCTCCTCAGCCTCAGACTTGGTGTGGTTGTTGAACGGTGCGCCAGTCGAGGCAGTAGCGACTGATGCGCTGGGAGACGCAGTAGTGCTGTTGGACCTTGCATCCACGCGGTTGGCGGAGCACATTAGCACAGTGCGGGCATCCGAGGTGTACTCGCCAGAATGGTCCCTGAGATAGCAGTTGCCGCCGTTGTTGGCATCGCTGATGGGAACAAAGGTCAAACCATTGCACTCCTGGGCATCATCGCAAGCCTTGAAGCATCCAGCAACGTTGGTAGTGAACAGGGATGAATAAGAACCAACGCTGCTGTCGGCCTTGTCATGGACTTCATACTTGACACCCGAGGCGTCAGTATGGAATCTGGTGAGGTTGGCGCAAGGACCATCAATGCGGGCAGCCCCGGAGGTCGCAGCAGGTGCAGCAGCGGAGGTAGCGTTGGCCTTGGAGCTGATAGGAATAGTGACGGACGAGGTCTCCTCGATCAGTTCCATTGAGCTGGTGATCATGCGGACGGAGCTCGTTGCGGTGGTAGAGCGAGCCGAGGTGCTATTCAGAGATGGGACGACGGTGCGGACAGTGGTTGTCTGAGCAGGTAAAAGATCGGTAACGGTGAGTGTGGCCTCTGCGCCGCCGGTGGGCTCGACAACAACGATCTCGGAGGTCTTGGAAGTCAAGATCTCCAGGCCCGAACTGATCAAGGCATCCAGCTTCGAAGTACCAATTGAGGTGGTAGGAAGAGCCTGCAGGCGAGTGATGACGGTAGGGGCAACCGTCAGAGCCTCGGTTGGTGCGCTCAAAGTTGTGACCTCTTCAATGATGTTAGAGATTGGGCGCAAGTTGGTCAAGGATGAGACAGCGGCGACTGGGACGACCGTGGTAAGCTCCTCAACAACGCTGACACCAGAGGTGACGCCGCCCACGACGCTCACAACGGAACCGGATGTTGCTTCGGCTGGCACAGTGCGAGTAATCGTGGAAACGATCCCATTTGCCACGGTAGTCGCGTTGGCAAGACCGCCAATTTTAGTGACAGGTGGGTCAAATGGGATCTGGCGCTTCTCCAATCCTTCAGTTTCAGCAGCATGCTCCTCGAAGATGGTCTGTTCGGAGCCATCTTCTTCAGTGAAGGTGTATGGGACTCCCGAGCCAGTCTTTGATGGCTTAGCTACCACGGTGATGGATGCATCCTTCGTAATAGTCTGGGTAACCTCCTTTACAACATCAGTTGATTCAGTGTGCTCCCTGGTGGCAGCGGTTGGCTCGGCAGACTCGCTCTTGGTGTGCGAACGATGATGACCAGTCTTAGAAGGATGAATCCATTCAGTTGCAGTCTCCGTCGCCTCGAAGCCTTCTTGGCCAGATTCGGTAACAGTCTGCCAAACGGTAGTGAAGATGGTCGTCAGATCTTGAGCTGGCGCAGGAATCGTAACCTCGACAATTGGATGAACAGTGGTCTGCGATCCGCTGGTGATTGTCTCAAAAACCGTGACAGGATCCTGAGAGGCTTGCACATGCTGAACGGCCGTGACCTTGGGTTGGGCGGTTGGAGTCGCAGTCACAAAGTGTGTGACGGTGTGATCGATCCAGCCAGTGACCGTATAGGTGCAAGAAGTCTTTTTCCTGCCCTCACGGTCATGGACAGTGCGAGTCTCGATTGGCCCTGAAGCATCGCGTTAGTGCTGTCAATTGGTCTGTGTGCTGTCAACGTACACTCGCCGTCCTCAAATTGCTGATGGTGAGCACGAGTCGTCTTGCGTGGAGCGGCAGTCGTCTCGTAGCACGTCTTGTGTCTACATGGCGTGGTGGTGGAAGTTGAGGTGGTCTTGGACTTGTGCTTGCCAGCCTCCTCTGCAGAAACGAGTGACAGGGCCGAAAAGCCAGCTGCAAAGATCGTGCCGACCTTCATGGCTGCGGAAACGAGTGACGTCCGGTTGTGGTTGAAAGTGCAAAACAAGATCGAAGAAGAGAAGGGAGAGAAGCGGCCTTTTTACTGTGTCAACTGGGGGAAGAGGGGAAACACGCCGGCAGCTGCGGATGCATTCGTTGAACGTTGATGATGCGATTCGAGAGGAGAAGTGGATAACAAAGCTAAATTGGGATGCAGAAGAGCCTAAGCTGTGGTAGCAAGTGGCGCCAATAAGGAGATAATCAACTTACCGTTTGTGTGGTTGCAGCTCACAGTGGACCTTACTCTGTTCACGTAAGCTTGCAGCCACGCCATGACAGCATAGACACCTTCGATTCGGCGAGCTGTCTGCAAACATCGCCATCTTGCGCAAGGTATCGGTTCGCTGGGGAATGACGAGATTGTGTCGACACCAAGCTACCGAACGTATTGACATCGGCCGTTCCATGGTGTGCTCCACAGGCGCCCTCGGTTCCTCGTGCAAATGCGAAGATAAACCAAGTTCCTGCATGAGAGGCTGCGAAGAACTTTGATAGCCCAAGCTCGTGCCATTTCCAGCTTTTGTCGTACCAGAGGGAATTAAAGCCGTGTTTGCATACCAGCGATCACTCGTTGGAGTTATGAATCCTTGATAGAGGTCGCTGGAACTCCTTCCCTGTCTCAGAGCAACGCTGAACTCGGTTCTCAGTATTATCGTCTATGCTCTGTTACAATAATGCTGTTCATGATTAAAAGACCTTGATCCACTTTATTGCCCTCGTTTTGATTCGAGAAAGATTTTCAAGAAGGCAGACATCTGCTCCGTGTAAAGACTTAATTGTGGAGCTCGTTATCGTAGATGAGGTGTACTTTGGGTCGAAAATCATGAATAATGATGGATGCTGACCATTGGAAGTACGCGACAGGAGAAGAGGTCGAAGAGGTGAGGTCGAGAGAAACCTTGAATCTACGTCCGTGCGCTGCCGCGGCAACAGCGGGTACAGCCGATGTTGACAAACACGACTCACGCGACATCTGATCTTCAACTTTGCGCCAGCAGCATCTTCAGACAACATCTACAGCGCATCGCCAATATGCCGACCATGGACTATAATCCGCGCATGAGCATGGCTCCTCGCAGCTCTCAGCAGCCCACCCAGCAGAAGCAGAAGAAAGAGGATGACGGCGATGCATTCATGGTGCTGGTAAGAAGACGTCTTCAAATGACACTGCACGGCGCATGCTGATATTGGTCTACAGCCCGACAAAGAGATCGCCGGATGTATAAGTGATATCGGCATCAACTTCAGCGTCGAAGACCTCCGCAAACCGAACCCCCAGCTCATCCAGAAAGTCTTCGAATGGTTTGCCGAACTCCTCACCAACACAACCCGCGAGGTGGTCGCGCCGGCGATGCGCGCTGCGGCGGAGGACATGTGCGGCGACGATGCAGACCGAATCTTCACATCAGACACACGCGAGCTCATGGGGTTCTTCATCACAATGCGCAAGCTGCTGATGGAGTGCGGGATCAAGGACTTCACGTTCAGCGACATGTACCGACCGACGCATCCCCGGCTCGTCAAGATTTTCAGCTACATTATCAACTTCATTCGGTTTCGGGAGAGTCAGACGAATGTAATTGATGAGCATTATAATAGCTCGGAGAAGACGAAGAATACGATTGAGCAGTTGTATCTGGCGAATCAGGAGAAGGAAGAGCAGGTACAGGAGATGGAGCGCAATGCGAAGAATGTCGAACATGCGATGAAGGATAAAGAGCGACGGAATCAAGAACTGAAAACACGGCTGCTTGAGTTGAAGAAGGCTCAAGAACGCGTAACAGAAAAGCTGGAACGCGTCAAAGGCGAGCAATCCCGGCTGAAGTCCGTCCTGGAAGACAAAACAAGCGCAGTCATGAACATGCGCAGCGAAGCCAACAAGCTCCGTCCATACACTGAGCAGTCCCCGGCAGCTCTGGAACAGTCACTCCGGGATCTCTCGTCCAACCTTTCCGCCGACAAGAACGAAATCGACCGCCTCGACCGAAGATCCCGCGCCCTCCAAACCTCCCTCGACACATTCACCCTCCTCCAATCAGACATCTCCTCGTTATCACGACTCCTCTCCGATCTCCACAACGAAATCCTCAAAGGGGACGAAGAATCCCGATCCGCGGCCAAGAATCGAGAAGCACTGACGGAGAAATCCAACAACGTTCGAGAAGTGGAGCGGCAGGAGAAGATGCTGAGGAAGCAGCTGCAGCAATGGCAGGACCGCACCGAGAAACTGCGACGAGATGCGGAGACGAGGGCGGCGAACGCGAAGGCGAAGATGGAAGCTTTGCGGGCGACGCATCGAGAGCTCACGGCGGAGAGGAGGGAGAGGGGCGAGGAGGTGGAGAAGAGGAGAGTGAGGATTGAGCAGACGGAGAAGAAGGTAAGCAGATATATGTCCTTTCCATTCGGTTCCGAAAGCTTTGACTGGGTCTGGGTACTGGTGGGGTGGAGGCTTTATTGAATTACCGTACCGTGCGAAGGTCTTGAGCTTGTGCTGACGATATCGTGTTCTAGATGGCCGATCTGAAGGAGCAGATCGAGCATGAAGTGCAGAGCGCCAGGGAGGAGTATATGAAGATGGAGAGCCATATTCGGCTGTACATCACCGAGATGGAGCAGAGCATTTGAGCGGTTCTTTCATGAAAGAGGATGCTGATGACGTGGACGATTGCATGATCTGACGTACAGCTATGGCGTCTGGGAGTGTTGTACAGTCTGGCTTGACGATAGATACCCGCATGGCGTCATGGCAAGTCCTTCAAACTGGCATTTTGAAATCGCTTTCACCTTCCACAGGGCACGTTGCCTTCGAATCTGTTGTCTTCCAAGTCAGTGACAACTCAAAGTTTCAGGAATCGGTGTCAAATTCAGAGGAGGTGTGTTTGATCAGTGTAAGTAACAATGGTGTCCACAAAATGTGTTCAGAACAGGTCTGTGATATAATTGTTGTGTTTCATCAGAGGAGGATGATTGGGAAGAATGGTGCGATGCTTACCTGTTCATTATAGTGGTCGATCGAAGTGGTGTTGGTCTGACAGAACGTTGCATCCTGTCGATAACAGGATATCAAATGCTGTCCAGCGAAGGCATCTTTTCGAAAAAGCACCACCTCTCGGCAACGGACTTGATTTTGACAGTCCTGCCGACAGACAGCTCACCCAACCGCTTGGTAGTAACGTTCAGGATGGGAAGCTCTTCCTCCCATGGACTTGTTGGTGCTCGGGCCTCAGCAGTCTGCAGCTCCTCTCCAAGGTTTGATATAGCATGCGGCTTCGCGATGTCGGCCATGACCAGCTTGCTCCCGGTATGATGAGCAGCTTCAGTGGCCACCGAGAAGGTGCGGTTCAAACCTTGCGCAGAGAAAGCTGAAGTAGGCCGATGCAACTCGATGGGATTGAGGATTGCCATGATGGGTTGAGCAGAAGGCAGCCGCAGAGCATCATCTTGTTCGACTGATCTCTTCGCCACGGTGATGGTGTATGTCGCGAGGTAAGCTCTGAGATGTGTGATGTCCGGACAGAATGCGAGCTTCAGCGTCCTTGATGTCGATAGCAAGCGTAGAGTAGGAGTCTGCCATAGCCGTCGAGGATTGATCGCATGCTGCTCATCCTGGGAGCTTTGAGGCTCGCCTTGCAGTGCTTCCAGGAATGTAGCCTTTGTTGAACAGACTACCAAGGTCGAAGGTACTGCGTGGTTGTCGAGAACGTATTGGATGAAGTCGTGGATACTTTGTACATCCAACACAACGGGTCTGGAAGCTGCCATGTTGTGCTTGAATTTCAGTGCTGTGAAGATCAATCAGGAAGCAAATGTGTCAGGGCGGCCTGTGTTTGGTGTGTCGCTGACGCCCATGGCTCTGCCGAGTACGCATCTTCTGATGGTTCTGCAGATCTACGTTGAGGTGTTCTTGAGGAAGAGAAGTCGTCCGAAAATCGTGAAGCAATTCCGCGATGCTTGGCAATTCCTGCCTGAGGCTCTCCAGATCCGTCCCACTTCACCTGCACCTGTCCCACGGACTTTGGTCAAGGCAAGTGCGACCATTAAAACGACTCTGGGTCGTACTTGACCTGAATCCGGCAGTGGCACAATGGAGTCAATCTCGCGCATCAGCTCCATGCTGGAGACTGGTAAACATCCACCTTTCCCTCCCAATGGAGAGCATTCGCTGGGATCTGCCACTGACACAACTCAAAGCACGCGACTTGACTCTCGAAGCTGCCAAAGATGTCGGGCCGCGCAAATCGACTCGACCGCTGCCGGCGGCCCAGATCAAGAAGATGTTGGATAGTAGGAATGAGAGAGATGTGCTGGATGGATTGCGCAGAGTTGTAGCGGTAGGATATGAGAGGACATCGAAGCTTGAATCGGTGTTGACGAGAAGCTCCAGATGCAATATGCCAATCCTCCACAACCTACTTTGACCTTCTTCCCGGCCGTCCTGAAGACTCTGTCGAATCCGTATCCTTCTACGAGACCATTGGTATATAACTACCTCATTCACCATGCCGAAGCCGACCCCGATACCGCTCTTCTATCAATCAACACGATACAGAAATCATTGTCGGATTCGAATCCACGAGTAAGAGCTATGGCTTTGAAGACTATGTCTGGGATCAGAGTTCCCGTGATATCGCAGATTGTGAGCTTGGCTATCAAGAAGGGTGTTAGCGATTTGTCGCCGTTGGTACGGAAAGCTGCTGCGCTGGCCTGCGTGAAATGCGTAAGATTGGACGCGACAACACGGCCACAGGTGGAGGACTATATCGAGGCCCTTCTAGCTGATAAGCAATACTACGTTGCCGGAGCTGCGGTCCAAGCGTTCACGGAGGTCTGCCCGGATCGATTCGACATGATACATCCAGTATATCGACGTCTTTGCAAGATGACCGTCGACATGGATGAGTGGGGTCAGCTGGCTCTGATGAAGCTTCTGACTGTATACTCAAGGAAGTGCTTCCCGCGAAGGACGAAACGAGTGAAACGTGTTGCTACCCAGGAGCAGCGAGCCAAGGACTTTTACGAAGACTTGGAGCCGGAACATGAGACTGAGGACGCCTACGAGGAAATCGAATTCATCGATCCAGATCTTGACTTGTTTCTGAAATCCATACAACCTCTACTCTCGAGCCGCAACTCCGCAGTCATTGTCGCTGTCACGAGGGCGTACCTGTACCTCTCCCCAACGAAATATCTCCACCATGCTATTGGGCCGTTGATCGCCCTTCTTCGAGCGCCACACGACATCAAGCAAGTGGCTTTATACAACATCGTTCAGGTCTGTCTGATACAGCCAGCGCATTTCACTTTTTACTTCCGCCACTTCCTGATCCACTCTACTGAGGGACCCAATGTCTGGCGACTGAAGCTGGAAATATTGACGCTGATCTTCCCATACAGTGGGAAAGAGGTTCAGAACCTCATTCTTGCGGAGCTTGAACACTTCTCGAAGGGGCATGATGCTCAGCTGGTTCGAGAAAGCGTGCGCGCCATCGGCCGATGCGCTCAGTCTTCGAGCTCTTCGACATCGAGAAGATGTTTGTCCCTACTGCTCAAGCAGATCCACAGCTCTGACTCCAATCTCGTCGGCGAGGCGATGGAAGTCATCCGGCATCTAATCCAACGCTCTCCCGACGAACATCGCAAGACAGTCATTCGATTGGCGAAGAACTTGGACTCTCTGACTTCATCCACAGCGCGCGCAAGCATCGTCTGGCTCGTAGGTGAATTTGCAGGCTACGATCCGGAGAACAACATCGCCGCGGACGTGCTAAGAATCCTGGTGAAAGGATATGCAGACGAGAGCGACGAAGTGCGGGCGCAAATTATCTTGCTCGGCGCGAGAGTCTACCTCCATCACTTAAATGCCAAGAACTCGAAGCGAAAGGCCTTAGACGCTCTGGTCTCGGACCAAACATCTCAGCAGAACTCCAGCACAGTCCTCTCTCCAAGCGGCGAGGAAGAAGAGGGCGGTTTCGGCAAAGACGCATTGGCTCAAAGCCAAGCTCCGCCCGAAGAAGAGCAAGAAGAGCAGCACGTCATCGACCTCCTATACCAACACATCATGCTCCTCGCCCGCTACACCCCCTCGTACGACCTCCGCGATCGTGCTCGTCTCTTCCGCTCCCTACTCGCCATCCAGTCGAGCACCGAACTCGCCTCCTTACTCCTCCTCGCACCCAAACCCGTCCCACAGGCCCCGTCACCGAGCGAAGCGCGCAAGAACCTCACTCTCGGCTCTACAAGCCTGGTCGTTGGCGAGGGGCCTCTGAGGGGATACGAGGCGATTCCGGACTGGGTCGAGGAGGGACGAGAGCCAGATCCGAAGTTGAGGGATGATGGTGGACGGGAGGAGTACATCGCAGGTGGGAATAAGAGTGTCAACGCGGCTGCTGGGGGGAGACTTGATGAGGCGTTGGCGAGTGATCCTGGATATAGACCTGAGGCTAGCGGTGCGCCGAGGAAAGAGAAGACGTTGGATGCTTGGTTGGATGAAGAAGAGGATGAGGAGGAGAGTGAGGAGACGGAGAGTGAGGAGGAAGAGGAGACTGATGATGAGGAAGAAGAGAGCGAGTATGAGACGGATAGTGAGGAGGATGAGAGGGCTGGGCTGGTGAAGTAGATGCCTTGTACAGAGAGCGTAGATATGCGAATGCATGAGATACCCGGGTCGCGAACTTCATGTCGCTTGACACCGTAGTCGCAAATGGGGCGAAACGCTACTTCGCAAGGCAAAAGACGGAGAGCTGAACGTATGACCAGACGATGAGAGCGAAAGGTACGAGACAGGTGGGAATCTCGATCAGTTTACGAGAGTGACAACTTATACAAGTAAAGGAAGAGGAAGAAGCCTTTTCATGGGGGACCACCTGCCAACTTCATGGCCAGCCGCAAATGCGACTCGCAGCCAACACCGATCCAGCAGCAGCATCAGACTTGTCCTGGATGTATACCGCGAAGCATCTCCAAAATGTCCACAGGCCTGCCTGTCGGCGCTTGGGGGCGTTTCTACCACCGGTTGCTGCAATACTTCATTAGTGATGCTCAACACAATTGGAGAATGCACTCAACACATACCTCTCATGACCACCATCAACCCTCGCCTGCTTCCGTTTCTGCCGTGGCGTGTCCTCGTCATCTTCATACAAAGGCTCCAGAGCTGCACCGGCTGTCGAGTCGGCATAGCTACGTTTTCGATTCTCGTTGCGTGGGACTTTCGGCCGTGGAGTAGTCTGATCGTCTGGCTCGGCGTCGAAGTCTGAGCCGTTTGCTGTTCGATGGCTGTGTGCTGAGCCGGGTCGGTGACCGTTTGGAGCGTACGTGTCGCGTGTAGGTGAGGGTTGCCGTCCAGCATGTGCTGATGGTGGCGGGATGTTGAATCCGGGAAGCGTACTGGCTGAGTTGGTTCTGCTCTTCGAGGGTGGTGGTGGCCCAAATGCCGGACCAGGGGTTTGGTAGACCGTCTTAGGGGAGCCAGTGACGCCCAGCGCCGCGAGGATTTCCTCCTGACTCTGATCACGGACAGCTGGCAGGGGCTTCGGTCGGCTCAGGTTTTGTGATGATACTGAGTTGTTTCGCGAATGTCGATGGTGGTGCACGCTGCCCCTGCTAGTTGGCCGCAATGCCTGCTCCAAGTCGTCCAAAATCCCGTTCGCTGGCTCTGATCTCTCTCGCGTCGCTCCGAAAGATGCTTGCCTCTCATCTACTTCCATCGTCGAGCGGTCGTCTGCCGGTGTCGGCTCTCTGTCCAAGTCAGGTGTGATGGATCTTGCAGAGAAGCGATCGGCCTCGGCCCATTTGGGATCGTAACGGCAGCGATACTTTTCAAGCAGCTCAGCAAGTGTAATGACTTCAGAGCAAACAACTGAGAACTCCTTGAAGATGAGGCTGTTCTTGATGTCCTCCCAAGAATCAGTCTGCCGTACACTCAAGAATGCCTCGTCGCGCTTGATCCCGCTGAAGTATTCGGATATCGATTCGCCGTCTGTGGGCAGAGGCTGTCGAGGGGCCAAGGCTTCCAGTTCGGCTTCACCAAAGGTGGCTGGCAGTGCTCGCTTGGTGGGTAGAGGTGCTTTCCACTCAATTAGTCCCAAGCTCAACTCAAGGTTGATCTCGTCTGGATGCCGTGCGAAATAGCACTCGCCATCAAATTCGTGTTCCAATTCATCGCCAGTCGTCATCACATCATCCATAGGGGGCATCGGGTCGCCATTTCCATCGATAAGAGGCCCACTGATTGGAAAGGGAGCTGAATTGTGTCGTCGAGCATTGTGGTTCATGGCGTTCGAAGGTGGTTGCCATAGCGGCGGAGCACTCTGAGGTGTCGTCACTGGTTGCTGCCATCCCTGTTGAGGTGGAGGAAAGTAGCCTTGCTGCTGAGGATATGGTTGTGGTTGATACTGCGGCTGTGGGAACTGTTGATAGGGAGGCTGCTGATATCCTGGGTATGCGGGCTGCGGGTATCCTGGCTGCCATCCGGCCTGTTGTCCAAACGGCGGTTGAGGTTGTGGAGGTGGCCTGTATCCAGGAGGCGGAGGATAGCGAGTGATGATTGGGCCATTTCCTCTCGATTTCTTCGCTGGCGGCGGGCCACTGTGGCAGTCAGTCGAGGCGCCAAGTGAGCCTGCACTGTGGCGGGCCTAAGATTAAGTAGACGCACCTGTAATGTTGACCTTGACCCTGGTAAGAAGGAAATTGCGAATTGTTATACATGCTGACGGGAAAGGCGTTCTTCTTTTTGACAATGCAGGAAGGCTCTCAGAGAGACAGTCGTGAAAGTATTAGAAGGCTGCGGCACAGGCAGAGGCGTGTATCGCTAAGAAAAGGTGTCTGACGCGAACATGGAAATCTTGGGCTTTGAGAGGCGAGGTGAGGTGTAAGGAGATAGCTGGCGGAATCCGTTCCCTTGTGTGTTGTCTTTGTAGCCTGCGTCAAGGCTGTTTGCTTTGCAGAAAGCCGGGGCCTTGTTGTCTCATCAACAAGCTTTCAAAAGGGATGGCAGGCAATCAAGGTCGCCGCTGCCAACGCATCACGGGTGTGCGTAGGGGTGGGTGATTTCGAGCAAATAATCAGTCCATTGATCGTGAGGGTCCAGGCGGTATTAAAAGGTCTCCGGGCATCGAAAAAGGGATGGGAGAAGGAAGCGAAGTGAAGTGAAGTGGGCAGCAACAACAAGTCAGAAGTTCAGAGGCCAGCGAGACGCAGATGCGATGCGGCCCAAAGCGTCGGCACGAGCCGAGAAAGCTTGGCATGCCCGTGCGCGCCGCGATGGCAACGTCCTCGAGTTCGAAGGACGACGGCGAATGCAGCTCGGCGGCAAAAACGACTGCAACACGACGCCGCCGCTGCTTATACACGCACTCTTCGCATGTCTCGATGATGGTCACAGTCAGCCTGCATGTGCTCGCCTTGCTATATGAGGCCACCCCGTCCTAATCCCTCATCTCTGCCCGCAATCTGCGGTCGTTTCCCCTTTTAGAAACACGGTCGAATAAGATATGCCTGGTCTGCCCGGTACGATATGGCGCTACACAAACGATACTATGGTATATGCTGATGGTGTCTTATAGCCAGCGTCGACCTGGACGAATGCATCGATCGCCTGTACCGCAAGGAGCTGCTCGCCGACTCCGTCATCGAGGCAATATGCGCCAAAACGAAAGAGCTGTTGATGAAGGAGAGCAATGTCGTGCACATACAGGCGCCTGTCACGGTCGTCGGTGACATTCACGGACAATTCTTCGACATGATAGAGATCTTCAAGATTGGGGGATACTGTCCAGACACGAACTATCTCTTCCTGGGTAGGTCACGCGACCACCAAGAATGACATGGAGGAGGGCATGGCTGACGTATACTGCAGGCGACTACGTTGACCGCGGTCTGTTCAGCATAGAGACGATATCTCTGCTCGTCTGCCTCAAGCTACGTTACCCACAACGCGTGCACCTCATCCGGGGCAACCACGAAAGCAGAGGTGTCACACAATCCTACGGCTTCTACACCGAATGTAGCAGGAAATACGGCAATCCAGCCGTCTGGCATCACTTCACCGACATGTTTGACTACTTGAGTCTTTCATGCGTCATCGACGACAAGATATTTTGCGTTCACGGCGGCTTGAGTCCCAGCATTCACAGCATTGACCAGATCAAGATCATCGATCGCTTCCGAGAGATTCCTCACGAAGGTCCTATGGCAGATCTGGTGTGGTCGGATCCGGATGGCGAGCGCGACGAGTTCAGTCTGAGTCCCCGTGGCGCTGGCTATACTTTCGGTGCGCAAGTCGTCAAGAAGTTCCTCGAAGTCAACAGCATGACGCACATTCTTCGGGCGCATCAGCTTTGTAACGAAGGATATATGGTCATGTTCGATGATCGTTTATCGACAGTCTGGAGTGCCCCCAACTACTGCTACCGATGTGGCAACCTGGCCAGTGTGCTCGAAGTCGGACCTGGTGGCGAGCGTAAATGGAACGTTTTCGACGCCGCACCCGAGAACGAAGCACACAGGCTGGAACAGCAGAATCAGCAACAGCATGCTGGAAACGACCCTGTCAGGGACTACTTCCTCTGACATCCTTTACAACTTTCGATCATTGTTCTGCATTCACATGGGAAGGAAGATACCACTATACAGCGGTGCATAAGGCGGCGTTCGGCTGGATCACGAGTTTTCTTCCGTTCTTCTTGCTTAGAAGTCACTTCTGCAATTCGATACCCACATTTGACATTACAACGACATGTACTCGTTCATTTCGGTTACCTCCCTACCCCCAGCGTCATCATCTCCGCCCCAGAGATCACAACCTCTCTTCTTAATCTCTGGCCCCCTTCATCGCCCACCTTCACAAAAGCAGGGAACACCACAATCTCATCAGCCCCATGCCTCTCACCGCCCCAATCAAACCTCCACGTCGTTGGTTGCGAAAACAGCGTGTACCCTATTTGCGCCCCAAGATTGATCAACATCTCGAGATCCTTTGAACGCTGGCGGCCGAGCTTCGGTTTCACATAGGGCTGCAGAATTGGGGCCAGGTCGTTTGTGAGGTTTACGATGTTAGGTCTGCGAGGGTCGTGGACGTCAAGCTCGGGGGAGGAAGATGTGGAGGTGGTGCTGTAGATGGGGGAGAGGAGGGAGGCGGTTGTGTGGCGGGTTTGGGAGTGGGTTAGGGAGAGGTCTGGGATGGGGTTCAGTACGGATGGAAACAGGGGGATTGAGATTCTGCATACCATCACTTTGCTGATATTGTCCAGTTTCCATACTCCCAATCACCCTCACCAGCTCAGGAGGCAACAGCGTCCGATCCAGCGGCGCCGAGACCTCGATATTCCGAAGAATTGACCACGCGATCAGCATTCGAATCGCAGCGAACCTCGTCCTCGGCTCTCGCAACAGTGCATCCATCGCGTTCGCATCGAGAGGTGCTCCTTCGTCCAGCACTTCGGTGAGCTTCATGAAGCCGGAATCAACGTGACTCGGTTTTGGCGACGCCGGTACGACGTCCGTGATATAGAACATCTCGACATGGGTCTTGATGTTCGATATGAGCGGCACAAGGAGAGAAGCAAGCTGGTGATCCGGTAGCGGCGGTAGTAGCTCAATACCCGTACTGGTCGTGGTCGTCTGTCGACCAATCGTGCTAGCCTTTCGCTCTGGCAAGGACGAGGGTATCGGTGCCATCTCAGTTGAGACGCTGAGGATATCCCCTGCTCTATCACTTTCGGCCCATCGAGGAGTCGGCTGCTGCATGCGATGTCTTCTACGGCGGTAGAGGTAGAACAGGACTCCGAGGGCGATTAGAGCGAGGCCGCCGCCTATGCCTGCTCCTATGCCTATGCCAGTGACGGCCAACGGTGGCAGTGCTTCTTCGTCTGCGGCCTCGGCGGCTGCGAGTTCGCTGCTGCTTGTTGGTTCTTGCGTGGGGATCGTAATGAGCGTAGTTCCGGTGAGAATGCTGGTAACCAGGGTGAAAGAGGTAGTGGCGATGGTGGTGGTTTGTCGTCCAGATGCGCCTGTCACAGAACCGGAAGCCGGTGTCGTAGCAGAGGACCCAGAATTCGAACTCTCGCCAGGGTTGGCACTATTGGAGGTTGAGGACGCTGGTTTTGTGGAAGGCGAGGTATCTATATCATTGTCAGCGTGATATCTCGATGAGGACCGAATCACTTCTTCGACGCACTCATGGTTGGCGTGAAGTCCACCGCTATTACTGGTGGCGAAGGCCCAACGTTCGTCGATATAGTAGTGCGGAAGACATCTGTGTTCCATAGAGTTTATGGCTGCGACAACGTCGAAGTCGTATTGGCGGCTGTATTTGTAGGATCTGGATACGTCCACGTAGTGACGAAAGTCCATTCCGTCGAGAAGGACATGCTGATGTTGATCTGCTCGTGAACAACGGTAGGGACTGAGTCTCGGCCACTGACGATTGTCTTCTATATCGTGAAGAAGTTCAACAACTCCAGTCGCAACTCTCCGTCTGCAACGAGGTCGGCATCTCGAATTCATCATCACACCGACAACGGCTATTTGCAGTCATGGTGATGGATCCGTCGCTCGTACCACATAGCTCTAAAAACCACTGGCTGCTCTGGCGTTGATGTGCAACCAAACGACCCCTTTGCCTTCTTGTTTGCCTCACACAGCTGCTTCAGAACGACTGATCTGCGGACTGCAAGGTACAAAGTGTCTGGTGCGCTGGGAGAAGTCGTACTGCCAGTACGACGGACATGCCTCGAAGCTCATGTTCATCGTTCGTGAGTTTGTGGGTTTTTGGTGGCTATGTCTCGCCGTTCTGAAGCCAGGCTTCACGTCTTCGTCTCCGATCGTCGACACTCGAGCGTCTTGTGAGATTGTCTGGAACGGCCAGGCTGGCTTCTTGATTGATATCGTTTGGGATGTCGTCTTGAGCTATCGACGCATGATTGCTTTGCTCGGGATAGCTCCTTCTTCGTTCCACGGCTTGCTGCTGCTGGCCTTCTCGATCCAGGCACAAGGCTTCAACGGCTCGAAAAGCTCTCTCGAGATCTGTCCATCAAACGTTAGCTCAGTCACGATCCCATCCGCAGCATGACAGACCTTCAGAGAGCGTGCGTGAGTACGTCGGCGGAGCAATATCAAGCAGCTGCGAAGGACTCTTGCGGGGCCTTCGCGAATAGGGAGATTGCAAGAAGCTCGCCTCCCCATAATTGCCGTTCCCTTCGTCTTTGCTATCTATCATCTTCGCCGGGGTTGGGGGTGTCAGTGAAGGCTGCAAACTCTGTGTATAGCTAGTAGCCGCAAGCAGATTCGGGTGGCAAGTACTTAACCAATGCTGCAGCATCAGCACCCTCTCATTTTTCGAGAATACCCACTCCAGCCGATGCTGGAACGTCACCGGCCTCCCCCTGACTCCGTCGATCCGGGCATTCTCGACCGTCTCCCCTATCCTTTCAAGCACGCGGTTCGTGTCCGTGATGATGCCTATGATCTATTCTGAGGCTCTCCTTGTCGTTGAAATCTTGGAGGGCTTCGGCTCGGTCGACACTGACTCCCTCGATGAGTTAGCTGAAGATTGTGATGTCTTCGGGGGCTCGCTGGACGGAGAGGCAGAAGTCTGCGAGGCGGAAGGTGGCATTGATGGAGGTTTCGACGGCTGTTAGTGGTTCGACGGGCATGTTGGACTGAGGGTCGGCGTTCGTAGCACGATAACAGCGTGCGATGTGGACTTGGCAGCCGTCGAGGTACTGAGAATGGCTGGGTGGTGTCTCAAAGGCAGTCTTGATGCTGAAAGTCTGCGCTGCCTTTGGGCACAGAGCACACGGCCGTCTCATCTCCCTTACAGAGTCTGAGAGGATCAGTGACGGGGCCAGGATGGCTGGGGGGCCACCCTGGGCAGCTATGCGGCCCCCCTTGGGTGTTTAAGGCAACGCACCATGCAGCCACCCTTGCCAAGGCCCGACCTGTGGGCGAGGTGGTTGCAACAAGATATCGGAGAGCATCGTTACATCGGCTCCATCAATCTGTCCGGGTCGACATCAGGAACAGTGGGACGCAGTCAGGAATTTCGAAGTACGCTCGCCTCAACCCTTGCTACATCAGCTTTCCAGAATCTTACCCAACATTCACCACTTGCTTGATATTACAATGCCGCGGAGGATCTAGTCTCATCCCTTCATCGTCCTCCACTTGCACCAAATCAGGAAACACCACAACTGCCTTTGCAGATTTCGTCTGAGTAGCCTGCCAATCGAACGTCCAGCCCGTAGGCTGCGTGAGCAAGGTATATCCACTCTGCGCGCCCAACTTGATAATCTGCTCCATGTTACTTCTCCAGTTCGAGCTTTCTCCAGACGACGCAAGTGGTTCTAGAATTTCATCGAGTAGGTCGACCAGTTTTTTGAGGTTGTTATGATTGAGGATCTGAACGTCTGATGGATGGGACCCGTATGTAGGAGCTATGAGAGCGCCGGTGAGGTGGCGCCATTTGCTTAGGAGAGTCGGATCTGTGGGATCGTCAGCCAGTGCTCACAGCTATAGATTGGGAAGGGACCCAATTTACCAGCATTCGTGTTGTCTCCGAGCGTACGCAGGCTTCCAGCAAACTCAGGAGGTAGCAGCGTCGAATCAGGGGAGGCTCGAGGGTCAATGTTGGACACGATGGCCCAGCCGAGCAGGAAGCGTACCGCGATAACTCGTTCAGGACCGTTCAATAGATCAGCAAGTACTTGAGCATCGACTGGCGCGCCCAGACCAAGGACTTCATCGAGGGTCCTGTGACTGCTGATCTGCTTTGCCGCTCCGACCCCCATTGAAACCTGACTGAAGAAGCTGTACGCATGATTCTGAATCATCGTGCTGAGTGTCGAATACATTCGTACCAGTTCACTGTTTTCCGTTGGTGGTGGGAGCAGTGGCAGGCTAGACCCGACGCCATTGCGCTGCAAAGGAGACAGGACAACCCCTGGGGTCTTATCCAATCTTGGAGGACTGTCATCGGAGGAGGTTGACCGTATATCACCAGAGCCACCGTAGTCTTTTGGTTTTGACGACTTGCTCCTAATGATGAAAAAGGCAACGAAGAGAGCGAGCATAGCACCAGCAGCGGCACTTCCAATGCCGATGCCTGCTGCTGCTCCCGACGAGAGCCCGTCTGTCTGTGGTAGAAATGTCTCGCTGGCGGTGGTGCTTGATCCTGTTCTTGAGCTTGTGCTGCTGCGATCGGAAGTGGTGGTAAAGGCAGACACGCTCGCATTAGGCGAGGCTTTTGATGTGCTTGAGGACTGCCCAGAGGATGTACCGACTGCGGTAGTCGTCATCAGAAGTGGGCTCTCTCCACGCGCTCCACCTTGACCAACTGTCCATGATGTGTTTGAGCCTAGCCATGTCTGCTGTAGAGTATGTGTCGTCGTCAGTTGCACCTCGCCAAGACTGACCCTCAGTGGGGCCATTATGGTCATCGTTTCGCCCGCCGTCGGAGAGGTAATCCATGTTGTAGACTGGGTGACGGTGACCGAACTGTCTATGCCGGTGGTGGATAAAGGATAGTATACTTCGAAATTGTATGATCCGCTCGCCATATCAGACGTCGACGAGGTGAGTAGTTTGTTGTCTTGAAAAGTTGCCAACCGCAGCGAGCTACAGTAAGAAGTCGCAGGGAGAGTCCGTCGCCCCAATCTCGAGGCTGTGAAACAATCCAACCCACGAGGTGATTAACATCGATCGGAACAGACAGCCCAAAGCTCTCATTCGGAACCAATCCCCAAATTATCGAGTCCATTAGCCTGTTAGCTAATACAAATGGGCTGGGCTTGCTCTGCCACACGGACATGGGGGTTGCTCTTTTAGGTGTGTTTAAAGGAAGGGGGCTAGTCTTTACGCCAGATATCGCAGCCGCTGTAGAGCTACCCCGACATGAAGGATATAGATCATCCGGAGCCTTGTTCAAATATGGACTGGCGTAAAAACGTTCTTCAGCTGAAGCGGCAGATCGATATCAGGCTCAAATTTGTCCTGGACTGAGCTCAGGTCAGTAGAGTACAGACTACCTGCCTAATCTGATCGACTTATATCAGTATGCACACCCATACCTCGGCCCCTGAGCGTCAAAGCGTACGAACAAGGTAAATACCCATGCATCGATTTTGTTGAGTGGCGCAATCGCAATCCAATCAACACTTCGAACCCCCACGTTCTGTGCCGCAAACGAAGCTCATACAGCACGAAGCTGCGCGCTCGTGCAGGCTCTCCCTCTAATTTTGGACCGCGTTCTTGCCTTTATCCTTTCATCGGCTCGGACGGTGGCATGTCAATGTCTTGGTGGAGATGATGGTCTGGCTTTAAAGGCGCGATTTGAGGCCGTGCAGGGGCTTTGGTATAGGGGTGGTGATTTTTCGCCCTGACAGATGTAACGCGAGGTCGTGGTCTTGGCCCCTGGTAGCTGTTTTAGATACCCATCTTCTTGAGCCATAGCCTTAGAGGGCGCCCACTGACGTGTTTGCCTCGAGGACAAGTGTTTTAGAGCCCGAGTGCTTCAATGCCCTGTGTTTGCGCTGCCTTTGTTAGCCAGAACAATGATGTGAAGCTCCTGTGCCAACTACGAGCACGAACGGTTCAATGAAGAGAATGTCGTCCAACGGGACACACCACGCCATTATGCCAGACTTGGTTGTTGGCATCGACTTTGGCCAGACATGCACAGGTCTGAGACGCCCAAAGCCTTCTCTTGATGTCTGCTAACGCATTTACCCGGTAGGCGTGGCCTATGCCGTCCCAAGCCAGACAGGTAACAACGTCCGCTGGGTCCAACACTGGCCCGGACGCTTTCAAGCAAACGAAAACAAAGTCCCCACGATCCTTGTATATCCACATCGTCAGAAAGAGCCGTCGTCATGGGGCTTCGGTTGCGACAACCAGGTCGAATCCAACGCCAATTACGGCGTGACTTGCGACTGGTTCAAGACGCTTTTGGACCCGATGAATTTGGAGGCGGCGCAAAAGCAAGGATTCCATGATACCACCACGCATGAGGATGTTCGGCATTGGTATCGTGACTACTTCTCCAGGCTGTACAGTCATATTGAGCAGGAACTTCCGCGGGCGCTCGTGAACTTCGAGTGGGCGGCCGCGAAGATTGAGTTTTTATTTAGTATGCCAACGACATGGAACCATGGCCTGGTGGAAGACTTTCGCGATCTCGTTCATGAAGCTGGATTCGGTGGGCCAGATAATCCAAGCCATGCTGTGATCATGAGCTTGACTGAGGCAGAGGCGGCCGCGGTGCATGTCTCAACGGAGAGCGCCGACAGCTTCAGAAAAGGCGACATTCTAGTCGTCTGCGACGCCGGAGGTGGAACAACCGACCTGTGCGCCCTGGAAGTCATCGAAGATATGACCGGGTCCTCGCAGGGAAAGCAGCTGAAGCAGGTGGATGTTGTAGGCGGGGAGAACATTGGCTCCGTTGGGATTGATCTCGGGTTCGAACGAAGGCTCCAGACAAAACTCCAAGAGGCTGATAACTTGAAGAAGCTCGACATTGACATCGAACAGGCGGCATGGGAGATGGCGAAAGGGCCAGACTTCCAAAACGCCAAGTGCGGACATGGTGCTCCGTACGAGCCTCCCCGATTTGCTGTACCGATTCGCAAGCTCCCTGAGCATTACCGAAACGAAGAAGCAGGAATCACGTCCGGACAGATGCTATTCGACAAAAACGAGCTACGACTCCAGTTCGATGTGCAGATTGAAAAGCTCTTTCGACTGATCGACCGACAGATAAGCAGTGTAGTGGCGAAGCTGCCAGATCAGCAACGCATTAGCCATCTTGTCCTCTCCGGCGGTCTTGGACGATCTTCGTACGTTCAGCAGAGACTCATTGAGCATTATCGCAACGGCTCTGTCAAGTATGCCAACACACAAGCCATGGAAGTCCGAGTAGCTCCCGACCCGCAGCTTGCGGTCTGCAAAGGTATTGTTGCCGATCGTCTCCGCAAGCTCAAGGCCGGCCACAGTGTATTGGGCTGGAGATGCTGCCGTGCATCCTATGGTGTTATTTGCCGAGAACTGTACGATAAGCAGAAACATGTCGGCCGGCCGACTTACGTGGATGTGCAGGACAGCAAGCTATATGTCGATAATTGCGTCGAGTGGTTCATTACCAAAGTAAGTCTCGAAGTCGCCGTTCGGGAGCTTCTCTTACGACAATAGGGTACACCAATGTCGGTAGACCAGCCGGTGAGCCGAGAGTTCTTCCGCAAACTCAAACCCGGTCTTAGCGGTCGGAGATTTCCAACAAGAATTGCGGTCTCGTACATGGACAGATCGGTTTTACCAGACTACGTCGAACCCGGCGTGGAGAAGTTGTGCGAAGTAGAAGCCGACTTGACCTTTGCAGATGAGAAGAACTTCAAAGACAAGTATAAGCGTTTCTGGCGGCCGGGTGAGCATGTCCTCGAAGTGCGCTTCACTGTCAAAGTCGTCCTGGGTGCCGCAGATGTCAACTTCCAGCTTTGTGAGTCTTGAGACGTGGGTATGATCGCGAGCCGTGCGCTGACTGAGGAAAAAAGGGTTCGAGAACCAGAAGGTCAGTGCAGACAGCTCGATCAAAGTCGATTGGTTTCCGGTAACGAATCCGCCTATTCCGACAGTCGAAACACCTGTGCCGAGTCCGCGGCATGAAGACCCAAGAAGATCGTCAAAGGACAGGATGAAGCTGCCCTTCATTAAACGGTACTTTAGTGGCGGCTAAAATGGCTCCATATCGCCTATTACACCGTGAGGACGATGGAATTAGCATAGTCTGCATCGAGTGGATTGCAATGACTTGCCTTTAAACCACAGATGACAGTCGCCAAGCGCTCTCTTGTGGATTGAAGCTGTGGTTATAGGAGTTGACATCAGATTGGGGAGCTTAGCATAAATGGGCAGCGCTTGCATTAGATCAATGATATGTCCTTCCGTACATGTTCCTGAGCATTGAATTAGCATATGTTTCGTCAAAAGCTCGATACAGCTACTCACCACAGGCCCTTCATACTCGTGCCTGCCTCTAACGAGGTACCAAACAGTCGCGAATATGACAGCCACTCCATATATCAGACTGACCCAATTCATCGACGCTGGGGTTGGGCTTGGCGCCGCGGGCCAAAACAGGAAGAATGTTGCCGTAACCGAGAAGAGAATCGCGATGATGTTGACAGCGATGCCCAGCAGGCGTGGCATCCTAAATCTTGCTTTTGGCAGCGGTTCTCGAAAGAGCTTCTTCCGGAGCATGCAAGAGATGACGACCACGTATGAGCTAAGAAGTGCGGCCGCCGATATCGATAGAATGATGTTGAAGGCCAGAGTACTTCCAATGATGATCAAGGCCACGAGGCAGGTGATAACCATCGTAACAACCACAGCGTTCATAGGCACTCCCGAGTTCGGTCGTACCTTGGAGAGGAACTTGTGGAATGGAAGTCCTTTGTCGCGGGAGAAGGACCAGATCTGTCTGGAACTCGTGGTGACGGCATTGACCGCGCAGAAGAAGTACATGACGATCATGAGGACCAGGAACACGATCGTGGCAGCCTGCGACTGGGTGATTCGCTGAATGAGTGCAACCCATGGCTGGCCAGTCGCAGAGGCGAGAAGATCGTCGACATTGCCAAGGTTCATCATAAACGTTACGGTAGTGGTGAATCCTAGGGCATAATTGAGGAGCGAGCTGGTGATCATAGCACGAGGAAGGACGTAGCTGGCGTCTTTGAGCTCTTCGGCAAGATGCACAGCGCTGTCGGCACCAAGGTAGGTAGACAGTGGGCCGACAATACTTAAGAGTGTTGCAAGGCCAACGCTACCCCAGCCATTAGCATCGGCGAATTGTGTGAAGACGACGCTAGCATCGTCGCGTGGTCCCTATTTCCATGCAATCAGCGCGCATCCGAGATGTTGCCTGCTTTACCAACCATGACCCAGATCACGACTATGATGGCGATGAAGCCACAAAAGTGGAGGATGACAGCCGAGCCCTCGAGGAATGGGAGCTGCCCAATCATGACGGTATTGAACATGATGGCACAGAAGGTGAACGCGATGGTCAAGAGGGAGCCGTGCCAACTGTGGTAAACATAGTCACTCTTGCACACCGAGATGAGCGCAATGACTTGCTGAGCGCCGATGAAAGCGGTTCCAGGGAGACCAGTCTGCCAGCCTGATGATAATATGAGCATGTGAAGTTCATGGATCAGGGATATGAACGAACCTAGAGCGCTCAACCAACCAATAATGTACGAGAGCATCTTTTGATATTTGGGGGGTGCCAGCTCGGAAACCCTGCAATCAGGTCAATATCACTTGTGGCCATCTCCGACACCTTTTTGCGTACCAATGATATTGGCCACCGGCTGTTGGAGCAATACTTGCCATTTCCGCCATCGATAGCACAGCCGTAAACATGAAGCAGCACACGACCAAGTTCAGCCAGATGGCACCAGCCGTGCCCCCATTGCTGAGTCCGAAAATACTCGTGGTCAATGCAAACTCCCAAGTCAAGCCGAGAAGCATGATATAGCCTCCGATCGTGAAGAATCGGAACCGTCGCTTAGCCTGTCAGCCTACGCACTCCTGTGCCTGATGCTCGATGCCAATGCTCACCTTCAACTCCTGCTTCTTGCCCAGCCTCTTCATATCGCGAACATCGTTCTCTGGATTGTATCGCTGCGCCGCCTGTAAGATATCTCGAAGGTCGAACTCCGATGGCTCGGCGAGCTGAACAACCCCGTCCTTGGACACAAACCTCCCATAGTCGTCGGTGACGAACTCGGGCTTCTCCTGCTCCATGGTCACTGCTCAGTAGGAAGAGTATGCTGCGCAAGGAAGAGAAGCATCTTCCGCCACGCCAGCAAAGAGTGAGGCAACTTGATCAGCAGAAGCTTTGCCATTCCTTCACCGATGGCCGGTACAGCTTTGCTGCAGGTTAGGTAAGTTTGAGTTTGAGGGATTCCCCAAATCACCTATCACCACGCAGTCCCGCGTGCACGGTGAGGGCCTAGTCTGGCGACAAGGGTTCCGTTGCAGATGGTTTGGCGGCAACGTGCTTAAGGCCATGCTACAATCGCAGATCCCGGTGCCGGGTCGCAGCTCTTTCTCGCGTTTAGGAAGGTGTTGGGCAGAGGCGAGTTTTCGTCAATTCTCGCTCCCGTCACAACGGGTCGTCTCGTTGCGTGCCGACCGTCCGGCACCGGCACTTCATCCCACGGGGTCTTTAAAGCGGGTCGAAACCTTAATCTCACCTTCTTCCCGCGTGCATGGCTTCTGGAATGTCGCCATGGAGGAGGTTGGATGGAATGTTAGCTATTTGCTTGAAGAAACAGAGATCGAGCATCTCCGCTATAAGACATGCATACACTGTTTGATTGCGGAAGGCATGGCAGTGTTGCAAGATTGGCTGCTCACACGCTTCGTCGCGTTGAAACCCCGGGCCTCGGCTGACCTGCCCTTTCTCTCTGCATCGATGTTGACTCCAACCAACGTGTCGGATTGGACCTTCACGGGAACAGATAAGCTTGCAAAGATCTCGTAGCTGACCTGGTTCGCGGGTCCATATCATCAGGCTTCGAAATGCGGGCTCCTTCGATCGGGGCGCTGTTGGTTCTCGCCAGGCTGTGTGTCGGTGAAGCTGCCGATAAGGCCAAGTATAAGGAGGCCTGTCCAGCATATGAGCACTATGCTCGATTTGCACAGTATGGATCAAGTTCATGAAAGGTATTCTTGAGGTCTGACATGTCCCTAGCCACCATTACAGCGATGGCCCCATGGCCCTTCCGTACCAGCGGCCCTCCACTCACTGCCGGACATTCGAGTCCGACCTCGTCGAGAAGATCATCAAAGACCTGAACGCCAGCATGGTGGATCGAGACCTAGCCCGGATCTTCGAGAACGCCTTCCCAAACACTCTGGACACGACAGTGAGGTGGCATGTGGATGGCACCGAGAAGCAAGAGACGACAATGCAGCAGATATTCAAAGTGGGATCAACAGGTGCATGGGAGGGCCCACAGAGCTTCATTGTGACGGGAGATATCAACGCAGAGTGGCTGCGGGACAGCACCAACCAGTTGGCTCAATATCAGCGCCTGGCCAAGGGAGACAAGCGGATTGAGAACCTGATCCTTGGGGCGATCAACACTCAGGCCGAGTACGTGATTGAGTCGCCTTACTGCAATGCTTTCCAGCCTCCAGGCCCCAGCAAGCTAAGCCCAAGCGACAATGGACAAGGCGACAACGTTCATCCTGCATACGAGCCGAGCGCAGTGTTTGAATGCAAGTATGAGCTGGATTCTCTGGCGCATTTCCTCTCACTGTGCAACCAATTCTACGAACATACTGGCTCCACCGCGTTCCTCACGCCCAGATGGTATACTGCGCTGGAGAGCCTCCTGAAAGTACTCGACGAGCAAAGCAAGTCGACCTTCAACAAGGAAACGGGGGCTTTCGAGCGGCAGATGTATCGCTTCCAGCGCAATACAAACACTGGCACTGAAACGCTCAACCTGGCCGGGAATGGCAACCCGCTCAACTGGGATACTGGACTTGTCAGATCAGCTTTCAGGCCAAGCGATGACGCCACCACCTTTGGCTTCTTCATCCCGGCCAACGCCATGATTGCGGTAGAGCTGAAGCGGGCGGCTGAAATGCTCACCGCAGCTGGCAAACCACACGTCGCCCAAACGCTGAAGAACCGCGGCGAAACAATAGAGAAAGGTGTCTGGGAACACGGTGTAGTCAACCACAAGAAATGGGGCCCCGTCTTCGCCTTCGAAGTCGACGGCTACGGATCTGCTCTCCTCATGGACGACGCCAACCTCCCTTCCCTGCTCGCGTTGCCACTCATGGGCTTCGTCCGAAAAGACGAACGCACCTACCAAAACACCCGCAAGATGATCCTCTCCAAAGAAGGCAACCCCTACTTCCTCGAAGGGAAGGCCTTCAAAGGCATCGGCGGACCGCACATCGGTCTCAGCAATGCTTGGCCCATGTCGCTGCTCGTGCAGGCCATGACGAGCGACGATGACGAGGAGATTACACGATTGCTCCAGGCGGTGAAGAGTGCGAGTCCGCTGGGACTGGTGCATGAGAGTGTGAACGTGGAAAGGATTAGGGATTACACGAGAAGTTGGTTCGCCTGGGCGAACTCGGTATTCGCGCAAACGATTCTGGACACCGCAGAGAGGAAGCCGCATTTGCTGTTCGGGCCCGGTGGGGAGGAGTACGTAGTCGGTGCCAATTGAGGTATGCCTCGTTTTCCAACTCTGACGCAATCTCACCCCTTACCTCTACACGCCTCCCCTTCACAGCTCCCCGGAAGACACACGCCGAAGTTTTTCGTCTCGCTATTGACCAAAACAAGCTTCCTCACCAACTCCCCCATCCGCTGCACCACAACACCGCTCGCCCTCGAATACGGCAACCTGAACACAGCCCGCATACTCACCTCCTCAATCTTCGCCTCATACAACGCCTCATCCAACCGATGCAGATAGTCGCATGGCAATTCAATCTTCGAGATCTGCGTGAAGACTTGCTGCTCGAAGGCTCGCGCCCACTTACCCAGGATAGCTTCGTTTTCGACATGGAAGATGGCGGGGGCGCTGAAGTAGGACTTACTGAAGGTTTGGCGGGTCAGACGGTTTACGTGGAGGGCGGATGGGGGGCGGTAGGTCGAGGTGATCAGGCGGGTGTTGGTGTCGGCGGTGAAGGTCAGGGAGAAGATTTTGTCGTGGAGTTCTTGGGGGACGGATAAGAGGCGGTTGCGTAGAGAGGTGGTGTCGTCGGTGGAGGGAGGCGGACGCTCATGGATGCTCTCGTTCGGTCTGGTGGACGAGGTCAGTGTGAGTTGTCGACGGAGAGGGAGGGTGTGGGATGTACCGGGCGCTCTTGTGGTGCTCACCCTTACGCCGCTTTTGGATGGCACGGCGGAGTTTCTTGAACCACTTCATGTTGTGATTGGGTGGGCGGCGTTGTGAGTGGTTGTTTGATGGAGTGTTGCTCTTGCAGAATTGGAAGCTTTGAAGCGTGGCTTGGCATTCACATGCAAATTCTCGTGGTGTTTCAGCTCATGCTTCAATTCACTCATTGTATCCTACTTTGGGTGGAGTTAAAACACGATGAGATCTTGACCACCTGAATCCAGTGTCTCAAAGCTGCCCATTGCTCTGATTTCGAAGTCTCCCCTTCAGCCCATCTTTAGCCTCTCTTGGTCGCTGGTTATCCCTGTCGCTGTGCTGAATCTCCCACTTCTCCGAATGATGATAATGTCGACTAATTTGCCTCGCCTAAGAGACACACTTGTGCGCGATAGCCGGGCAAGCCAGAGATGATCTATGAACACAGTTAGCTGAATGGACCGCAAAAACACTCTTCAAGTAAATCGCATGCATACCTCGTCCTCATAGCCAAACGACAAGACCTGAACCACCTTATCGCCGAAGACTTCCGAGATGTGTTCAATCAAGACCATCATCTCCATTCCAGCGATCACATTCGCAGGAATCGAATTCGTAGTGACCTGTGTCCGGCCACTGTGTCTCCGCGAGTGCCCCTTGATGGCGCATCGCACGTCTTTGATGAGAGCACGATGCTGCGAGGGCAGAATTGACAACCACTCGATGCATGCTGGTTTTATCCACCATGCGGGCCGCTGCGCATGGCCTGTCATCACGAACACAGCTCCATCGCCGCCGTAGAATGACTCGGCAAACTGCTTGCGGCTTGCGCGGTCGACGTGGAGGAGGTTGATGGAGTCTAGCTTCTGGAATAGAGGTCTCGGGATGTACATGGGATGATGATATGGGTTGAAGCGGTCGAGGTAGCGTACGCCTGGCTCGGCAGTGAAGGTGAAGTCGTAGATCCTGTCGAAGAGTTCTTGTGGGAGCTTGTCCAACAGGGTCCGCAAATCTGCTGAACTTGCGACTTTGCCTTAGGTATCTCGGGGCATGTTGGGTGGTGATTGAGGGAGGTGATGGTGCTGATAGTTTGCGACCATGCGAGATCGTGAAGTCTTGCAAGGGTTGCGGCGTTTGCTTGTAGTAGAAGGACGGAACTTGGAAGCTTCCACGCTGCGAGCGAAGCGCTGACGTAATACCTTTCACATGCTTAGCGTATTGAGGTCTACTCACTTCAGACAATGTCCTATCTCTCCGCATCATGCAGGCTGGACGAATGTCTTGTTAGACCTAAGCCTTTCGATTCCAAGCGTTCACACTCCCCATTGTTAAGGATGACTGATCCGATTGAGGAGAAAGAAAGAGCTTCATTCATACAGCCGCAGCCTCATCAATTCCCTTGAAGGAAGCACGAGATCTTGCTACCAAACAATACACTCTGTGGTAGACTGAACTTGAGTACTGAACCTCTGCCGCTCCCCTGCTTCCTCGTTATCCTGTTCGCCTTGCCGTGTTGAATGTTGCTTGGTCTATTGTACGCCGATCTGGTTGGCCCGCAGAGTTGCGCTCAGCTGATAGGACCACGGCGGTAGTAGTCAGGCAAGTCTGCAGTGATCTGAGAAAAGTGTCAGCCATTTCATCTTGTACATTGTATGATCTGTGTACCTTGTCTTCAACTCCGAAGGTCGTAGCTTGTGACACCTGCGTGCCGAACTCACGCAGAATTCTGCTGCTCATGTACTCTAAATTCCATTCAAGCGGATATTTCTCATCGACGAACCCGGGGACCGTATGAAGGACAGGTGGTGATGACGCGATGGCCCGAACGTCAAGTATCATGGCTTGGTGATCGAGCGGCAGTGAACGTAGCCAAAAGCAGATCGTCTCGAGTAGGTCAAACAGGCGACGTTCTGCGACGAACGCAGCTCCTTCGCCGCCGTAAAAAGACTGGGCGAACTTGTGGCGGCTTGTGCGGTCCACGTGAAGTAGCTTGACACGATTGGACTTCTGCAAGAGTGGCCTCCCCAGCTTTGGGGCTTCGCATGGGAGCACTAGCGGACACAAATTCAAGCGATCGAGGTAAGGGACGCACGGCTCAGCAGTGAAGGTGAAGTCGTAGATCTGGTCGTAGAGCTCTTGTGGCAGGGTTTCGAGACGAGCACGAAGCTCGGCGGAGTCATCAGTCGCCATGTTGATGTGGAGGCTGACGATGTGAGGAACGTCAATTGTTGGTAAAAGATCTTCGGGCTTCGCCGTGCTGGTCAGATTGACTTGACAGTCGCCGATAGTTTGAAGATGAAGGTGGTGGTAATGTTGGGTCGCGTGACAAGAACTGTTGGCGTGCGGCGACGTTGGTGTACGACTGCCTGTGTTTGCTTGTAGCAAGAAGCTGGACTTGGAAGAAAGGCACGACCGCAAAGCTGACGTAACACTTTCACATGCTTAGCGCGCTATAATCCACTCACTTCAATCCAGCATGTTGTCACTTACTCCACAACTGCTATGCCCTAGTTCTCAAGGGTTATAGAACGCTGACCAACATCCCACTCGACTCATTTAATCTTGGCTCGGCCGAGCGTTCACCAGTGTCAGCCAATGACAGGTTTCCATCGTCGTAACAGCCTAGTCGGGAAACGACCGAGAGCGGCATGGTATAGGACCTTGACAAGGAGCATAAAAGAGGCCTCTCAAGTGAAGTCACTACATTTGTAGCCGCTGGCACGAATCCGCTCGCCAAGTCTTCCGTTGACACAACCCATCATGCGCGGCAAAATCGCCCTCGAAGAAGCATTCTCCCTGTCGCGCTTCCGCGAGTTCGAAGAATGGTGGGCCTCCATGTTCGCCGCCGACGCCAAGAAACATTGCGATGAGATGATTGATCTCTTCGAAAAGCGGCTGGCATACATGGACAAGTACGGCGTTGGATACCAGATCTTTTCGTACACTGCGCCTGGTGTGCAAGATCTATGGAAGCCTGATGAGGCTGCTGCTATGGCGAAGGAGGTCAACGATTTTATTGGGAAACAAATCCAGGGCAAGGAAGACAGGTTCGGGAGCTTTGCGTATGCCATTTTCATCTTGTGGCGTGATGTGGTAGGCTTTTACTGACAAGGCTCAAGCGCACTTTCAATGCATGATCCAGCCGAAGCTGCGGCAGAGCTTGAGCGCTGCGTAAAGGAGTATGGCTTCCTTGGTGCTCTCGTGAACGACACTCAACGATCAAGCGAGGATGGCAACCAGCGCATCTTCTACGACCAGCCCGAGTGGGACGTCTTCTGGTCCAAATGCGAGGAACTGAATGTTCCTTTCTACCTTCATCCGCGCCACCCGACCGGCGCACAGTACGATCAGATGTACAAAGACCGGAAGTATATTATCGGTCCACCTGTGTGCGTAGCAAGACTTACTTTCGTTGTATCAAGACGTCGTAGAGCTCACAAACGGTTATAGATCCTTCGCTAATGATGTCTCCGTCCACATCCTGGGCATGGTGACCAACGGCGTCTTCGATCGCCACCCCAAGTTGCAAGTCATCATCGGCCATCTGGGAGAACATCTTGTAGCTGATCTCTGGCGCATCAACCACTGGTTGGAAGACGTCAAGAAGCCCCTCGGACTGAGCAGTCAAGAAGGCAAGACTGTGCGCCAGTACTTCCGTGACAACATCTGGATCACGACATCCGGCAACTTCTCTGGGCCTTTGCTAGACTTGTGCATGCGGGAGGTGGGCGCTGATCGTATCTTGTTCTCTGTGGACTACCCTTTTGAATCGTTTGAGGACGCCTGCAATTGGTTTGACCAGACAGAGCTGAACCTCATTGATCGTGCGAAGATTGGACGGGACAATGCGAAGCGTTTGTTCGGGCTGGAGAAGTTCAAGGACAGCGACGTGGAGGTCGAAGATGCTGCGCCCTCGTGGTCCAAAATGCCTCAATCGGTTGCTCCGTAGACCAGTAGTTCATGAAGCGCCAATCTCGCAAGTGCTTTGTAATTGACAGAATTGCCCAATGGTGTTGCTTTTGAGTCAGACGTAGATTTGACGTATCCATCGTAGCCATGCCTTGAGTGCACAATCATTGTTGCCTGGAGCGCTGCTATCGACGTTGAGATAGAACAGGACGATCTCAGATACGCCTTGCCTTCAGCCAGTGCAATGGCGCTTGAGAACCCACCCTCGTGAGTGTTGCCATGGACGCTGCCGTGCGAGACAGCATGCGCTGGTTGTCGGCGACGAGTGGATCGCAGTGACATGTCCAAGACCGCAGCTCCGAGACAACTATCCACGCCGTGCAGCCTGCGAAAGACATCGAACTCGATCAAACAAAACAAGTTGAAGGCATGTTCCGGTGACTCCCATCCAGTCCCGTTCTCCTATCAGCGACACGATCGGGGTTCCAGCGGTTCAGACGGGTGGAGGTTTGTGCCGTCTCAATGTTCCAGACTTTGAAGACATATGCGCTATTTCGAGTGGGCGGAGTACGCAACGAAGTGATGGCTGCAGACAACCAATGTTTTCTGGCAGAATACTTGGTTTCGTTGATGCAGGGTGCCGTCTGGCGTCGGCAGTTTGCTCTTAGCACCTTTGACTTGCATGATGGTGTGTCTTCTTCACAACATCGCTTTTGCCCCGGACAGCAACTTTCCATATCGTTCGAGCAGTCAGCAAGTCGAACGATGATTGTCGATTTGAGACTGGTCGTCATTGCTGTTGGAAATCCCCAAGCGACGGCGGCCACTGTAAAACGGCAATTTTAAAATCTCACATTGTTGCTCCATCAAAGCGATGAACCAAAGTATGAGCCGCAATCAACGTGCGAGCGGATGATTGCGGTGGTTCTATATAGGAGAGAACCACAAGCCAAAGGTACGCAGCCGTGGCAGCCCGCCGGGCGGGCTCCTTCCCGTAGCGTTCTGTGGGTGGATGAAGCGCTATCAAGCTTGGCACCAGAAACATAGGATCAAGATCCGCTCATAGCCCGTATGAAACACCCAGTGCATGCTCCACAGACCGTTATTCTTATTGCTTTACCAGACAAACGCGAAAACTGATGACCATCAACATGATCGAATCCAGGAAGTCCAAGCCGCACGAGCAGAAGCACAGAGACAACGTCGCCCGTCCTTGATAACTCCAGAGCGATCGCAATGAAAGGCTCCTCCGTGTATAGCCTCAAAGCGTTGGCAAAGGGAGGCACGAGAATGTATAAGTAATACCATCTCATCCTCTCAATCACGACATCAGCATCACATTCACACAAGCCTTCCAATCCTACCAAACCAACCACCAACACTCGACTCTTCAGTCAAATCCACTCGCTCCAATCAGCAAAAATGCAGTTCACCATATTCACCATCTTGGCCACCGCCGCCACCGTCCTCGCTCTGCCAACCGAGTCTGGCTCGTCCAGCGGCGGCAGCGGCACCTGCGCTTCGGGATCCCAGATCTCTTGCTGTGTCACCGACAGCAGCGACAGCGGCACTGCTGGCAACGTCCTCGGTGGCAGCTGCTTGCTCGACCAGGTCTCTCTGTTGTCTGGTATGCATTCTTGCACAGCATCGACAAGGCAATCCACTGACGCTTCTCAGCCCTCGACAACCAGTGCCCAGCTGGCAACACCTTCTGCTGCCCAACGAACCAGGACGGCACCCTCAACATCAACCTCTCCTGCATTCCTGGTAAGTTTCACAAGGCTCGAGAATGTCTTTCGTCATCCGCTAACGGTCGGTTCCAGTCAACGCTTAAATGCAGAATCCGATCTGGCGCTACTTCCAGTATCGTTTCTCGATGGATGGATAATGGGCTTTCACTTCTGGCGCTAGACTTCGGGGATAGTGGATTACTTCACTCGTTTAACACCCTGGTGGTTGGTTTGGATAATCATGTATTAGTGAAATATGAGATCAATAATGTATGAGCTCGCCTCTGGCAGCTTTACACCCTACCACAACATCTTTCTCGATTCTTCAATGACTTTTGGCCTGAGCATCTTAATCGCCAGTGAAGATCCAGATTGCCCAGGCTGAAGTCCTCAATTCAATAGCATATCTGCGATCACGGAAGGATCAGTTTCAGCAACGTGTGGAACAGTAGTCCCTCGAAGTCTGATATCGCGTTACTGAGTCCACAAACAATGATGCCGAGTATCTCCTTGGATGGTTGTTGTTGTTGACGCAAAGGGAAAGGAAACGACCTGGAATGGCTGGAGTCTCCGGCCCCTGAAATGACTCGACGCTAAGATAAGATAAAGTTTCCGCTTATCTAAGCCTTCTCTTGCGCATTTTCTGTGGCGTCACTGTCTCTTCAATTTTAAAGCCAACAACCACCCCTCATCACCACTCTACGAACGACTGAGACGTCTCCAAACACTCCTCGAACCCGCAATTCACCGAAACTCCAATTCCTGAAAACTACTTCACCTGGGCCGCCGCACAACACCGCCAAGATGTCGATGGACATCGACTCCTCTGTCCCACTGCCCGCACATCGCCCTACCACTGCCGCTACTGTTCTCTGTTACCAGTGCGGCGCTCCCATCGATGGCACACAACCCGGCGGAGCGTTATGCTCGGACTGCTTGAAGCTCACCGTCGACATCACATCCAACATCGAACGAGATGGCGTATTACACATGTGCAGAGACTGCGATAGATGGCACTCGCCGCCCAGCTCGTGGGTTGTCGCACCACCCGAATCAAGAGAACTGCTTGCGCTATGTCTACGAAAACTTAGAGGACTTCACAAGACCCGAATAATCGACGCATCTTTCATCTGGACCGAGCCACATTCGAGACGAGTGAAGCTGAAGATTACAGTGCAACAAGAGGCAGAGCAGGGGACAATATTACAGCAGACATTCGAAGTCGAGTTCGTGCAACAGTACAAGCAGTGTCCCGACTGCCAGAAATCATACACCCACAACGTATGGCGAGCAGTAGTGCAAGTACGGCAGAAGGTGCCCCACAAGCGCACATTCTTGTATCTGGAGCAGCTCATCCTCAAGCAAGGTGTGCACAAGGATGCGATCAACATCAAAGAGGTGCAAAATGGTATAGATTTCTTCTTCGCGCAGAGAAATTCCGCCGAGAAGTTCGTGGACTTTCTGCATTCAGCCACACCGGCCAAGACGAAGAAGAGTCAGGAGCTCATTTCCATGGACGTCCACACCTCAGACAAGAGCTACAAGTTCACATTCTCTTGCGAGCTGGTGCCAATCTGCAAAGATGACCTTGTCGCACTACCTATCAAATTGGCCAAGCAGATCGGCAATATCTCACCTCTAGTCCTGTGCTATCGAGTAGGCACTGCGATCAATCTTCTGGATCCAAATACCCTCCAAGTCGCCGATCTCAACACACCGATTTACTGGCGGACGCCGTTCACACCGCTAGCAGACATCCGGGAATTGGTCGAATTCGTCGTGATGGACATCGAACCCATAGGACCCGAACGAGGCCGTTTCCTTCTAGCTGATGCTACCGTTGCTCGTGCTTCTGATCTGGGCGTCAACGATACGACCTATCTTGTACGAACACATCTCGGCAACATCCTCAACCCCGGTGACAGCGCCATGGGTTACCACTTGACCGGCACACAATTCAACAACCCCAACTTCGAAGCTATTGAGGAGTCGAAACAGTACTCTGGTCAGATACCAGACGTAATACTGGTCAAGAAGCATTACGAACGCCGCAAGAAGAGGAGCGGCAACAACCGCAACTGGAAACTCAAGCGCATGGCGCGGGAGGAGAGCGACATGAAGCCGTTGAAGAAGGATCAGGATCGTGACGAGATTGACTACGAGCAGTTCTTGCAGGATCTTGAAGCGGATCCTGAGCTCAGATCAAACCTCAACATGTACCGAAATCATGAGGCACAGAAGAAAGCGGAGACGGAGATGGAGACGGATGGAGAGGATGAAGATGATGGTTTGGAGATTCCGATGGATCAGCTCATTGACGAGATGGAGGATATGGGCATGGATGACATGGACGAAGACGAGGAGGAGGATGAAGAGTGATTGGTGAAATGCTGAGGAGTTGCTGGAATTGTTGGGCGGAGTGATGAAGCGAGTGGCGCTGGCGGACTGCTGATACCCAAGTCGACGCAAGGGACGGCCGTGCAGATGAAATGATACTACAAAGTGTCTCCAATACGGTAGACCAGTTTCTGCCGACTCACTCGTCCCTCTTTCATATCCTCAAAGCCCTTCACCACGCCGTTCAGACCTCCCTCTCCAATCGTCGGCTCACCCTTGATCTTCCCTTCCGCAAGCAACTTCTCCGCCAAAGCCCACCACTTCTTCCCAAACTCAAAGTCTTCAGGCTTCGCGGGCACCTTCTTCCCAAAGAACGTGAACTCCTCGCCAATGACCGTATACCCAATCGTAAAGGACGTCTTGACATCCGATCGCGGGAACTCGACTGGAAGCAAAGCACCATAGCGAGCGACGTTCGGTTTGGACGTCAATGCCGCCGCACAGATCTATCAACAGTCAGCCAAAACCAAGTCCGACTTTCAATGAACATGAATCGAAAGAGAAACTCACAGCCATACTATCCCCCTCACTAACACAATCAAACGCAAACACCAACCCATCCCCCGTCGCCTCCCGAATCTTCCTCCCACAAGCCACCCCATCCCTATAATCGAAAACCTCGTCCGCGCCCAGAGCTTTCACAGCCTCGAAATTCCTCTCGGAACACGTCGCGAGAACGTACAATCCACTCAGCTTAGCCAGCTGCACGGCCCAAAGACCCGTATTCGTCGAAGCGCCATAGATCAACACCTTCGTGCCCCTCCCCTCTGCGGAAGGCGACGAAGCAGGCCAGGGAAGTTCGAGTCCGTCCGGGGAATACATCCCCTGCCCGACAGTATTGATCCCCGTGGGCCAGGTGGCCGCTTCCTCGAAGTCTATGTTGGAAGGGACGTGGATCTGAATGTCGGCTTTGACTTTGGCGTACTGGGCGAAGCAACCGGCGGAGGGGTCTTCGTGTTTGGAGCCGTGGACGTAGCCGGCGACGCGGTCGCCGGGGGTGAAGGGCTTGGTGACGGAGGGGCCGAGGGAGTGTTACTTGGATTGATGGAGATGGGGGGTTGCAGTTTCTTACCCAGTCTGTTGGGTTGAGGGCGATGGCTTCGACTTTGACGAGCATGTAGTCTGGTGGGCATGCTGGAACTGGAGCGTCGTCTACGACTCGAACGTCTTTGGGGCCGAAGCATTTCAATGCTCTCATCGTTTTGGGTATGGTTGTAGACATGTTGGGGAATGATGATAAAACGTGAATTGATGGAAAGGACAGGGTTGAGATGTCGAATTGAGATTGATGTTGAAATATTTTTATTTACCGGATCATCGAGGCAATATCGGATTCGGATCGTTCAAAGTCTTTCATCGCTGGCTTCAAATGACGTCTGGAGAGCAGGGAAAAGGCTGTACCTGACTTACCCCAACCCTAACCCTAAGATAGGGTGTCTCGTGTATACGTGTATGCCCTCACAGGGAGCTGCACTCTCAAATGCAGGCAAGATGGATAGCCTTCATATTCATCACAATCAACAGCTTAGATTTTCCTCGACAGCATCCCTGTCTAATCTGGAGATAGGCCAAGTAGTCCAAGGCTGGCATTGGACTTCTCGGCCAACACCCACCAGTGGCCGCCGAACGAGCCCATCGAACTGCCAGGACACGCACGCGACATGGTTGCACATGGCCTTCTTGGCATGCGTTGTCGTTCATGATGGTGCTCGGGTACCCCATGGAGAAAACGCGGGAGAGCTGCAGGAGGGATGCAGACGCAAGCACGACATACAGATCATGCGAAGCGAGGCGGCCTGGGATGAGCGTTCTTGAGGTGCATCCGAACATGTCCATTTAGCAGTTGATCTCGAAAGAGACATTCCAGCTGTCAATAGGCCATGTTGGTGATTTCGTGGATGTATATCAGGATTTGAATCGCTCGCGAGGTGCAAGTACCCGGAGAAAAGGCCGAGATAGAGAGAACTCGTCATCCTCCCCTCGATTGTGGATGTCCCTAGCAATAGCGAGGTGGATTCGCAGTGGCTATGCCTCAGTAGACCTTGGCGGCGTTGTTGTACGGGCGAAGGCTTGTCACTGTGCAGTCTGGATGCTTGGAGAGGGACTTGGCAGACGTTGCAACCTCCAAGGGTTCCCAGCCGACGACGCTCATCCTATCCTCCTCCTTCACCGTCCCAACATCACGCATCAGACAACCTCTTTCGCATTTGAGTGTTGTTGTTATTGTTGGTGAGGTCCCAAGCGTTCCTGTCTTATCAATACTAGCCAGCTCCTTCCGGTGGCGCGGCGCCTTCCCAAAGGACAATCAATGGAAGGAGTCGCTTAGTGTGGCCAGCGGTTCCTGATTAAGCCACGCCTCACCACTGCACCTCTGCATCTTATCCCACTCCGCCGCCGAACCACCCTGCTACTTCCACCGCATCCGACATTGCCAAACCACCCGTCTGTATCGCATATCCCATTGATTGAGGTGCTGCTGTCCGTCGCCTGGTCGTTCGCTAGCCACACACCACCACCGCCGTCCAGCTCGCTGATCGCCTTGGTCCCGCGGAGCATCCATTTATCGCCGTACCAACACATCCTCACACACGACCACTGCGGCATTTGGCATCATCGTTTTGGATCACCACACAGCTGCGGATTCGTGGGAACAGCGCATCGCTTGCGGGGCAAGAGGACACGAGAGCATCACGAGATACGCATCACTTGCCCGCAATGGCTTCACAACCCGATACAGTCGCCGGCGCCTCCGCTCCTCCTGCCGCTCAAACCATCCCTTCCCAAATAGACACCACCCACGCACAGTCATCAGAACAACCTCTCGAGATGAGTGAGCTGCCCGCCTCGCCGAGGACCGTAAACGAGGAGTTCGCAGATGCCGTACAGCAGCAGGAACCCCAACATGCCACAGACGCTGCTCCTGCCCCTTCCGCCGACGCTCCAGCACCCCTCGAACGTAAAGAAACGGAAGCTTTGGGACCTGCTACTGACGCTCCCATCACGACTGCTGCTTCCGCCGGCCCTACTCTCAACATCTCTCTCATGCTGACGACGGGAGTGAGACATCCTTATAAGATTGATGAGAAGTACCTTCGAAATCGCAAGGTCGAAGCCAAGAATGCAGAGGACGAGTTTGATCCACGAGAGATCAGTGGGTACAAGTTGAAAGAGCTCATTTGGACGGACTGGAGGAAGGAGTGGGAGCCCAGACCGATGAGTCCGAGCAGTATACGGCTCATCATCATGGGAAAGATGATTGAAGACAAGAAGGCCCTCAAAGGTGAAGCATTTTGAACCTGAGAGTATCCTGGTTGCTGATACGTTCCCGCAGAATTCAACTTCAACGTCGATGGCCCCAACGTTTTGCATATGACCGTCAAGCCCGCAGACCTTATCGATGACGATGAGACAGCTGGTAAGGGCACAGGAAAAGGCGGTGCACTTCGTGCCAGGGATACAGAAGACAGAGGCGCCGGATGCCGGTGTGTAATATTATGAAGACAGACAAGTGAGCTGAACAAAATCACAGAACAGCGCACCCCCAAACTGGTGAAAAAGCTGGTCGGCGAGGGCCTGAGAAGAATGGGTCAAGAAATGCAGGCAGAAGCGCTCCACGAGGAACTGGAGATTCTGGAAAGGAGGTATCGGGAAGCTGAGGATTGGGTGGATGAGCCCCCAACAACTCTGCGCGGGAACAGCTGGGACTCGCAAATGGATGATGAACTCCTCCTTCAGCAACAGCAAGGTCTGGTGGGAGAGGTAGAGAATCTGCAGGAGGAGCAGCGTGAAGATGCACAAGCACACATGCAAGCACAAGCAAAAGCACAAGAGCAAGAGCAAGAGCAAGAGCGTGTACGTGGTAACAAGAAGCGCGGTTGCGGCTCGGGAGGCTGTTGTTGCTCCTGACTTGACCGAAACAACGGAGCAGTCCGCGCCACAGACGCGCTGCAAACTTACCGAATGTTTTTGAATCATGGCGACGGCGTTTACGAGGACTGGAGTCTTGATGGAGTCTCTCGGTGTATGGGCGCACATGTAACGGGGACGGCACAGGAGTTTGCCATCTTTTGTCAGGGATTCTTACTGCTTTTCGTTGGGCATGCACACATTTGATGGACTGTACTGATAGACATGAGCATGGAAGACGAGATGAACGAGTTGCGATGGCGTTCCTTGATAGCGTAGCAATACAACAACGGTCGTGAAATGGATATTGTAATTGGTCGTGTTGAAGTTCATTGGTGTCTATCTCGTTTGCCGTACTAATGCACATTCGAATGCATCGATGCTGAGACAATCTCGCAGAGGAGCCTGTCGTGTCCGATGCCGTGGTGTTGGTACAGCGAAGAAGCCTGGCCTCTCCCTATCATCCCGTGTCCCCTATCAGAACGACTCTCATCCGCCTGATAATCCTCACGATAACATCTCCATACACCCATTCCCAGGCCTGAAGCTGTCTACCAAGCCATCCCAAACCTCCCCTCCATCTCGACATGAAAATCCACCCCCTCCCTCGCCTCCCCCTCGCCCGAAAACACATCCTCCCAATCCAACTCCGCCTCCCTGCCCGCCAGAATATCGCCATGCACGCCCGCGCTCCCACTCCCCAGCACGCTGGGCCGCCACTCGCCCTGGCGCACGATGCTCGCTTCCATCTGGCGCTTCACGGGCTCCGCGATGCCGAACTGGCGGCGGAGGAGGGACATTTTGAGGTTTTCTTGCGTGGTGCGCCAGTTGGCGAGGCGGGATTCGAGGGGGTGGGTTGATTGGAGGGGGGTGGGGGTTGAGGAGGTGTTGGGGGCGGGTTGCGCGAGGTTGAGGTTCGAGCGGAGGGTGTCATGGACGCCCGGGGCGGAGGGGGCGCCGAGTTGGGGGGTTGTGGTTGAGGGGTTTGTTGGGGCGGGGACGATGCGGAGGGACTGGTGAGAGAGGTGGTGTTAGTTGAGGTCGGGTTTGAGTGAGTGATCTGGTGGTTGAAGGCGTACCATGATGGGTGGAGTTGTGGTGGCTCGATCAGATGTTGAAGGGTGCTTTCTTCAGCTATGAGGTGTTTCGATGTCGTGCGGTGTTTGTGATGGTGATGCTCGCCGTCCGTCGATGAAGTTGTGATGTTGTGTGTTGGTGTTTGAAGCTGTCTTATGATTGTCAAGCTGTCGCGCGAGCTTCAGGCGTAGGCAGGCGCGATTGCGTCGGAGAGCAGCGGCTCATCCCGAAGCTAGTCTTAGAATAGAAGCATGAGTTTTGACCTCACTTTCACCAGAGGAAGGAGCATTGAAGAACATTGTTGAAAGCACAGCCTGCTTCGATACCATTATTTCTATCCTATGCACCCTTGTAGTCTACGCATTCCCGAGGGAAGCGTCCGTTTCGTATCGCTCGCAACAACAACTCAAAGCAAGAAAGCAAACCATGATCATCTACTCGCACAACGATGCCCTCCAAGAAACCTCTTTTTCCGCCCAGCCAAGATCGCAGATTGAACTGCTACTCCAAATCCGAGAATGACCAGGCCGTCTGTTTTGGCTTGACTGCCAGGTGATGCAGACCACCGTTCGACGACAGGGTGAGCTTGCCGGTCGCAGGGGACTTCAAGGCCTTCTTACCCACTTGCACCCATCCATCGTCGTCTTCTGGCTCGGTCTTCGTCTTGGGGATGTTGATACTCAAGTCCTTCTTCTTGGAGGAGCCTTTGGTAGACGGCACAGTCAAAGCAGTGCCCACCGACGGCGGCGTGCTAGAGTCGATACTGCCCTTCCGAGAAGGCAGCGTCTCATCATCTCCCTCGGTGTCGATCGATTGCTCAGACGGACGCCGCTCATCTGGGTGAGCGACACGATCTTCAGCATCTTTGGCGTGCTCAGCATCCTTTGCATGCTTCGCATCCCACTCCTTGCCATTCTCCACCAAATCACGATACGCCCGCTTGTGTGCCCAACGCCAGAAACCTGCCTTGTTCCTGGCCACGATCTTGAGCTCATCGTAGAAGTGGACGAGATCGTTCTTAATCGCCTCAGCCAGCTCACGGACAAGCTCACCTTCCTTTCCCTTGGCCTGAGGGTCGACGTCCATGGCGACCAGCAAGTTGTTAACCGTGCCGTCGTCAACGTCGCTACGCTCGCGGTCCCGGATGATGTAGTCGTGCCGGGCTGACTTCGAGTTGCAAGTGCTGTTGTTGAACTTCAAGTTCATCTTGATGTCCAGATCTCCACCGAGCTCCTCCATCTCAACGTCCTCCACCATCTCTTCCTCAGACTTCGGGTGCAACGTCTTTGCGACAAACTCAATGTCCTGCGCTGTCACCACCTTCTCACGGTCCAAAGCCTTGGCCGCCTTCTTTGCGGCTTTCCTCTCTTTCTTGGTCGTCTTTGGAGTCTCGGCCAAGAAGCCACTCACAGAATTGAGTGCTTTCGCGGTGAGCGGCGTCCTAGGAGTCTTTGGTGCAGTCGGGGAAGCCAGCACCTCCATCGCCGCTGCCTCCTCCTCAGCTTTGAACTTCCTGATCTTGGCCAGGATCTCGGCAATCTCTCTATGGCGTTTCTCATGCTGATCGTCCGTCGTCTTGCAGGCACTGCATCGCGAGCTCCAATTCATTCTGAACAAGCTGTGGTATCGGTGGCACCACTCGACGTGGTTACCCAAGCAGACGGTGCGGCATTTCTCGTGTGAAAGGGGAGTCTGGCAGATCGGGCAGTGGTGTCGTTCGAGATGTTAGCTGCAAGCTCCAACACAATGGGGTGGGGTATACTCACTTCAACACCCCGCCATCCTCCCACTTGAACAGGTCTTGCGGCATCTTGTCTCACTTTCCTTTGATGCGTACTTTTGTTTGGTATGATAACCCTCGGGTCGAAGCTCCTTTTGAATGTTCTTCTTTCTGCTGCCAAATCGAGGGCGGAATCGAGGTCTCTTATAGGCGCCGTTGTCTCGGAGTCGAGCGTCGATGTCTTGGAAGCGATAGTGGCGGTGGTGTTATTGCTGCCTGGCGCAATAAAGAAAACAAGGCTATTGTGGAAAATTGCGATGAATGAAGGCTGCCTTGTTCCAGCTGTCATTCTCTGCCTGCGTTCCTATTGTCCTTTTGTGTCGGTCAGCTCACTGCTCAACTCGTGAAGCTCGTGCGGTTGGCGAGATTCTTCAGTCGGCGGCAGCGGCGTCGGATGGCAGTGGAGGCAATTCGCGGCGGGCGGTGGACGAGGAGGAGATGGTGGAGAAGAGGGATTGGGTGAAGGTGACGAGGAGGATACCCGTGGTGTTTTGCAGACCAGCGAGCCGGAGATGAATGGCTCGTTGTGCAGCGAGCGTGGGTGGGTGGTGTGAAGAGGAAGAAGGGAACTTTTCACGAGCGCGAAATGTGTAGGTCGGCGGCGTTTGTCGGTGGTGCGTGTGGGTGTCGGTGACAGCCCGGTTGCTAAGTCAATGCCACGGCTGCCCGGGTGCTGAAACGCTAAGCTACTGCGCAAAGCCGTGAAGTGCGTCGTCGTCTCAGCCGAGCCGGTTGGGTTCGCTTGAAGGTGGGATAGGAGACGTGTGTTTGACGTGACACAGATAACCCGACGCGGTGGTATTCTGATTTATCGCTTTTGGTGGTGCCGCAGTTTGTCGCGCGCGCACGTGCTGATAAGCTGGCTAGCGTGAAGATCGCTGTGGGGTATAAACTTCGGTTAATTGCAAGCTGGAGTGACGTGAATGTTTCTACAGGCTTGTCGCGGCTTGTGAGACTCGTTACTGTGCGCATTTTTTCTGTGAATCCCTTGTTTCTTATACTAAACCTTCATGCTGAACCAGACCATTGAATGGAAAACTTTTCGTGACGAGCGTAACAGACTGCCTTTGAGGATAGTCTCTTTAGGCGTCCTTGACAAGCCTGGCTCCAGCCCAAACGTATGGGTAGTTGCGCTGGTACCAGTTGACACTGCGCAGAAGTCAGTATGAGTACCGTTCACTGCTGGTACCATTCCTATACTTACACTGACTTGCGTCCAGCAAAGCGAGGATGCGTCGCCCACGATCCACCCAAAACGACGTTGTGCTTGTTGTCGTAGAAGTCGGCTGTGAAGACCTGTTAGTCACTGGCTCGGCATTCGAGAACTCTTTCGATACTCACCACTATAAGCGGGGTATAATTTCATCGGCTCAAAGCCGTCGCGCTGCTCCAACACTGAGCTGGTCCATTCCCAAAGTCCACCCATTTCGCCCTGTCCAGCAAGCTTGTTGCCGTTTTGTGTGACAGGGACGGGGGACCAATGCACGAAGCCCACATTCGCACCTTCAAGGTCGACGTAGAGCTCGTTGGGGTCAGGACCAGCTGCAGTGCTGGGGGAGCCGTTAATAGCAGGCTTGGATGGCGGTGTCTCCTCGACGCCGTCATTGACGAGGTGGCTATGCTTGATGTCAGCAGTGTTCACATATCTGTGAAGGACTGAACATACCCATTGACTGCAGGAATCGTCTGAGCGTGTGCTTGTGCCGCTTCACGCTTCTTGATCCCTTCGACGTGCTCGTAGATGCTTCGAGCTTCTTCCATTGTGGGAATGCGGCCACCCATATAGACCGCGCATCCATGCAGCTCATCGTACGAAGCCGAGACAGGCCAGTCAAGGGCGTACTTGAGAGGCACTGGGCCATAAAGGGTTCGCACAGCCTTGCCGCTGATGAAGTCCTGAATGTCGGCGTCTCCGTTCGATTGAGCGTTAGCACTGTCAGGTCGATGCTCGGTATCCACCGTCCACGATGCGGGGATGTCGGTCTTCTTCGTGTTGATGAGATAACGGGCGTACTCGCCGATGGTGATGGGGCGTGCCTGAGCCTTGAACGCAGGGACCTTTACGGTATGCGATGGCTTCTCCACATCCCAGCCAAAATGTCGAACCGGGCCCTCTGGGGTATCCGGGTCGTCCAATCCAATCTTGATGGTCTGTTCAGGAATGTCAAACCACTGATTTGGCACAGCCTCGTTCTTTGCTCGTGCAGCCAGCTGCTCAAAGTCAGGTTTCAAGGTTCCTTCAGGCGCTCGAGTCTTATCGCTCTGGATGAGCATGTAAAGGAGCGTCTCCAAATGCATGACTTCATGCTCGAAGCCCAGCCACAAAGCACGACCAGTCCAGTTGTCGCTGTAGGCCTGGCCGGACTTGTAAAGATCCTTTACGCGCTGGCGAACAGCATCCTGGAACTTCAGAATCGTTTCCAACTCCGGCCAGGTGTCTGGAATCTCACTGTGCGCATGGCACTGCTCTGGGTTGTCGACATCGGGATCGATGCCTCGTTCGAAAATGTTGTAGAAATAGCTTGGCTCGGTAGGCTTCATGCCAGTAGCTTCGACCAGCTTGATATCGAAAAAGGTCGGAATGTGACCCAAGTAGAAGATGCACGCATTCCGGAGCTTGATCGGCTTATCGAAAAGCTCCTCGTCCGGTATCATCTGACGTGTAACTTTGTCCCATATTGCCCAAAGCCCGTCCCACTCCTTGAGGCTTGGGACTGGATGGGCAGCATATTGCTCGGGCTTGGTAGGAATCATTGCGAGCGGTTTCAGGAGCATGTGTAGGCCTACAAGATAACAACGTCAGCGTGAAATGTCGACGAGAAATATTTGTTAGGTTCCACGGAGTTAGATTCCAAAGAATGACAAAGGAAGAGCCGGGACTAACCGTATGTGCCAGTTTCATTGGTCCAGTTAGCAATTTCGATGACGTTTGCTTGAGCCCACAGCTGATCAGCCTGTGCGAGGTTTTCCATTAGTGCTCAGTTGCGCCCGAATATACGAGCTTCTTTCCCAAAGTGAACAACGCAGTCATCGACATACCTAAAAGTCTCCGGGTTAGCTTTTCAGTAGCAACTCCTTTGTGTGCACCACATACCTGTTTGCGGTTGTACTTGTAGCTCTCTTCGATGCGCACTTTTTCGCCTTGCTTAAGCGAAACGCCTTCAATTTGCAAATCCCTCCTGGGAACCACGAACGCACGGTGACGTTCACCGTCTTTGTCGTACTCTCCAATAGCTTCCCAGTCATCGGGACGGAATACTTCGCGACCGAGTAATCTGTTTGCATGATCCAGACCGTTCATGGTGAATTGATGCGTCACGCCGTCCCGGTCGTTGTAGGCATGGTACACCTTTTCTGGATCCTGGCAAGCATCCAGACCGATTACAAACGAATCGTTCGGCTGCAGTATATCCGCGAACTGCGCGATGAAGTCCGGTGCCTCTTGACGGGTAAAGTTGCCGATGCTCGATCCCAGTGATAGAATGGTCTTCGGTTTGGTGGCGTTCTCTGCCGACTTGAGCCATTCGAGCCCATCATCGTAGGTTCCCCAGAGTCCAAAGCACTTGATGTGCTTGAAGGTGCCTGCTGGAACATCGGCCAAGGTACGCTCGAGCTCCGACTGCATCAAATCCAAGGCGTAGTAAGAGACCGCCTTTCCGGCGCGGTCGAGGGCATCCAGAAGTAGCTTGACTTTGCGCAGATTGCTATTTTGATGTTAGTATGGGCAGCCTAGGCGAGCCGTGCCTAGGAGGGGAGGTCTTGATTCCTCACCCACTGCCCAGCTCCACGACCATCGCACCCGAGGGAATTCTTTCTGCAATTCGCTCTGCATATCTCTCCAGTGCAGATATCTCCTGGCCTGTCAGGTAGTACTGCTCCAAGTACGTGATCTGCTCGAAGAGCTTGAGGCCCTTGTTGTCATAGAGCAGCAAAGTCGGCAGGGTCTTCTCGCCGCCATTTTGAGGCTTCAAGCCGGCATGAATGAGCTGTGTCAATTCGATGCCGGCAGTATCAGACCTGACATCAATGATGCCAGGTACCGCCGACTGGCTGGCAGTATCTAACTCTGGAATTGACCCCATTTTGAAAGAAGAGAGGGTTCAACGTAGAGAAAGGGTTTGACAGAGCAACAGGTGAAGTCGTAAACGTGTCGTGGCTAAGTTTTATGAGAGGCGCAGGGAATGCTGAATCAACAAAGGACGGAGCCACCTACATGCAGATTAGCTACTCCGTAATCCCGTGGACTCCTCCATCCGGGAACGGACAAGGATGAAAGGATTAGCATCCAATGAGCACTATTGTCGTTGTTAAAGGGCCACTTTGGCTTTCACGGCCTCCTGAAACTTTGCTCTTGGTTCCATGGAGTTGTAGCATCTCACTCGGCCGACCGATCACGCCTGCATGTCAATATGCACATGCCGTCCAGGTATCCGACGACCCGTTGTCATGATTACCGAGTTTGGGCTATAGCCGCAAGGCGTTGAACAGGGAAGGCACAGAAGAGTGTGCGATTGGGTAGAGACCATTTGGAAACGTTTCCAGAGGTCCCGTAAATGACGTTTAGCTGCTGCATTGCTGACAAGGTTTTTCAACTGGGCGTCATCGTTGCGAACATGGATCGTGACATTGTCAAGCGACGCGGTACTGCACGCTGGCGGAGGGAGCCAAGGAGGATGTGGCAGTAGACGCAACGTGCAAGCGAGGGCCATGTTCCTGACGTGACCCGTGTCGTTCCTGAGCCGTGTGATTGATCTGTGGGGGGTGAGATCCTCGTTGTACCTGGCTTAATAGATGCTAGGAGATTTCCTGGCTGCATCTCAGCACGACGCTGCGCGTCATGAGAGGGTTGGCAGTCGTGGAGCTCAAGCAGAGCATCGAGCAAATCACGTCGAGGCCAGGCGGAATTCCACGGCTGCTGTCGTCGTCTTGGCATCATCGGCCAACACGAACGCGAAGGGCCGGCTGGTGGTGCGGGTTGGCTTGTCTTCGTGAGGGAACAGGTGGTTGAAACAGGTGGGAAAAAGGTGGGCAGACGTTTGTTTTGCACTTCTCCCGTCCCGTCGCACGAGCCACACAGCACGAGCCATTGTACACGTGATATCGAAGGCGTGATCCAATGGCTCCAACTAGCCTGCTTGGAAGAGCTATCGTGCTTATCGCAGATATCAGAGCCGTACAAGATACTTCGTAAAGCTGGCCACTGACCGTTCAAGGGGAGATCTATCGGCAACTTGATCTCAACTTTGTTCGCACGACAGCCGTCAAAACATAGGAAATCGTTCAAAGCAGCGAAGATAGTTGGCATATATCAATTGGTGTCTGCTCGAACGGGTTGTAAAGGCTCAGAACTGTTGGAAACAAGCTCTGAGCATTCGGTGGGCAATTTGATCCACGACATGCCTTCATATCAACCGTATCTGAGCTTGATGTCTCCTGGCTTGCTCCAAAACCACCTCTTGATCACCTGGGAGAAACGCTGGGAACGTGAGCAACCCTACACGACGATATAATTCTTTTTGGGACTGCCGTTCTCGCTGGACAAGCAAGCAGATCAAATCACCAACCGAATTCGTTGACGCCGGTACACAGTAGCTTTCGGCCTCAGGATTCTCCAGCTCGTCACCGTCGTCTTCGGGACAATCCAGATACACCCCTACAGTTGGCTTGGCTTCCACGTACGGGATTCGGGGCGGTCGAAGCTTTAGTGCACGTGTTGCATATTCTACTAGACGTTCTCGTTGTCCGGTCGTGTCATTGTCATAGGTTGACTGTGCATTCGCAGACGATGCTTCCCTTCCGGCACCTGCCTGGACTTGCTCGGTGTTGCTGTTAGTAGGGTGGAAGGGCACTTCATGCAGCGAAGCAACTTGATCAAGGTCTGTGTTGTTCCCAACCGAGCCACGCTGTCGGTCGGCAACATCTGCATGGTCGAGAAGCCGGCCAATGAATAGTGGTGCGGCCTCTTGGGCGTCCTCAAGGTAAGACCCTTCTAACTCGCGCCAAAACTTACAATGATGTGCTGGGTTACCTTCGGAGTCGCGCAATTCTATCGTGACTGGCGTCATTGAGCAGTCGATGTCGACGAAACATACCTCAGACGTATCGTGTGGGTTCCCGGGCATGCTCAGTGGTCCGAAGGGACTCATTGTTTGTGGATGTGTTTCAAACCTCCGCACAGAGATGTGAAGCTCTCTCTGCCTTTTGGTGGCCTCAAACTGCACGCCTTGTGGTGCGTCCACCGAAGCCCAGGAGAACGTCGGAGCACGGTAGGTCTTCGGCCGCCTTGATGGATACAGCAGACGTCCATTCTCATATGCTGTCTTCACGCGCCACGTGAGCTGGCTAGCAAGGTACCTCGTCCACATTCCCGCCAAGTATTTGCCACCAATCCGGTTCGCCATCAGTTCCGCAATTCCGGCAAGTGCAATGAGTTTGTCTGCTTCGTAGGAGAGGCCCGTGGTTGAATAGCGCTCGACCACAAAATTCCAATGATCGTGTACCATCTCAGAGGTCTGTTCTGGATCTATGAGGACTTGCTCGCCAAAGTCACTTTCTGTGAGTCGATAAGATAGCAAGCCCTTCAATCGAACCTTCTGTTCAATTTTCCCATTTCTGAGCTCAAAATTTGGCAGACCATCAGGAAAAGATTCAGCGGCATCGTGCTCCGGACATTCCCAAGCGATCTGATCCTGACAAAAGTGCAGCACTCTCGGGGCCAGTAACCGTTCTTGCAATACCCATGCCCGTCGATTGACAGGTGAGCTCTCCACTCGCCGGTCCCAGAACGCAAGATCGAAGACCTCACATCGCCGCACAAGTGGAGTATAACCACGCGGCAGCTTTGCTTGCTTCTGATATCTTTGAACTCGGAGTAAACCATCTGTGTTGAGGTTGATTTCATCCTCCCACAGGTATTGCGAGTCACGCGGGAAGAAGAGACCTGTTGTTGCATCAATCGCCGCGGTTGCCGAGATGTTGCAATATGAGTTTGCGTAAATCTGGAACATTTTAACAGACTCTCGGAGCCAATCCTCGGGATCGTCCTGAATAATGCAGAGCGAATCAATCCATATGTAGCGTATGCGGTTGGGTTCCAATCTGGTGGCCAAACTAATGGCATCTCGAAAGGATCGAGGTAAGTCATCGAATGAGATGCCGTCAAGGAACTCATTCCTGTTCTCCTTCAGTAGTCGCGTGAACCTGGCATGGCCCCATCGGTGACTGAGGGTTACATAAAGCGCAGACGTGCGGCTGCCTTGGGGTAGCGAGCCGGTCTCAATCAGTCTGATCTTGGTATCCGAAAGCTCGTCGGTAGCTCGTAGCTCGTTCTCCTTGTCAGTAGATAGCTCGAGGAGCCTGGTTGGAAGAAAGGAGTTCTCGCCGCGATATCGATCCCACTCGCGGCAATTGGGATGCGAGTGGCCGTTGCATCGCCTTATCCAATACCTCGCCAGCTGAAGAACTTCATTGTCAGAGGTATGCCTCGAAATGGGGCTATAGAGCCGACTCTCTCTGCTATGGTCTGCGATAGCGCGGATTGACTGTCAGACCCATGTTGGAGTAAAGCTTTGTTGCGTCCACTCACCGGCTGGACGCAGTAGGTATGACCCTAGCCTTCTGGTATCGTTCAATTTGAAGTCAAGTCTGTACAGGCTCAGAAAGTCTGCAAGCGATGTACCGCTGTCATGTACGTGCACGCTGGTGAGCTGCCGGATGTAGTCTCCTGTCGCGGCAGCTGCATGACTTGCTGTGCCACCAGGCTGGCCCAAGGCAGTCGTGTGAACGCCGATGCCGCAGAGAAAAGCAGTAATGTAGTGGCCGGGGGTTTTTGGGATTGTTTCCGCAGTTGATAGTTGCAGCAGTTCATTTCGAAGTCCAGAGCAAAAGCAACACCCCATGTCAGCCGACATCGTCAAACTTGACTGGCTGCGGTGATGGGCAAAGTGCAAGTCGTAGGTTCCTCTCCACTGTCGCCCCTCCTGTCCTCGCAGCATTCGATAACATACTGAACAAATCATACCGGGGTAGAGGTTATTGATTGTCAGTTGCTTCGAGACTCTATCAAGCCTGGGAGCCGGCAACGAAAGGTCAAGAATAACGTCTCCCCAGTCCTTCAGCTGTGGGGAGACTCTTGTGGCGTTTCGCGTAGGCAGGATCCACATCAGCCAACAGCTTGCATGCACCATGAAGCAGCACGGCCCAGTGCTGCCCTCTCGCGTACGGTCGACCCTATTTATTGCTTTGAAGGTTGGACTTGTCCAGAGTGGAGCTCGCGGCCAAAGCCCACAGTTATCCTTCAACATGGGCTCTTCCCAAGAGACACCCGAGACGTACTTTGATGAGGACTTCCAGCCCCCAGTTCCAGTGACGCTGGTACCAGGGTTGAGATTGGAAGAATTGCTCGGGTTCCCAGCTTTCCAGACGTGGAAGAGCAATCTCAAGGCATCTCTCTCCAATCACAAGCTTTCCAACTTCCACGACACGTCGTACGAGTTGCGCTCCATCACCATTCAGAGTTTCGACAAGTTTAATCCGCGCTCGAATGCCATCAACTTCGTAAAGATGAACGCCCTGGTGTGCAACAACGAGAATCCACCGCTGAGGCTACCGGGGATCGTGTTTCTGCGAGGAGGACGTAGCGTTGCCGTTCTCGTTATCGTGCGACCGACGGATTCCCCAGAAGAGCGGTGGGTCGTCATGGTCGAGCAGCCTCGAATAGCTATCGGCAGTCTATCATACGTGGAGATTCCCAAAGGCTTAATAGATCACGAGGGGAGTATAAGAGGCCGAGCTATGCAAGAGATGGAAGAAGAAGTCGGAATGCGGCTGCTTGATCGGGACCTGATAGACATGACAAAGCTGGTTGCGGAAGGGCGCGACAACGACGCGCCAAACGTCATGTATCCTAGCCCAATGTTCAGCGACGAATGGGTGTCGATTCTGCTGTGGGAGAAGGAGATCGATCGGCAGCAAGTAGAGACGCTCAAAAGGAGACTGACGAGGAGCAACGATCTGGGCGGCGCCTACTCGCTGAGGTTGCTCAACTACGAGAAGTTGCTGGAAGTCGGCACCAGAGATGCGAGTACATTGGCGGCATGGTCGCTGTATGAATATCTGACGAGGAATGGGCAGTTGCCCTGATGTTGAAAGAGAAGTTTGGGAGAGGCGCAGAGCCGCGTGAACTCTTCATGAGCCCGGTCAAGCAATTGATGGGAATTTGAAGGAGATTTGACGGGTTTCCTAATCAACCAGCCGAAGCCGGCCTGCACGGGCCGCTGGGGTGAAACTTGGCAGTAACTTCACCTCAACCTCACGCTTCTCCCATCCTCACTTCGAACCTTCAACATTAGTACCCCTAAAGAAATCGACCATCTCGTGATTATGTCCACCCATATCGATGTGTTCGTCTCATCCCACACGTTTTCTCCGCCGGTGACGAGAACACCGCGGCATCCTCGCCCTGAATGGAACAACATGAAGTCGAAGACATCGCATTTAGACTGCGATTGGAAAATGTAAACTCGTCAGTGAAGTGACGCGCGCCCTATAACTGGGTAGTCAAAACACGTTCAGCACTCAGGTGAATGTTGGCCGGGCGCCACGATCTTATTTAAAAACCCTTCACTATCCACCGTGGCAACAACCCTACTTCGTCGTGCCTCTTCTTTGGCTTCCCACATCACCAGTAAGATCCACAATCAAACACAAAACCTTCGCAAGTCAGACTGACCCATTGAAGGCAGCATGCTATGGTCAAGAACCGCGTGGAACATCAAGTCTCCTGCAACTATCGCGCACATGACAACCCTCATTGGTGGCTCAGGTTTGTGCCGGTCTCAGAGCACAGTCGAAAGATTACGGTTTGCCGTATAGCCACAGAGCGTGCTTCTGCTGGCTGGCTTTTTCAATAGCCGTAGTTGTTGCTCGTGGAGAGCTGGGTCAACCTTTCGCTTCCCCGTTGCCCCGAACTTTCGCCGTAGCAACGGAAGATCAAACCACAGCACCACCTACTTCCCTCGAGCACAACAACAAGGCCCAGCGACTCATCATCTTCGATATCGACTTCGCCCGTCTTCTCCCGCCAAGCACACCCGAATCATACTCGGCCCCACCTGAATACTGCCAACAACTATTGTGCCCGCGCATTGGCCACCATGGAGAACGCCGCAGGAGACGAGACAATAGCAAACGCCGCAGCAGCTCTATCGTCACTCAAAAATAGCACCACCTATTCAGAATCGACAATAGGAAGCATGATAACAATCGCGAGAAGATGCTATTCAACACTAAAAGACAAAAAGCGAGCTTCTCGCGCTCTTCTTCCTCTTCCTTACAACACCACAAAGTCAGACACACACATCGACAAAGACCACTCTTCCCTTCTTCCTCTCCTTGAGCAACTCGCGCTGTGCGCTGATACCTTCCCCCGTTCCTGGCGAACGTTACCAAGTCTTCATTCAGTCCTTTCCAGACGACACAGCAACTTCAACTTCAACGCCCTACCCCCATTACTTCAGTCTGAGACTGCAACATCTACCAAAGCAAAAATTCCGATTCTCGAACCAGATCCAACCATCAAGATGTCTGAGTACTACGGTTGCTTCAACGAGCAAGAGCTCTACGGCTTCGACTTCAACTCCACCAACGACTTCTTCACCCCAGGACCAGATGCATCTCTCAATGATCTGCTGTACGGCGACCAGTCTTTCACCAGCGATGCAGAGCAGTACTTCACGCAAGAGATTGAGCCTGTCACCACCTCTGTTTCAGAGCCAGCCATCACGCCTTTCGATCTGGGCGTGATCGAAGAATTCAACAACAGTTTCGGCAACGACCAGCTCAACACCCCTGCCGAGCAGAACCAGCAGGTCTCTGCCTCAGCCGATGTCAGCGGCAGCGATACTGTCGACACTTCTACTGAGCAGTTCAGCGAGCATGCCACCACTCACACCGATGCTAAGGACAACGGCACTGACAGCGCTCCTGCTGAGGTGTGCCAGCATGTCGATACTCCAGTCGATGCCAACGACATTGGCAAGGCCAACTCTGCCGCTGAGCATCATGAGCCGGCCAGCACTCTTCCAGCCACTCAAACCACAGCTGAAGTTACGTCTGGTGATTCACTTTCTCAAGACGCCAGCGACGACACCCAAGAGGTTTCTGCAGAGCAGTATCAGCCAGTCACTGCCGCCCCTGAGACCTCAACTGCCGACGATGACCTGTTCGCCCAACTTATGAGCGGCGAGCATTTCCCTGCTGAGCAGTACGAACCTGTCTTCCCATCTTACGCCCACGCACCTGTCCAGGCGTCTGCTGCTGGTCAGTATGCAGATGGCAGCATCATCGACATGCAACAGGACTTTGTTGAGCAGTTCCAGCCTGTCTTGCCGGCTGTCGCTCAACCCACCTACCAGCAGGCACACACTAGCCAGCATGTCTACACCAACATCTCAGCGTACAACGACATCAGCGCTCTCAACGCCATCAACCACATGGTCGATACTCGCAAGCAGAGCATGAAGCCCGTGTATAGCATGCGCAACACCAGCACCAACGTGGGTAATCAGTTTCTGATGTTGCAAGCCCTCCAACAGCAGCAGGCTCTCCAGAAGCAGCAGCAGGCTCTCCAGAAGCAACATGCTCTCCAGAAGCAACAGGTCCAGATGCAGCAGGCTGTGAAAGCTCAGCAGGCCTTCCAGAACCAGCGTTACTCTCTCCCTGCCCCTGCGAAAGCCACAGGCCACTTCACCTTGCCGCCATTTCCAGCCATCAAGAAGCGTCACAGCAGCAACAAGGTCAAGACTTCTTTCGAGAGCCCCATCATCTTGTCGCCTGATGCCCACAACCCTCCAGCGGCACCGTTCATTAAGGCAGAAGAGCAGTCTCCTCCACCACAGCAGGCTCCTCCAGCTCGGCCGCAGTCATACACCAACACACCACAGCCAACAGCTCCAGCCATCCCGCCCCTCGGCGCCAACGGCCTCCGCTTCACCTCCATCGCCCAAGCCCAAGAGTTCGCCACCGCACGCACTCCCCTCAACCTCCCTTCAGACGACTTCGCCGCCATGGAAGCCAACCCACACCCCTACATCCACAAGATCATGTCGGCCTTCCACGGCCCCCTGCGCTCCGAGCCCGAGAACTACGACGTCACGCGCATCCGCCTCGAAGACTGGGTACAATACCAACTCCGCAACGCCGAGCGCGCCCAAAAAATCACCCGCCAAGACCCGTCGCGCCTCGAACTCGCCGCCTGGCTCATCTTCGCCGAGCTCATCGAAGCCCACAAGCTCGGCGTCAAACCCACCTCGACCTCCACTCCCCCCGCAAACATCCCGAAATGCTCCCTCCACCTCGAGCAGGTCCTCCGTCCGATCCGCGACTACGCCATCTTCCGCTTCGACCTGCTCCGCCTCACGCGCGTCGACGAGCTCGTCAGCAATGTCGCCGCCGCGACCCAGCGCAAGCTGTCCAATTTTAAGGGGAATGGGCGCAAGGCGGGTCGGGATGTCGAGAATGCGAAGCGTGCGGCGGAGATGGGGTTTGATTATGAGGCGGTGCTTGGTAGTAAGCGCAAGAGGGGTGAGGGGGAGGGGGATACGGGTATGAAGAGGGTGAAGAGGGTTAAGAAGAGTGTTGGTGGTCAGGGTGCGGGTGGTGGGCAGATGGGGGTGTTTGCTGCTGGTGCTGCTGGTGCTGTCGGTGCTCAGGGTGGTGTTGTTGGTGATAACCTCCTCCCTCCTGTCCCTGCTGCTGCCGCTGGTGCGCAGCCCCTCGAGTACTACGGCGTGGCTGCTGCTGCTGCTGCTAGCAATGGTGGCGTCGGTGGTGGTAAGAAGCGCAAGGTAGCCAGCGAGATTGTCACTCTTGATTGAAGAGTCTTGCAAGCCATGATTGATTGACGAAATGCATTTGACGACGACGTCGCCCCCAAGAGTGGGCTTCTTCAAGTTTAGATTCCGCTGTTAGCTTGAAATGAGACTTTGTCATGAAGATGAAAAGATGTTTCCTCTCCCAGTCCATTGATTCCCCTTTTTTGATTCCAGAGCTACTTATCTACCTTGCTCTCTTTTCTCAGCAAGTTCCCCTTCTCGAGTGATGTCTCAAGGTCCTCCATTCACCCACTCGCAGTGGTGGTGAAGTCCTCGAAGTTCTGCCCGTCCTCATCATGCACATTCTTGTTCATTCACTTTCGAGCTTGATGATATCTCATCTTCAACGCCAGCTCTATTCGCCTCCATCATTTTTGAGCTTGAAGTCCACGCCAGGGCGAAGACGATGCTCAGTTACCCACCTCACCAACCTGTGGGAAGTTCGTCAGTTCTCTGTTGGCCCACATCAAAGCTCGCAGATACTCACCGGGCTTGCGACCGCCAGCACTGCCCTTACCGCCCTCGGCTGGCTCACCTTCAGCTGCACCAAGCTGATCTGGCTCTTGCTCGATACTTCCAACGACTTGGCCGTTGTCATCGAACGCGAAGATGTCACCAGCGCTGCTGTGGTGGTTTCGAGCAGCGAGAGGCTGATCGCCAGCTGGCGTAAAGGCATGCTCCTGACCCATCATCTGCTCGAAGTTGAACGTGCTGGTGTCCTTGTCGTTGGCATGCTGGCCATTTCGGACGAAGGCGTGACCATTGGACTCGGCGATGTGGGTTTGGGGACGAAATCCTGTGACGTTTCCGCCTTGGTCGTTGAAGGCCATGAACGACGCCATGGAGTTCGCATTCTGGTTCTCGGCCACAGATGCCAGAGTATCCAGACCATGTTGACCGGGCATGGTATGATGAGCGGAATTGTACATCCATCTATGCTGACCGAAGTCGCCCTGGTACTGCGGATTGCTTTGAGCCTGCATGTCATGGGCGAAAGTTGGCATGTCCGTGGCTGCTGAACGCAGAGCATCCTGCTGCTGCTGCGTGATGGCCTCAGTTTGGCCAGCTTGGGTGTTGAACTCAGTTGGCGTGCCTTCCATTGGACCAGGAATCCCAGTCTGATCCCCACCATCGGTCGTTGCAGCTACCTTGTCGTTCGCAGTCTGGATTGGCTGTGGAGATTGAGATGTGCCAGAGACATCACCAATGTCAAGAGTCTGAACGACATGATCACATCGCTTGTGTCTCTTCTTGCAGTCAGCGCATCTCGGCTGTGGTGCTCGACGCTGCGTCTTGGGCTTGGTGACTTTGTTCTTCGTCGCCGAAGTCTTGCGCTTGGTCTTGGTGCCGCCAGTGTCTTGTTGAACCTGGGTCTTAGCGGAATCGCCATCTTCGACATTTGATTGATTGGCCTGACCGCCGGCATTGTGGTCAATCTGCTGGTCGACTGGAGAGTTCGGCGTAGGAGGTATATTTGGTGACGAGTTGGGGTCGTCTGGCTTGACGGTTTGATCGACCTGCTCTCGCTCGAATGGACTGTCATACGGAACGACAGCTGGAGGATGGCCCTGAGGGTCGTCCTGACGATGATGCGCATGGCCGATTCCCGAATTCAGTTGGCCTTGAGGCGGCTTATTTGGGACTGCTGCAACGGCCGTTTGCAATGGAGGTAGGACCGGCCTCGAGAACGAGGCGACAATCTGCTCTCTGCTATAGTGATCGAGTAGACGCAGGACATGGAGGCAAGCATCCGTCTGGATCTTGCGAAGTAGCTCAGGGTGGACCTGGCTGACGTTGACGGCCGCGATATGGTTGGGCGGATCTTGTCCTCGCTCGATTGGATCGACTGGGCAGAAGTGTGGCAAGTGGCCGAAGTGGGTGCAGCGATTGCACTTGTTCATTTCGTACTGGCATGGGTTTGGGAGATGCCACTGGTCGCAGTTGTGGCCTGCATGACATTAGCAATTGTTCCAAGTGTGAATAATGGTTGGTGCCGGGACATACAGATCATGCAGTACTGGTAGTTCTTATCGACAGTTCTCACCGACTTAGGGCAGAAGATGAACTGATGGCCAAGGTTGTGGCAGATTTGGCACCTGAAAACGTCAGCATCGTTGCACTCGTTTGTTTAATAGCTTCAAGCGGTGATAGCACTCACTCTACCAACTCTTGCTGGCATGGGGTGGCATGACTGCCCAGATGGCAACCGCCACAGTTTTGACACAGGTCGGCCATGCTGCCCGTACGTGAGGAGCTCTGTGGTGTGCAATTCTGTCGAAGGAGGTGGTTGGCGTGCTGTTGTCTGGTGGTAAAGGTGGTGAAGTCTGAAGAGGTGAAGTGGATGTCTTGGCGGAAGGTGCGCGCTCTTGACGAAGCAGACTGCCGAAAAGGCGACAGGTGAAGAAAGTTGGAGAAAGTGCAGGGATTGGAGAAGAAATAAATAGGCAGATGGAATGGATTCCACTTCACTTGTCCTCGATTCACTTATCTTCACCTGCTTCTGCCTTGGCGCGAGTCACTCTTAGCATGTGACGACGCGACTTCCCCATTCACTTGCTCGCTCTTTCCACATGCGTGCCTGCCCGGTCGACTTGGGAGCCAAACGACATATCCGCGCGGGCAGAGTGTCCCTCCGTGTCCCAATCGCAGTCATCTCGAGCAGAGAATATCCTTACTGATGTTGCCCAGGCTCGCCGGCGGGGCGTTGGCTGGGTTCTCGCAAGTGTGAGGGCTTTCCTTTTGGCTTGTCAATTAGACCGCCATCCCTTCATCTCTCATCGGCGAGAGGATTGGCATGGATCTTGACGCTCTGGATCTTGATCGCTTCCTGGGGCCTGTTCTTCTTGTCCACCTTCACATCCTCCATTTTGTCCAAAGTATCCCATCCCTCCAGCACTCGTCCAAACGCAGTGTTCTTTCCGTCGAGATGCGGCGCCGCGGCAAAGGTGATGAAGAATTGCGAACCATTCGTGCTCGGTCCTTTATTGGCCATGCTCAGGATCCCTCTCGAGTGGTGCTTGATCGAAGGCTTGATCTCGTCCTCGAACATGCCCCCGTAGACCGAGTTACTCTCTTTTACAGTCCCCGACGCAGGCGATCCTCCTTGGACCATGAAGTTCGGGATCAAGCGGTGAAACGGCGAGCCATCATATCCACCACTCGCGCATAGAGCAAGGAAGTTGTACGTCGTCTTCGGGCAGGCTTGGCAGAACAGCTCCACCTTCACGTCGCCGTGGGTTGTTTGAAGCGTGACAGACATGGCTATCTCATGCAACAGCTCGCACGAGCTTCCTTTGGCAAGTGGTGTTGGGCGAGCTGTCTGACTGCCAAGGATTGTGTGCCAGCGCAGATCTGCCGCGTAGCTGCGAGGTCGTTCAGCCCAGCTGGGTGCTGGACGCACGATGGTGTCAGCACCGGGGAATTGAGGAGATGCGAGGCCTGGTTCTTATGCGCTGATGGTGGTGGTTGTGTCGTTCGAGTGCGTGTCGTTCGTCGCAGGAGCAGCGGCAGAGTGTAGAAAGAGGTCCAGACTCGCATCCAACAGCAGCACAAGACTTGCGGACGTTGGAAGACGGGAAGTTTCGCGGCGATCCCTCAGCTGGGGCGGCCGGTCAAAGCGCGAAGACGGAGCAGCCTTGTGTGAAACCAACTGCGACCAGGCAGGCACCTGAGGCAGGCATTGTGCTTGAAACATACACACCGTCCACAACCATACCGAAACCTCGTCGCATCGCTCCAATAACCTCCTCTGGCCACGATGCGGATCGCGTAGCGACGTGGACGACCCGCACGCAAGCACGACCTTCATCTCGCGACTGCAACAAGCTCATCCGCCCCCAAACTCCACAGGCTGGGCGGCGCTACCACCGACCCATCGCATCACCTCGCCCTCGTCAGAGCCTCACCGCACGCTTCGGCGTCCACTGCGACAATCTACGGCCTGCCATCCACAGAAAACATCACCTGCGCAAAGTACAAAATATCGCTGGAGAAACATCACCCGGTGCGAGCTGGAGCGGCGCGACAGAGCTTATGGGCGTAGCCCACATGCGGGCAGCAACAATCATACGCAGCTCCTCTCCAGGCCTGCGCATATACTGCCATGGCAGCGTTTGTGAGGGTCTCTGGTCCTCCCAATAGCAACTTCCTCGTTGGATACCCAGGCATATCGGCGACACTGGTGAGTCCGGCGCATAACTTCCAGTCACACGTGCAGCTAGGCTGTGATGTGGAGGGAGTGGTCACAGAGTCACACGGTAACTGACATGCGCGAATGCAGCCTCGAGTGGAAGGACGAGTCGAGATTCGACCCCAACAAGGTGTCTCCGCCCCGGTAAACGTATCCCTCGTCACCGTCTCCCTACAACGTCGCGAATCGATCAACGCCAACGCCGACTCCCTCATTCGCTCGAACATATCCTCCTCGCGGAAAGAAGTCGTCGACATAGTGGGGAAAGAGATGCTGCTATTCAGGTGTCCGCCAGGAAAGGAATCAGAACAAGTAATGTGTATGGATCTGCCGTTTGTTATATTCATACCGTACGGGCGTGGTGGGGAAGAGATTGCGAGAAGGGTACCGCCTGCGTCATTACAACTGGACAAGCGTGCGGCGGAGACGTTTTACGAGATTGTGGTGACGGTACAACAGGGCCACCAAGAGCAGAGGAAATACCCCTTTCCGGTCCCGATAACACGATACGACACGTTGAGCACGTTTGGCATGTACAATCGGCCTGAGAGTATGGAGCAGACGGCGGACCACCTGGTGACGCTGGGAATTAGCCTGCCAAGATGGAGCTATGGACCGTTGGATCCTGTCTCGGTATATATCAAACTCAGTCCGAATGCTGACTGGCTGAGCCGGGCGAAGAAAGTGACGATCCAGAGTATAACAGTCGGCATTGACGAAGAAATCATCTACAATCCAGAAGGGGACGAGCCGAGTCGGAAGGTGAAGACATTGGCGAAGCACCAGCAGAGTGTGGGTGTAAAACTGCCTGAAGCTGGATACTTTACGAATCTCGGGCTTGTCTTTCCTGCGCGAGAACTGAGGGACAACGAGGGCGTGCTGCCGCGAGGGAAAAAAGAGTTTCCAATGTACAAAGTTAGTGGCTTCACGACCACGGGCACATTGTACAAGATTGAGTACTATCTCACAGTAAAGGTGCGACGACAGACCACTTCATCTCGACTTCGTACACTAACATTTCCCAGGCGAGACTCTCCTCAGCTAGGGACATCCTTCTGCGCAAACCGATCGTAGTCTGCCCCTTTGACCATGTGGGCTGTAAAGAAGAAATGGAGGCAATCGAGCAGGCCGCGAAAGACGCGGCGCATATATCCCCCGACAACCCCATGCTACCAGCAGCGACGATCATCAGAGCGAACGATCCGGCGGGACTTCGAGCGTTGGGAATGTGCATTATTGGCGGCCAACGGAAGCCGCTGATTGAGTGAGGTGAAGTGAAGAACAGAGGGGGAAATTTGACTTATTCACAAGACCTGCGCGACTGGACTCTGGCGACCCAGTAGTAGTGATGCCATCAGAAGGCATCCTGACAGTCATACCGGCTGCTCGGCCAGACTCCAGCGCGCGCAGAGTCTAGACCCAGCGTCCAGCTTCACCACGGCAGACGCTCCACCAAGGTGCGAGCTGAAACGCAAAACCGGCCACAGAGGGAAGGAAAAAGCGCCACACAAGAAAGAGCGCACGATGCAACGACACACCAACGCCCACAATATACCCCAGAGGACGCAGAAAGCAAGCGAAGAAAGCGAACAGCGAGTCCCAGGCGTTTTAATGTTTTCTTTTGATTTGATGTTGAACGGCTTTGTTTTTTTCCCTCGCGCAAGGTCTGGATACCCCATTTTGTTCTTCGCTGTTTTGGGACGACCACTACTACTTACTACTGGGGGAAGTACGGGACCTTTTTTTCACTCCAACAAAGGCGTTGTGATTGGATTCATTGTGGATGACGATAGCGACACGCACAAAGTGGCCGCGAGAGCAAGCGCGGAAAGGGGAGAGGAGAGGAAAGCATTTATGCATGGAGGCGTTTTGCTTGTTTGGAAGGAGGACGATGAGCTGAGCACGGTAAGGCTATACGCTGTTATCTCCCGTCTTGCTTGCTTATATACCATGTCATAGCATAGCATAACGTTCTTTCGAGGATGAAGAAGCGAAGGGAGATGCTGAGATTGAGCATTCATCATCCATCATTATCGCACCTTCGCATATTCAAGCGTGCACCCCTCGTGCTCGAGAGCCAACGAGTTTTTCGAGGGTGTCTGTTGTATTGAAGAATCCGAGTGCGATATAGTACCCAACCGCGTGGTAAGTTCTACATCTTCCACAGAATTTCCAGCGGACTGGGAATGTGGTAGTGGTAGACCTCCTACTCAGCATGATAGCTGTTGGGCAAGCCAGTCAGAATCCACGGGATTGTCAACTTTTCCACCTTTTCATTTTCACCACGCACCGTAGGAAATTCGTTTTTCGGGGACAAAGTCTAAAAAAATTGTTGGATGGGGAGATGGGTGTTCGGTGGGATCTGTCTCTCTCTTCGAGATTTTGGCTGTTGGTGATGCTGGCGATGCTGTGATTTTGAGGGTTCGAGGGTTTATACATCACACGTCGTGCTGTCTTGCGAGGGATGTAGACACTCCTCACACTCTCCCACGCACACGCCGTCCCTCAGGGCGGTATACCAGACAACGACACACAGCCATGTCGACCCTCGCAGCGGCAAACCCAACCACCACCACCAGCACCACCTCATCCGACCTCAACTCCCGCCCCATGGGAGCCAGTGGTTACCGGCCCCACTGCCCCCAAATCATGTGGGCGAACCCCATCGCCACAGCGCCGGATCCCTTCCAGTTGGCGATGGAGCGGTTGAAGGCGGATTCTAGGAATTTGAAATCCGAATACGGAGAGGTGTTTGAGGGGAAGAAGAAAGAACGACGTACGACGATTAGGTGGGCGGATCCGATTGCTACGGTTGCGGACCCGATGGCGGGGTTTGGGCGGAGGTTTGGTGATGATTGTGGAGGTGTGGAGGGTGATGATGTGGTGGTGGCTGAGAAGAATGTTCGCGGAAGGAGTGTCGCCTGGGCGAATCCTATTGCTACTGTCAAGGAGCCGGCTGAGGAGGAGGGGGTGAGGCGAAGGGTTGTGGTGTTTGGGTGTGAGAAGGTCGTTTTGAGTAGGAAGAAGACGATTAGTGGAAGGGTTGAGATGGACGACATGACATATGAAGACTTTGATGAGGGAGGGTGCTCGCCGTGCAGTTCGACGAGGCTTGTTGGCCGCGTTTCGATCATCGGCGAGGATGGGGGAAAGACAGCCACGCCCATCGTGACTGTTCGCGAGGTTCGCGTCGGAGGAAGGGGCTGGTTTAAGGGGTTGATTCGGAATTGCAAGAATGAAGTTGCGTGGTTGTGCGCTTTTAACGAGAAGCCGTTGACGGAGGAGCAAATGCCTTTGCTGCGGCGCGAGGATGGGATGAAGAGGACTTCTTCAAAACCGGCGCCGTGCTATGCGTACAGTATGGCGTGTGGCTTCTGTGTGTTGGTGTTTGGCGTCATGGCGTGGGTGTTCTGTTCTTAAGGCTGTGTTCGCGAGGCGTTGTCGGCGCTGGAGTTAGGGGAGGGTGGATTTGTTCAGACTCCGTGAATTCACCCAGCGTGCTGATGCAGATGTATGTCCAGCTCTTCATAGGCTGTCTTACTGCCATATTATGAAAAGACGTTCCGTGTGACTGCTGTGCACGGCATGACTCGTAGTCGGGCGGTGGAAGTCTGCCAGATTCATGCTCTCCTGAAGGTCACCAGCGGGTACCTGACATTGGTTCCGATCTCCTGAACATTGCTCCTGATCTGAACAGTGATTGATCGAGTCACCCGCGTGGAACTGCATCTTCCTGCCCTATTTTATGCACTGGAGGAGGAGGGTTTGACTATTTTCTGCGTGTCCTGAGGATCGAAGTGTTCCTGGTAAGACTGCGCAATCCCGCCGGAGCCGCAGGAGGGATGCTAAAGATACCCGGGCCCTACAGGCTTGAGTAGTAAGCTTGTTTCGTTTCACATCCAGTCCTGACTGGGCATGATGCTTTCCACGGCCGAAGAGGCTCGCTCCGATGGCGACGGGGTTGATTGTTGACGTTACGGGCGTGTCGGCTTTAAGTGGTGGCCGAGTGGATTGCGTGTCTCATCAGCATCGGTCCAATGCGAGGTCATCATCGTGGTTGGGAGGTGAGTTTGGGTGGCTAGGCAACTGAAGAGTAAACAGGAGGCGAAGGCGTCAGACACAGGCACTTCCCAGCGCAGCAGCAGCAGAGGTACGTAACAGAGGTGAGGTCCAGCAACGGGCAACGTTCGTGTGTGGCGTGTGGTGATGGCTGCCGATGGCGATGGCACACATCCAGAATCCTTCCGCCTTCCTTGCAGAGCAGCGCCCGCCGCCGCCGAGCGACTGACGGCAGCGAGGGGAGGCTGCTTTGCTTGTTCTTGGCTGGGCGGGCGGCAGAGTGCAGCAGAGAGCGTCGGGCACAGCACGTTTTTGCCGCAGGTGGTCCGAAGGTTGCACGCAATGTTGGCAGCGTCGCAGTGAGTGAATGGCTGATTACCAATGCCATGTTCGATGCACTGCTGCGCCTCCCCTTCACGCGGCAGCTTAGCCCAGCGTGCCACGGTGAATGAAATGAATAGTCGACTCTCTTCAAATCCTCCCCTATTACCAACACCCGCCAACGCAGTCATGTAAGGCAGCCATTCGTGCCTTATTCCTGCCACTCGCACCACCATCAATTGTTGCCGCGGTGTTGCTGCTCAGCGATTGTTGCTCGGAACGTGCAAGCCGAACTCGCTTCCGCCACCACGCACGCTAACGCCAACGACCGCCTTCCAGAAGCACTCGACGTCCTCCAACAATAATACCACCGCTGCGGCCACCACCCGTCCTCCTTCGCCTGGCGACGTGCCTGCTTGCCTATCTATCCCCCTGCTGCTCGCGAGCACTGCCAGCAGCGGCCACACCCCAAACTCCCGCCGGACCTTTCCCGCCCTCCCCACTCGCCCGGCCCCTTGGACACCTCTCCTCTCCTCGACCCTCTTCCTCCGCCCTGGCGGCCAGACGGTAGCGCTGGGCCATGACTGCCCTCACGGCCAAGCGCAACACCACCTCCAACATGCCTTCAGTCACCTCCGACCCCAACGCCGGCAAGCGTGTCTTCAGCGGCGCCAGCCTGAACAGCAACGGCAAGCTTAATAATACCGCCGGCCAGAAGATCAAGAACTTTTTCCGCATCAACAACAAGCATTCCGGCGAGCACGCTTCACAGGCAAACTCAGAGAAGGGCTCACTGCATGGTGACGCCCAGCATGACGGCACTCGCACGCCGCAGTCTACCCACAAGGAAAAGGACACCAAAAGTACATTCCGCAACAGCCGGTTCATACCACACATTGGACGAAGCAGGAGTACTACCGTTGCTTCTGAGGGCAATCCATTGGACGATGGCATGAGCCCGACCGCACACGTCAACCCATACTTCCAACATCAAGGTCCTCCGGCATTGCGGCATCATGACGACAGCAGCATACCCCCGTCTCCACCCGACAGCCCACACATGTCCAAGAAGATTGCGCCTGAGGGTACTGGTCAGGATGCTACCAATGGCAAGGAGGAGCTTGCTAGGAAGCTGAGAAGAGTTGCAAGTGCGCCCAATGCTCAGGGCTTGTTTAAAGGCAAGAGTGGTAGTGGAGACAGCAGGCCTACGACGGCAGAGCAGGATGTCACACCGCCGCCCAAGATCAACGGCATCGGCCAGCACAACAATGCGAGTGCATTGAGCATGGTGGAAACTGTGCCTCAGAATGGTGATCTTCTGCCAGTGCCAGGAATCAATGGAGCTGTGACTCCCGGCAAGCTACGAAACAGCATTGCTTTTAGGCGAACCTACAGCAGTAACAGCATCAAAGTACGAAACGTGGAAGTCGGCCCAAGCAGCTTTGACAAGATCAAGCTCATTGGGAAGGGTGACGTTGGTAAGGTGTATTTGGTGAGGGAGAAGAAGAGCGCGAGACTATACGCCATGAAAGGTATGTTGAGAGAATGAAGGAGGAAGTGTGAGGATGCTAACACTTGTGCAGTGCTATCGAAGAAAGAGATGATCAAGCGAAACAAGATCAAGCGTGCACTTGCTGAGCAGGAAATCCTCGCCACAAGCAACCACCCATTCATCGTCACGCTATACCACTCGTTTCAATCGGAAGATCATCTATATCTGTGCATGGAATACTGCAGTGGGGGAGAGTTCTTCCGCGCGTTGCAGACGAGGCCGAACAAATGCGTGGATGAAGATGCGGCGAGATTCTATGCTGCGGAGGTGACGGCAGCGCTGGAGTATCTGCATTTGATGGGCTTTATCTACCGAGATTTGAAGCCAGAGAGTGAGTGAACGGTAGTGGAAGATGGGATTTGTCAACGCTAACATCTCAACCAGACATCCTCCTGCATCAATCTGGCCACATCATGTTGTCAGACTTTGACTTGTCCAAGCAGTCGGATCCAGGAGGTGTCCCTGGCATGATCCTCGCCGGCGGCCGTAATGCAAGTGGAGGCATCACGAGCAATCCATCACCCAACAACATGCCGACCATTGATACAAAGAGCTGCATTGCCAACTTCCGGACAAACTCCTTCGTGGGAACAGAGGAGTACATCGCACCCGAAGTGATTAAGGGTTGTGGCCACACGAGCGCTGTTGATTGGTGGACGCTCGGCATCTTGATTTACGAGATGCTGTTTGGAACGACTCCTTTCAAGGGAAAGAATAGGAACGCGACATTCGCCAACATCTTGCGCGATGAGGTTCCGTTCCCAGAGGGATCAGGTGGACCGAACATTTCAAAGTGAGTTCATCACAACCTACCATCGCTAGACTCTACTAACTCTCATAGTCTCTGCAAATCACTCATTCGGAAACTCCTGATCAAGGATGAGCTGCGCCGACTTGGCTCTCGCGCCGGCGCTTCAGACGTCAAGGCGCACCCATTCTTCCGACAAACATCATGGGCGCTGCTCCGACATAGCAAGCCCCCGATCATTCCAAATCAGGGCCGAGGCATCGATACGGTGAACTTCCGCAACGTGAAGGAAAGCCACAGCGTCGATATGGGTAATCCAGGACCGGGAGGAGTCAACAAGGGCTTTGGAGTATCAGCGAGCAAGATGAAGGGAGTGCCTCTTGATTCAGGACTGGAAACTCCAGGGGGCGAGATCGCGGATCCGTTTGAGGAGTTCAACAGCGTCACCTTGCACCACGAGGGCGACGAACATGCGAATACTGCGGGCGAAAAGACGAACGGACACCGGTAGTTACAACGCTCGCCTTCACTACCCGCAGCTGCAGTTGTTCGAGAGCCGGTCGTTCAGAGATACCCGACAGCAAGCCCTGAATCCGGCACCAAGAAAAGGGACATCAGAGACGTGAGATGGAATTGATGGCGGTCGAGCTACCTACGGCTCGACCTTGAAATGCTCTACGGGGTACAACGACGACAAAAGAATTTGTAAATAGTGCACAGCGAACCCGGCGTTCATTTTGAGGGGAGTTTCGACGTGGGTTTTTCGATATCGGGATGAGGAGGGCCTAGACGGCAGGCTACCTTTTGGGTGCCTCTTCATGACTTGCGACGGGATGGATGCATTGTGTCTCTATCCCCCTGTCCTTTGCGATTACGGCATGACTGATCACGAAATGAGATTTTGAGCATTCTTCATTTACATTTAGCTCTCGTGAAGACCGTTGCTTTTTCATGTGCCACGCGCTGAACTATGACGTCGCTCGCCCGTGAAGGCTCACGCCAAGACCCGGGGTTTTGAGGGGCAGGCGCGACTTCACGCGTCGTTTGTGCGACCCTCTTCCAAGCCATTAAGAAACTCTTTCAGAACATACAAACACACAAAACATCACGCCAGTGAAACGAGACTCTCGCAGATACAAGCCATGGACGACGACGATATCCAATTCGACCCGGACTTACCCATTACCCAACCCGAAAACAACAACAACAACGCCCACGCCCACCATGCTCAAAATAACAATCGCCAAAACCCTGAAGACGCCCTTTCACCCCTCGAACAGGAAGTTCTCGATGAGTATGCGAGGCTGGTGGGGAATCTTGATGATGTATGTTGAACCTCTCCCACAAACCTACTTCACTCTACTTTCTTGAGGGGGGAGATTGCTAATGTGGTTTTATTTTGTGGTATAGCTAGCGGGTGTGTTAAACGACCTGGCGAGTCGTCCCTCGGCGGAGATTCTGGATGCGTTGAGGGGGTTGGAGCGGAAGACGAGTACGGTTTTTACGCTGTTGAAGGCGAGTGTTTATAGTATTGTGTTGCAGCAGGAGGTGGGGGGTGGGTGATGAGGGGGGGAGGGAGGAGGAGATGCGTGAGGGTGGAGATGCGTGAGGGAGGGGATGCGTGAGGGAGGGGATGCGTGAGGGAGGAGAATTGTGCGGGATGGGAGGTGAGAAGGTGGTGGGTTAGGCGGGAGGGGAGGTGAGTGCGATTTGGTGCTTCGTTGAGCCTGACTGGGTGTGGTAATGTGGCTGACTGAGTGTGAAGCACCTTTCCCTCGAGCACAGTTCGACAGGTTCAGAATTGAGACGCATGATGCGAGAAGAAAACGATGACGAATCGAAAGCCTCTAGCTCGCGGAGACTGTGATGCGAGGGCCTCAACGATACCAGCAGTGGAGATATGGATAACAGCATACTCTTTGGACGGCCACTTCGCTATCTTCCCTCCATTTGCATGCGGTATTTCTGCCAAGGATCGGGTTCTCCACGACGCCACGGAGAGGGCGATGATGTCCGCCCGTAGCCATAATCTAGTCGACCATCGCGATCTCTACGCGGGTCTGAAGAATGCGATGAGGACCTTGCACGCTCGCTGGACTGGATTGGCAAATGGTTCTCTGGCGTCCCCAGGCTCTGCGGATGACGAGACCTTCGCTCCTTCACTTCCAAGACTTTTTCCAAGGTCACGAAATTGCCATCGTCCTCGAAAGGCGGACTCCCAAGAGCCTTAACGGAGCTGAGTGTCTCGATGTAAAACAGCGTCCCGCCAATTCTCTTCCACTCCGTCTCCTTGGCGTCATCTCCGCAGATATACTGCCATATGATCCCGTTGGCCATTGGATTTCTCGTAACCCTTCTTGGATCAATCTCCAGCTTTTTGTATCTACCCATCCGGGTTTCTCTCAGGATGATCAAGCAACTTACATCCTGCGTGCGCCCTTCGCCCGTGTGCATGACGTTACCGCAGTTCAATTGGACCACGAAGACTTTCCTGGGCCCCAGCTTCGGATTGGTGACTTCGAGCGCCGTGGATTCAAACTCGAGTCCTTTGTTCGTGATTCGATATGGAGGTCGCCTCATGTTTCCGGCCAGATGGACACGCCCACACGTCTCGAAATACCTCGGATGCGGTGCCAAGATTGAATGGCACGGTATCATCTTGCTGTCCAATAGCGCCCGCTTTGTCCAGTCCTCCATATCTCGATTGGGCAACGTCCACGCAAATACCGACTCATCATCCGTTTGCCTGACAATCTCCTCCTGCAACCTCGCGAAAGCATTCATCCCCTCTCCATACAACAACGGCATCTGAATGTTGAACAACCCCAACAAGCAATACGCCAAATCCTCCACCCTCTTCGTCACCCGCCGACTAGCCCAGCTCATCTTCTTCGCCACGCACTGCTCCAACATCTCCTCACGATCCCAAAGACACTCCTCCTCCACCCCCGTCCTCCTACTCAACCCCTTGATAATCCACGCATCCTTCTTCCTCCCCAGAATCCTCCACTCCGCATCGCAAAACACAATATTCTCGGGAAACAACAACTCCTGCAAACACCACCCCCGCGTGAACCACTCACTCTCCCAGATCTTCGACTGAGGAGCCCCCTTCGGCACATCTGCCAAATACGCCACACACAACCTCGCATCCTGATACCACCGCGCTATGGAATTGATACTCTCGCTCAACTCACTCGAACTCCTCTTGTCGATACAGCACGTATCGACCCAGACCCATTCCACCGCATCTTTCTGATTCCTCTATTCAAGGCTCCGGGCGAATTCGCAGAGGTTCGAGATCTTCTCGAAGCCCTTCTTGACGCCCTCTCCTTGTTGATGGTTCTTTAGCTGGTCCGCATACTCTTCGAACGTCACCTCATCTTCGTCCCTCAGCCATCGATGCGAGAGCGTGATGTACCGCAGTATGGCATCGTCAGAGTATGACTTCAGTTCGAGTGTGCGGATGTTGATGAGGCGCATTTTGTCCCCCCGAGAAAACGTTTCTTCTCAAATGGTTGATTGAAATGTGCTTGCCTCTACGCCGCACGAAAGAAAATCCGAACGAGGAGGCCTTTTATCTCCCTCCCTCCTCTCAATCAAGTGCCCTTTAATCCCTCATCACTACACCATCCAAGCCTACTCCATCTAAACCCCAAGAGAGAGATAAGTACCCTACGGTTGAATTACATATCCCTCCTCAAAACAACGCCGTGCCTGTTCCACAGCAGCGAGCTGAAGTTCGCTTGCTGGCTTGCCTTCGAGGCCGCCTGCTGTCGTCAAACACCCTCGCGAACCATCCAAGACCGCCATGTCACCGTCCTGCTGGAAGTTATCTAAGCCCACCAGAGATGAAGATAAGTATCCTAACGGCTGAATTGCATGTGCTTCCTGGAAAAACATCGCCCGGTTCCACAGCAGGGAGCTGAAGTTCGCTTGCCCGGCTAGTTGGCAAGCACCCCCCACAAGCAACCTCACATGAATAGTTGAATGATCTGCATGTCACGACCCTGCTGTGCCGTCTCCATGTCCGGTAGCCGACTGACTGCCCTGCGAGCAGAGCTGACCTGTACATGCATGCTCTCTCTCTGTCTACCTCCTTCACCGGCCGATCGGTCGGTCGGGCCATGTATCCGCTCGTCGTGCAGCACTTGCCTGTACTGCGAATTTTATTATCCGGACCATAGCCAGCGAGCATGTGATGGTGCTGGATTGTTATGCACTCATGTAGAATTGGATTTCAGAGTCTGGTCTTGAGATCGTCATCATCTCTCGCGCTGGAGTTCCTGCTTGCCGTAGAGCCTTTTGACTAGTCCGGGCGGAATTCGAATTGTCAACTCCAGTCTGCGTAGAAATGAGATACTCAATCGCAATCGAGATGGAGAGGAACCACACATCCGAGAATATCGAAGACGGCGAGAGCAAAAACGAGAATGAGATTGACGGGGTGTCTTGTGGGGTGAAAGCTCAATCAAACGAGAGATTATCAAGTGGATACAAAACACCAGAATGACAGAATTCTCAGGAAAACAATCGATGTACTCAGGGGTATAGACAACAAACTCGCTAAAAGTTACACACAAAGAACCCGTCCTGGCACTCCACGCTCAATCTGTACAGGTTCCTCAAAACTCCAAACGCTAAACGCAATCAGACCTCAACAAAGGAAACTCAAAAGTCTTCGTCCTCATCGCGGTGAGTTGACTGAGGTGGCTGTGGATGAGGGGTTGAAGTCGGTGCTGGTCGAGCTCCTGTCGTACCGGCGGGGTGTCGGCTCTGGTACGATCGGGCAGAGAGGTACGTCGGAGCGGCTGTGATACCCGTCGGGGCGCGGTGGGTGACAGGAGCGAGGGCGTGAGCGGTGTTGATGGATGGGAGAGGGGGAGCAAGTGGAGCGGTCCGTGGTGCTGGAGGGGCGGTTGAGGAGGAAGACCCGGCGGTGCTGGTCGGACCGGCACCCTGAGTGGCGGTACGAGACTGGCCAGGCTGTGGAGCCTCCTAGGACATGATGCCCTTGCGGCCATCACCGTCCGCGTCCTTCATTGGGTTGATCCTGTCGAGCAGGGAGGGCTTAGCTGAGCCTGTTCTGGCAGGGGCAGCATCCGTCGCGGCAGTCTTAGCGGCTGTGGTTGGTGCTGCGGTGGTAGAAGCTGGTTGACTGTGAGGAGGTTAGCAGCAGAATTGGATGGAAGTGTGATTTATCGACTCACTCGGTGCTGTTCCCGTTGGGACCAGAAGCGCCCGTTTGACTGGAGGTTGGCCTGGAGTTGTTGCCTCCCAGCGCCTTACCGACCGAGCGAGGCTCTCCTTCGAAACCATCATAGCGCTCTTCTCGGCCTGTAAGGACACCGCCTTGTCTCTTGAAGTCGGCAAGAGAGACTGCTGGGAGTGCCGAGGTAGCGTGGTGCTGAGCTGCATTGTGGTGCACCTCATGGATGGGGACGGTCGTGTGGATGATGTGAGGTTCGATCACTTGTCTGTGGACAATTGGCTGGGAGGTGTCAGTGGATGTGGTAGAGACAGTCTGGCCTGACAACATACCTGAATCGTCTCGTGCACATGATGGTGAATGTGCTCGCCGGCGACGACTGGCAGAACGGCGTTGGTGTGCTTGCCTTCCACATGGACCAGTTCATCCTTGAACTTGGCTGCTTCCTCGCTCAGGCGTCTCTTGACTTCGTTCTCGTCGTCATGCTCGAAGCTGCGGTGCTCGACGGCGACGAGATTGAAGTGGTGCTGCTCGTCGAGGATCGACTCGTCGTTGATGGGCTGGACTGAGGTGTGAAAGTGATCCTGGTGGATCTCCTTGTCTGGATCGAGTCAGCAGACTGCACGAAGAAGATGGCGTTGTGGAACATACCAATGGCGGTGATGAGTTCCTCGTGCTCAGTCTTGGTGATGGTCTCATGGGTGACGGCTGGAGCCACTCTCTCATGGACAGTGGTGTCATGGTGGCCGCTCTTTGACAGGAACTCCTTAACTGCCTGCTTGGCCTGCTCCATGGGTGGCTTCTCGGCGGACATTGTGGTGTAGGTTGCTGCTCAAGTTGGTAGGTGAAGGTACTGATTCAACAATGAGATGTGCTCGGTAGTGATGGGATGGGCTGTCGGGAATGGAAGAGGTGATGTGGTATGTGTGCAGGTTGTTGACGAGAAGAAGCAAAACAGTCGCAAAGGAAGTGGATGGGTGTTTTGTAGGTACCTGCCCTTCCATGCTGCTGCTGCCAACGTCATGCCTACCTTGCGCGTACTCTGCGTCTGGACGGCAGTAGCAGTTGCGATTGCACCGCTCAATGGCAAGCACTAGCCACAAGAAGTCTCGTCTTCGAAAGAGCGATGATCCAAGATCCTTGGCCACACCGGCAGCAGTAAGCGGCATGGTCGAATGGAAGGCGCAGTCGCCAAAAAGCATCCGCGCAGTAAAGATACCACAGCCTCGTGTGAGTGGATGCGTGTTGGACGTCGAGACCATCCCACGTGTCCGCCTGCAGTTGCCGACGAGCCCTCGTCAACCAACAGCAGAAAAATCAAGCTTCAGATGTGAGATGATGTCGTGCAAGCCGCTGCATCGTGGGAGTCGCCGACTTCACCAATTCACCCTGCCGTTGCTCAGCCACTTGTTCAAGCCAGAGGCTTCCGACGCTGCAGTCTCTGGGCGCCGGATCCTGTTCGGCGCTTCTCTGACGATGCTTGGCAAGAAACATGGTGGGTGATGTTGCTGTCGCGTCTGGACCGATGCACGATGAGGTTCATTTTGAGTGGGGGCCGTGCGCAGCGGTCAGGGATCGTGATTCACGCCGGCATCTTTCGACCAGGATCCAGACGACTTCACTTGCACCTTGACACTCACTTTACGCTCTCAATTTTGATGGCAGATCGTATGGACATGGCACTCTTGTTGGTCTGACCGTTGATACAACCATGGCAGCCACATGTGAAGAAACGCGTCGTCGACAGGTGACGTTATCTTGAACGCGATCTTCCTGCTCTCACCACCAACGATTCTGCCGTGCCGTGTCTGCTTGCGATGATCGAGTGTGGCTGGTGCACTCGTGACCAGAGTGGGAGGTGCTCTGGATAGCAGCATCCTGTGGTCATCGGTGCATGCGGCAACAGCTTGCCGAGCATCCATCGGAGCCACCACGTCATCTTTCACTATTCCATCTTGGCTACAGTGTGATGTGGCATCGAAGTAGACTCCATGAGGCGAAAGGGATGCTCACGCCATTCGTCTCGATTGGCTGTCTTGTTCTGCCACGATTCCGGCATATCACCAGTGGAAAGAGTGGACGGGGAAGGGTGAGGTGAGTGAGCCTGCCCCGCTGGATGATCCTTCTGCGTTGCAATGACGCAGTGACGCTTGAACGCATTTTCCCCTTGCGACCATGGCCTGGAGTTAGTCCAACAACTGGGTAGTCGACGAGCTCCCTGACACGCGCACCGCCACTTCGTTCCAACTTCAGGCCCTTCCTCAGACGGCGTCTCGATGTCTGCTGCGACGCCCAGGCAGAGGTTGGGAAGACTGTTCAATCGACGAGATGTGAGCAATGCCACGAGCGAGCCTGCCACACTTGGACCACCTCCAGCTGGCGACAACCGAGAGAACAAACATGTCCGTCGCAAGAGTTCCCTGCGCTCGTTACGAGAGCTCGTGCAGAATACGAGTAAGGAGTATCCGTCAATCCATCTTGGAGCTCGAGCTGAATGATGTTCGACAGGCCGCTCGCTATCGAGGACCAGGAAACCGCTGAAAAGAGGACCTTCTTACGAAACGCCAGATATCGACGACCAGCAGGTTGTGGTGCCGAAATCCTCTGTCCATGCAGTAGACAGTCTTCCTCAAATAGTACCCCAGACAGATCTAGCAAGCGATCTGGCCCATCTGGTCTTGACCGACACAAAAGAGGCTCGTCCACGAATCGACAGCGTCGCAGACCAGCCGATCCTTCGGCGCAAAGTCAGAAAGCTGTCTCATGAAGACCGGCGAAGCTCTCCGAGAGGATCTGCTGGACATGTCGTTCATATCGACACCATGTTGGAGCCCTCGGACGATCCATATTCAGAATTTGTTGCTGACTGGAATATGGCTCACAACGACACGCCCCTGGTTGGTGCACTTGACGATCTTCCAGCTCCATTGAAGGTGATCAAGAGTCGATCCTCAGACTTATCGGAAAATTCCCATGGCTCACGTTGTATGCCTGGCCAACTGAATCACAAACCTCATATCCAAGACTTGCGGAGGTCGATCGACAAGCCCGAGAAGATACATCATGATCGAAGGCGGAGTTCAGGTACCAGACGCGGAACTATTCGAAGATCCAGTTTGGACAAGCCACTACCTGAACTACCACTACCTCTTGTTACACATAATCGAGACGATATGTACGACTCTGGCATCGATAGCGAGCTTGGAAGGGAACGTGAATATCTGGTCAAAGATTCAAAAGTACCCCTCGACCTCATAGGCGTTGTCGACCTCAGCAACACGGAAGACACGCATGTCGACACTAACTGGTCACCTGCTGTGACTCATGAGAATCGGACCGTCAACACCCACGAGATCATTCAGCACGCCATTACCAAAGAGATTCACAATCATCACATCTTCCATCGCATCCTGCCGATAATCGACGTCGAGGTACTACCGGCTCGACATTTCGTTCCAAATGAGGACGGTGGTCTGACGGAGATCGAAGCAGCAGACGCTCCAGGAGATACCACCGAAAGGCTCCAGCAACTCATCAGCGAAGCAGTCGCCAGCATGCTTCCCAAGACTGATGAACAAGCTGGCCCTAGGCAGTTCAGCGCTCGGGCTTTCGAAGATACCGACGACGACTACAAGGAGTACACCAGTCCCGAAGGCATCAAGCGAACAGAGCAATGGTGGGTGCACTCCCCATCAATCGAGACAGGAGCAGAAGAAGCCGGCCAGACCGCTCCGTTCCACATGGATTCCGAGGACCCGGTCGATGATGGTCTGAGGGACCCTTTCTCCGATGGTATAGCCTCATCCATGTCTGCAACGCAGCCACACGCAAGCCACTCGAGCTGGGGTTGTGTTTCGAGTCGGAACATCAGCCCAACGCCACTATCGATCCCGACTCAGCACACCATTGTGCCCATCAAGATGACGCATGGGGGTGCTGCCGCTCAGCAGGTGTATTAGAGATAGCTTGCTGAGGGTGTGGGGAATGCTCTTTCGTTCCGAATGGCTGAGAATTACACTGTTGGACATGCACAGCGTTGGAAAGTTCAACAAAGGGGGTAGTTGTAGTTGAGCATCTACATTGGACTAGCCATGGAGTGAACGAGGTTCCCAGGCGCCTCAAACCTATTTCCAACCGCATGTGAAGCCACGCCGTCCGGCCCGACCGAAGCCGCCCCTGAATCCTGAACGCCATGTTCTGCGTGGCAACGTTCAAATCATCAACGAATGAGTGGCTTGTCATATTTTCTCGATTCCGGACAGGCTTGTTCTGTATTCAACAAAATTATCTGGTAGAGCAGCTGTACAAAGATAACGTTTCATTCGTGAATACCTTTCGCTGCGCTTCGTTTATGAAGCAAGTCCTGGAGACCTTCTCTATCCCATTCATTCCTTTCCTTCCTTTCCTCTCTGTACAGTAGTAACGTGATGCGATGATGAGTCCTGTTAATCCCTCCTGCGCCTTGCTTGAGGATATCATTCATGACAAAAGATGCAAACAAACCCCTCCCCGCACTATCCCCGTTCGAGGGACATTAAGAATTAAATCCCCAACAAAACTCATCGTCCTCTCATCCAGTCTTTGTTGTTTCCTTCTAAAGATCCGCCTTCCCAAAATGTCCCCCCTTCCGCTTACAAGCAGTCACCTGCGCCGTGGGCGTCACCGTCGTCGTGCGCGTCCACGTAAGACTCATCGTCTTCGTTTTATACGACACGGTATATCCAATGCGGGTAATCGTCTTCGTCTTCGGCGGGATCGTGATGGTTTTGGTCAGGACGCCCTGCTTGATTGTCGAGGGCGGGTTCGTGATTAGCGCCGTGGAGGTGGTCAGCGTGACGTCCGTGATGGTGGAGGTAGATGCGTAGATCGTTGTTGTGCTATTCACGGCTGTTTGGGCTGTGATGGTGATGGTTGGGGCGTCCGGGGAGCGGACGGCGAGGTTGTTGTCGCGAGCGGCGAGTTCTTGTTCAGTGCGGGCTTTGGCGGCGCGGGCGGATTCGAAGCGTTTGCGGGCGTATTCGATTGGGACGGGCTTGTCGGCGCGTTTGGCGTTGATTTTGAGGCCTCGCGGGATTGGGATGATGGTTGGGATGACGTGGCATTCTGGATCCGGGAAGTGAGGGCGCGGAGGCACTGTGCAGGAGGCTGTAGTGGTTTGTGTGATTATGACTTGGGTTTTGGTCCAGCGGTTGAACGTGCGGGTGATCATTTTCTTGCTCGTGGTTGTTACGGGCTTGGGCGTGATTGTTTTGGTCTTGACGACACCAGGGACCGTGATTGTCTGTGTATTTGGAACTGTTGATGTAGTCTGGATGACAGATGTGGCTGGAAGATGTCAGTCAAAGGTCGTCCGTAGTCCAGGTGAATTGACTTACAAGTAGTAGTGGTAATTGGCGTTGAAGTTTGTGTGTATGTAACAGTCGGTGTGTATGTAGTCGTCTCTGGAATGCCGACGGAAATGAAAAAGTTGCGCTGCCATGCGAATGGATCGCCTTCGGCGCCGTTGTTACCAATGGCAAGGATGCTCCAGTTGCCAGTGGCCATTTGATTCTTCTCAATCGGGCAGGTCGAGAGTTGTGCAGTGTCTTCAGGCACGGTCGGCACGCTGCTGCATTCGTATTGATCGCCAGTCTCGTCGTTCACAAGCAGGATGTAAGACGTGTCATTCTGACATCCTTCGAATTGGGAGACTGCAGTAAAGCTGGCGTTGGATCGTGAATCGATGAAGTAGCTGCCGCCATCTTGGAAGTCGATGCCGAATGCATAGCAGACGCCGTCGTCTCGTTGGAAGATAGATTCTGGTGCATCGTCGTTTCTTGACACTTTCTCGGTGACTTCAGTCAAAGGTTCGGAGACATCCTGGGCGAAGACGGTAGAAGAAAGAGTAGCCGCAGCGGCGGCAATGATATACGAACGAACAAACATGTCTGCAGCTTTGAAAGAAGCGAGTGATGGCTGCAGAGACTAGTAGGAAAGAACCAGATGTGCTAGAATGATCAACAGCAAGATGATGGGTGAAGGGCAAATACCACGGTGCGGTATGCAAGGCTTTAAGGCATGGCTGTTCGGGCCCAGTCAACTCCACGTTGTGAGTACCACTTCCTATCTCGTGTATGGATCTCGGCACCAAGCGACCAGTACGATGCGGTACTTGGCACGGAATGGGCATTATTTGTCTTGGATAGGAGGACGGAATAGGTGGGAAGATGGGTCGGCAGCCAGTAAGCGAAGTGCATGAGGGGGCTTAGTTGCAGCAGAGGCCATGTTGAGGATCCAGGAAGCTGGGCGCTGTACAGAAGGAGGTGTAAGACACCAAACGTTGTGAAAGGGTGGACCTCGTTGCGGCCTCGTGGTCTTGGTCGCACAAGGAGACTGTGCCCATTGTTGTCTAGACCAGGGACGCTTTGGCGTGGTTTGGCGAACGGAAGAGCGAGGTGAAGTCGACAACTAATTTGGGAGCACGCCTCGTGCAACGGTCATATCAAACTCAGTCGTCATTTGAGTTGCGGCTTCTCCGCTGCTTGACGTGCATCAATCCCGGAAGAAGATGAGAGCCGTGATTGGTTAGAGGACATCTTGGATCTCACTGCATCAGCCCTTTCGCTAGCGATATTGATTTGAGGAGCCGCCTCCGTCTTGACGCTTTTCTCCTGCAATATAATCCCCCTCGTGTCCATGTGGAGGAGCAGGGAACATGATTCTGCATGTCGGTACCGAGCAACATCAGCTCATCCTGCTCGTAAGACTCGACAAGGCGGTGGATCTGTGCGGATGCGTTGGCAACGTTTGTGGTGAGACCTTCGAGAAGGAAGTCGATGTGACGAGGAAGAACTGTGCCTCGCCGGTGCCCGAGACAAGTCTGAGCACATAACGACTCTCAGACAGTGGAGATTGTTCAGCATCTGCTCAAGGCAGGATGTGGAACAAGTTTCTCGGCTCGATCCTGCGTGAAAGTCTGTTCGGCGCTGCGGTTCAACGTTGTTGATGCTCGCCGTTCGGCCACGCGACCAGAAGGCATTCGAGAAGCGGAGACGAACAGCGCCCGAGCGAAGACCACGTCACTGACAGCGCCCCGAACCCGAGCTGTAGCGATGCCGTCAGCAGTATGGAACTGGAGGTGACGTAGCCGGATGGAAGATGCGAAGTGGAGAAGGGGCATTGTCTCTCCGCCAAGGTGAGGTAGAACATCCTTCTCGACTGCACATCAAGCCATGGTGGAAATTCTCCGAGGCGGCCACGGTGGTCGCAGGGCTACACAGCTGCAGAGCCATGGAAGAGCTGCAGCGAAACTATCGATTCGGTCGGGTCTGTCTGCTGCAAGTCGTCTCTCTACAACGAGTCGTCAACATCTTCCCGAGCGGCGCTTCTGCACGTCAAGGGCCGGGGCTAAATTTGGTGGCCACGTGAGGGCGGCAGCCGGCCTGAACTCTGCTTCAGCCCGCCGAAAACAACACCACTCTCCTCGCCATCACTTACGACATCGACACCCGACAAGACGGCCAATTCGTCTGCCAAGGGTCCGGTGAAGGGTCGGACGGCACCATTCAACAGAGTACACGAAGATGCAAAGCCTGGCTCGCCTACGATTATCGCGAGTAGCGACCTCGCAGGTGCAGTACTTGCCCCTTACGGAAGTTGAGCAGCTGTCATATTCTTGATGATCCACCGCGTTGGGTCGCTATCCACCCTGTCGTGACACGGAATCTTCTTCACCGCATGGGCATGGCGCACACGCTGCGACCCGATCTTGTCCAACTTGACAGGGCTGCCATGCGATGGTGGTTTGTGCGTCCGATGTTCGCCAGGATGCGAGGTGCATCGAACCCGAACATTATTGATGACAGTCTCGCAGCCACGAGGCTATGAGCCACATAGCTGGGCACCCAATCGAGACGCCAATGGATCCTCCTCCTGTTTGCGAGGTCCGTGTATTTTCCAAGACTTGCCCAGAACCGGAACTCCTCACTAACTCTAAATCTTTAGCCAAGGGTGCTTCCACTCAGGCTGTGCCTCCTTATAGACCACCTTCCGCCTAGTATGCTTGGTGGTTTACGTTTCTGGCACGGCCAAGTAAACCAAGCACCTAATTCTCGTCTGGCTCGGTTTCCTCGATCGTGAACATGCACGTTCGCCAAGTCGCGGCTGTCTTCTTGTCTTTTCCACGCTGTCAGCAGGGAAAGACGTGCACGACAATGCTAAGAGTCTGGATCCCTTGCCTGGCCGAAAGGCTTGTGTGAGGCCGTGAAGGCCATGTCAAGCGGCTTGGTATTGACGGCGTCTCCTGACGACGATAGGGATGTGCATCCCGTATAAAATGGAGTCGTCTACGCGGCGAATAAGGGTAGGCAGATCAGTCAGTTCACCTTCTCACCACTTCCGCAGTCTTTCGCTTTTGAGAGCCGTCTCTTTCTCCTCTTCGCTATGAGGCTCTCCACATTCGCTATCCTGGCCCAGGCCGCCAGATTCATCACTCCCTCAACTTCTACGGCAATCCCAATCGACGCCCTCGAGCTCACCTACGATGACAGCGCTCCTGGATGGGAGTTGGAGCCCGATCAAGCACACGAGAACCATGTCCTAGCAGTTCGACAAGCAGCAGACCAAGGATGTACCAATGGCCCTAACACCAGAGCTTGCTGGAAGTCTGGCTTCTCCATTGCAACAGACTTTGACAAGAAGCTTCCTCCAGCTGGCAAGACCGTCACATACAATCTTGAAATTACAAACACTACACATATGGCTCCTGATGGGTATCAACGACTGGTTATGGCCATCAACGGGCAGTATCGTAAGTCATTCATCAACGTACGGGGTGAACCCTGCTAACTTCTGCAGCCGGACCAACAATATACGCCGATTGGGGCGACACCCTCGTTGTCAATGTCAAGAATTCTCTTCAACACAACGGCACTTCAATCCACTGGCATGGCCTTCGTCAGCTGAACTCCTGCCAACATGATGGCGTGAACGGCGTGACTGAATGCCCCATCGCACCCGGCCAAACGAAACAATATGTCATTCGGTGCACACAATTTGGAACATCATGGTACCACAGCCACTACTCTGCTCAGTACGGCGATGGAATCGTTGGTGGCATTGTCATCAATGGGCCAGCGACTGCTAACTACGACACCGATCTCGGGACGATGACCTTCACGGACTGGTTCTACGAGACGGCATTCGCAATGAACGTTCGAGCCCTTCACTCAACCAGCGGCCCACCACGAGCTGATACCGGTCTCATCAACGGCACGATGAAGCGAGACGATGGCAAGGGCGCATACCACGTCACGACTGTCAAGAAGGGCAAGAAGCACCGACTCCGACTCATCAACACCGGCATCGACAACCTCTTCCACGTCTCGATCGACAACCACAACTTCACCGTCATCACCTCCGACTTCGTCCCCATCAAACCCTTCACCGCCTCCTCCGTCTCCATAGGCATCGGCCAGCGCTACGACATCATCATCAACGCCAACCAGCCCGTCGCCAACTACTGGCTGCGTGCCGACGTAGGCACCGCTTGTGGCCGCAACCTCATGGCCGGCAAGATCCTCTCCATCATGCGCTACGAAGGCGCACCTGTCGCCGATCCAACATCCACCAACACGATCACCAAACCCACCGCCTGTTACGACGAGTCCGTCACCCCCTACGTAACCAACCTCGTCCCCGCCGACCAATTCACCACCGCCATGAAATCCTTCTCCATGGACTTCAACGTCAGCCGCACCGCCGACGGCGGCGCCCTCATCCAATGGCTGATCAACGGCTCCGACATCCGCGTCAACTGGGAGAAACCCACCCTCCAACACGTCCTCGACTCCAACTACACCTTCGAATCCAAACACAACGTCTTCGAAATCTCCCAAATCGACACCTGGACCTTCTGGGTCATCCAGACCGTCCAAGGCGACCCTGTCAACCTCCCCCACCCCATCCATCTGCACGGCCACGATTTCTACGTCCTCGGCGCCGGCGCAGGCGTCTGGGATGGGAATCAGTCCAACCTGAAATTCTCCAACCCACCTCGTCGTGATACGGCCACTCTACCCGCCGGGGGCTATCTTATCATGGGCTTCCCCGCAGATAATCCTGGCCTGTGGCTCATGCATTGCCATATCCCGTGGCATGTAGGCCAGGGGCTGAGCATGCAGTTTTTGGAGCGGAAGGATGAGATTATCGGTAAACTTGGGGATCTGGGAGATTATCAGAAGACGTGTGATTCTTGGAAGGAGTGGTGGAATCGGAGTGATCGGCCTTATCATATGGATGATAGTGGGTTGTAGGAAGGGGAGATATCGGCAGGGGTGTTTGTGAGGTGGGTGTACAGCATGTTGCATTTTGGGGGGTGAGGGGTTTGGTTTGGATACCCGAAATTTTTGAGGGAGCATGGTTTGGTGATTTTTTGGGTACAAGGAAAGATGGGATACAGCACGATGCATGCATTTCGACAGATTCACGATGACTTTGGCAAATGAATGACCAATAATGTCTGATAGCTTCTCTTCTCGACATTTCGCTTCTCACTTTGCGTTTTGCTTTTGTTTGCTTTCAATCCGGGAGAGGCTGACTCTGCGCCTTAGACTTCACTAACTTCACGAACATACTTCGCGAGAAATCGGATTGATAGAGAGTGTAAGTGTTTCAATAGTGTCAGAATTCTTGCGGTCTGTGTCTAGTCTGTCTACTGGTGTTGGTACAAAGTACTGCATCGCTGCAGCATCTCCTAAATCCAGCGTGCGTAATCGTCAAACCTCAAGCCTCGACCAAGTCGATTGATCAACAAGTCAACACAAGTGATCCTCATCTCCCCTGTCTGCCATGGCTTCAATCTCCGCGGCGACACAAGATCGGGTGGAGATCACCTCAAGACCCGTGGCGCTACAAGAACGTTGAAGACAACTTGGCCTTCTTGGCCGAACGCGGCTTGGGATGGCCGTGGACTGGGCCTTGCGGCATCATCTCCTCGACCGGGGTGGCGACTTCAGAGATGGTGTCGGGGGTGACGGTGGCACCGCCTTGGGTCTCGTCGTCCAAGCTGTCGACGAAGGCCTCGTACTCACGGTCGTAGCGCTTCTTCTCCTTCATCATGGCCTTGTGTGCGTCGCCATCGCCCTTCCAATGCTCGACGCACTGGTGGCAGTCGATGTAGTGAGCTTGAGCGATAGGGCCGAAGCCTAGCATCTGGAACTCGGGAAGGGAATCACCGACCAAGTTGATGTTTTCCCAATCCAGGCAGTCTTCGCAGAATCCACTCTCGCACCAGCGGCAGCGGTAGATGAGACCGCCAGCTTCGGTGGTCTTCGAACCGCAGTCACGACACTCGTGCTGCAAGCAGTAGAACGTCATACCCATCGACCTGGACTTCTGTTCTGCCGTCAAGCACTTGCGGTGGTATGCCCGAGGACAGCCATGACAGCAGACGAGATCGCCGCCAGCCCAGCAGACTTGGCAGAATTCCTGATGATTAATGGCGGCCTTCTTCTCTCTCTTGGGTTCGGCGAGACGAGGGTCTTTGCCGGCGAATGTTGGCACTGCCTCCCAATCACCGCAGTTCATGCTCTCTTTTGAGATCATGAAGCCGTCGATCTCGACAGTGGTATTCTTGCCTAGACGTCGGTCACCGCGGTTGAGATCGACGTCTTCCTTCGCGCGCTTCTCCAGTTCTTTCATGTGTTTCTTGCCCTCGAAGACAGCAGTCTCAACCTTCTCCATGGAGTCGAGCCAGGCGTGCTCATCGACTGCATGGCCATCTTGATCGTTGACATTGGTATCGATGGGCTTGTCTTTGCACTTCTCGAGTGTTGTCTCCCAGTCCCAGCCCAACATCTCAGTCACATCAATCTCTGGTCTGGCCAAAGTCTGAGCTCCACGGCGAATGAGTGACTGCAAGGAAGCAGTATCGAGGTGCGGAGCTTCTTCATCCGAGACGCCGCCGTTCGTTGACTGTCGCTTACGCTTCTTGTCTGGCGAACCGGTGGAGTGGACGTTGCGCATGCTCTCGGTGATCTTGGCAGACAGGTACAGCTTCTTGCGAATGCGCCCCATCATCTGCTCTTCGACGGTGCCCTGAGTGCAAAGCTTGTAGATGGTGACTTTCTGAGTCTGCCCAATGCGATGTGCACGAGCTTCGGCCTGAAGTGTCATCTGTGGGTTCCAGTCTTCGTCCATGAAGACGACATCGGTTGCGGAGGTTAAGTTGATGCCAAGTCCACCTGCTCTGGTCGAAAGCAGCATCACTTTGTAGTCGCTCTTCGGGTCATTGAACATGCGGATTGCAAGGTTGCGCTGAGCCCGATTGGTGCTGCCATCCAGCCTGGCGTAACGGAATGGAGCGTTGTGGTTATTTGCACCCTTCAGCCAGAGCAGCTCTCCCACGAGGTTGAGAGTCTTGGTGAAGCCAGAGAATATGAGGATCTTCTTCTTTCTCTTAAGCACAAGTTCGTCGATGACTTTGTCCAGGACGATGAACTTGCCAGAAGCCGCCTTGACGTGCTCGCCAATGTCGTAAAGTTCGGGCGCAGCGTTGGGAAGGAGATATGGATGATTGCAGACTTTGCGCAGCTGCATCATGAGGTTCATCAACTTCTTCCAAGCATTGTCTTTCTGCGCGACCTCCTGAACTTCGTCTTCCTGTCGCAGAGCTTCCTCCATAATGGCACGGCTCTCTGCCCAGACGTCTGTCGTGTCGACATCGGCGGCATTCTCAGCAGCTGCCTGAGCCTTCTCGAGTAGAGCCAGTTGCGTGTCGTTGGCTTCATGCTTCAGTGTTTGCGCCTCCTTGTCCTTTGCGTCACCAAACAGATCATCGAGAGTACCTTGATCGGCTCGAGTAAGAAGTCGGGTGTACCAGAAGCGTTGCATTGGCGTCAGGGGGACGAAGAGAAGTACTTCTTCTTTGGGAGGCAGACCGAGATTCACGCCTGGGCTCGTCTTCATTCGGCGGAGCATGATCAACTCCAGCAACCGTCGAGCGTCATCCATGAAGTCAGTCGAAACAGTGCCCTTGGTCAGGTCAAATGCCTTGCGAAAGTCGTCTGCGGTGTCGACTGGGAAGACATCTGGGAACAGCCAGTGCAGCAGCGCCCACATCTCTCTCAGGTTATTCTGGAGCGGTGTGCCGGTCAACAGTAGCCGGTACTCCGCACTGAGGCCTTGCAGGGATGACGATATGTCGGACTTCTCATTCTTGATCTTGTGACCCTCATCGAGAACGCAGTACCGCCAGACGAAAGAGCGCTTGAACCACGATGACTCAGACACGAAGGTCTCGTACGTAGTGACAACCATATCGACACGATCCTTATCCGTGCCACGACCGCTCTCCCAACGAGACTTCCGCTCGAGGCAGTGCTTCTTGAAGCGCTCGCGTTCCAGCTTTGGTCCATGGAAGCGGATAACGTTGAGCTCGGGGGTCCACTTGCGGGTTTCAGAGATCCACGACGAGAGAACACTCAATGGGCAGACCACCAAGAATGGTCGATTCTCGCCGATAGACGGATTGGTCTCGGTGAGGTGCTGGAATAGAGCCAATGTCTGCAAAGTCTTGCCGAGCCCCATCTCGTCACCAAGGATGGAGGACATGCCGTTGTTGTGCATGTAAGTGAGGAAAGAGAGGCCTTCAAGCTGGTATGGCTTCATTTTGGCCTTGACGCCGGGAGGCTGCTTGTCCAGGGCCTTGTATGGAACATGTTTGGGCTCACGGGTTTCCGCCGCGGCCTTACGAAGCTTGTCAATGTAACTGTAGCCAGGCAGTAGAGGCTTGAAGTAGTCGCCGTGCACGTAGAGGAAGGCATGGCGCTTTGGTCTGGTGCTGATCTCGATTTCGTGGCGGACTCTGGTTCGTGCAGTCTCCGCTTTAGGAGCAGGAGCTCCCATGTCTGATCTGAGGATCTTGTTGGACTTCTTCGCCTTGGTTGGTGTTCTCTTCACCAAGACTGGGCGAGCGTAGCTGATGTTTGCTCGGGTGCTTCGCGTTGGCAGCTCGCGACTGCGCTGAGGGTGAGATTCCCGAGCTCTGTGAACCGTTAGTATAAGGAGATGATGAGACATTGGAGAGGGCACGTACTTCGCAGCTGTGCCACGGGGAACGGCGTGGATCACGTCGCCGGTCAACTCATCTTCACTGGTCTCTGGTCCGCCACCGCCAGGAGTCTCAATCTTCTCCATGCCCTCCTCATACGAAGATTGGGTGAAGTTGGACCCAGGTGTGGTTGGAGGCGACTCGGCGTAAGAGATGGGCTTCTTCGTGCCTCGTAGGCCAGGGCCGGTATCGCCGTTCTGTATACCGCCGTTCTGTATGCCAGACTCGCGGCGCATCTTGGTTGCTGAGGTTGGCGACTTGACAGCGCCCCAAGTAGCGAGCAGATCCGCCATGCTGGGTCGAGGGGCTAGAACAGCAACCACCTTGCGTCGTTTTGGGGGTGTTGGCGATGTTGCCAGGTCGTCGATGTCGTCGAAGTCCATTGAGAAAAGCTCGAGGTCAAGTGAGGTTTAGGCTGCTGCTGGCATCTGACGTCGGCACCTGCCGTTTCACTTCCAGATGTTCTCCATTCACTAGATTGTTCGTTGCCACGGAGATTTCAGATGCTTGCACTTTGCGTTCCTGCCAGCTGAAAAGCACAAGATGATGCAGCAAACTCGGTGTCAATGGCAAGGCGTGAATGTATAGGCTAGACAAACACCCCCATGGTTGCTTTCCAAACTAAATGTGAGTCAATGTGTGTCAATGTGTAGTTAATCGACGGTGTAGGGAGTTTCGTCTTTCACGACGTCGCGAACGTGGAGAAGACGCGCCAGGGTTTGACGCGCTAGTGGAGATCCCGGCGCCGATCATGCGCCTCTGAACTCTATTCGCGCGACATCACCAACTGCCCGCTCCAACTGAGAAGCTGACGACAAGCCTCCCAAAAGCTACAGGTCATGCAACGGAACAAGGCTAGATGAGAAGAGCTACTGTCGATACTGATGAGGCTGATGATAAGCTCTTTGCGGTAATAGCATAGCGTGACTCACAGCAATGGCCCGTTTCTACCCACTCTACGTCCGCCGGAGTGATGGGAAGATCGAGATCATTGTCAAAGGCAAACGAAAAGAGCTAAACCAACCCACCGATGACCAGCTCGACCAGCGAGCCGACAAGGAGGGGATCAGTGACTTCTACCGGGAAGTGGCCCTTGAGGAGCCGAAGCATATGGACTGGAGGAGGAAGCTTGGTGGCATGCTGGCGAGAGAACTGAATTGGAAGGATAAGACTGGAGGTGGTATGTACGTGCATGATATTCGCAAGATCATTTTGGATTGGTACTGATATGATCTACAGACAACGGCTACATACTCGTATCGTTCCCTGAAAACTACCGCCTTTATGAGCACGTCAAGAAGACTGAGAAGGATGGCAAAGCCGAGGTCAAGAGCAAGACACATGCTGCCGGTGGGAACGACAGACAAGATGCATATCTATACGGACATCCTGATGGGCGGAAGAAGAGGTTTAGGAGTCCTAATGACTTCTTTCCGCACCTGCTTTGGCTCTGCACAGATGAGAGTGGTGATCCGGACAACTGCACTTGCAAGATCTGTACACCAGAGGATGTGGAGACCGTGTTACCAGGGGTCAAGCTGAAGATGCCAGAGAGGCCAGTCGGGCAAGTACAGCTGCCAGCTTCTATGGCACGGCAGCTCAGTGCACAAGGCATGAAGCAAGAACCAGTACCCCGGCCTGTATCTGCTGCGCCCAAGCCGAATGTACCCGCACCTCTGCCGCTGGCGAAGACGGAAGACCACAGACTGGATCGAAGATACAATGTCTTCATGTACCGGCCTGGGGAGCTGGTTTGGTTCAAACGAGGGCAAGCATGGGGGTTGGGAGCAATACTGCGGCGGTGGCTTCTCCAGTCAGGATCAAACAACTCCTCACATCAATATCTGGTGCAACCACTATCATATCCAGGACACAATCCACGACCGGTCATCAAATCATCAGACGCAGAGATGCGGCCGTGGCTGGCATGGAGTGTACCTCGATTCACAAACGAAGGCCTGAACAACCTGGCGAATCCTCCTCGCTACGACAGCGCCGACTGGCGAGGCATGATGGAGAAGAGATACGGCAGCGGCGACATGGAAGTCGACGGCTCGATCTTAGCAGCCAAAACCGTCGACTCAACCTACACCCTCTTCAACCACAACCGAACCATCCAACCCGAAGCCCTCGTCCAAGAAAACCACTTCGACGGCATCTTCCTCGGCGCCGAGAAGATCTGGACCGGCGACCCCATCCGCCTGCACCGCACCGACCGCTCCACCGACATCATGGTCGTGCACACCATAATCGACATCAAAACCGTCTCCGCCATGAACAAGAACCAAATCCTCGACCAAACTGTCAAACTCCAAGGCGACATGTACACCCTCACCACCGTCCCACACCCCAACCCCGCGATCCCCTCCCCGGCCGCCCCAAACAACAACCCACACCTCCCCACCCGCCTCACCGACGACCTCGCCTACCGCAACGCCCGCTCCATCCCCGCCAAACGCACCGCCTCCTACTGGAACCTCACGCACCCCAACCTCCGCATCGACCTCAACGAAATCAAAGGCCGCTGGTACGAAGCCTCCCTCGTCCTCCCCATCCTCCAACCCCAGCTCTTCGAGGACGCCGCCCGCCGCGGCGAAATCCAGGAATCCTCCCTCTGGATGAACGCCCGGGGGGATTGCATCAACAGCAACCGCGCGCCGAATTTGCCGCGCTTGCAGAGGGTGAATGTGAGGAAGGAGAGTAGGAAGGAGGCTTTTGGTAGGAGTGTTCCTCCGAATGTGGTGATTTTAGAGGGTGTGAGGCCGCCGGTGCCGGAGAATGTGGATCCTGGTTTGGAGACGCAGGGACAAACGCAGGGTACGGGAGCTGGAGCTGGGGCTGGGGCTGGGGCTGGGAATGTTAATGTGAATACTTCGACGGCGATGGATATCGATCCGAGGTTCGATACGGCGGATGATGGAGGAGGCGGTGGACAAGGACAGGGACAAGACGATCGAGGTTTGGAGGAATTCATGAACTTGGACGATGAGATGTTCGGAGGCGGAGGTGGGACGCAGAGTCCGTTCTTTAAGCTTTGATATAACATCGTGTCAGGAAACAAGTACGGCAGAGTAATTTGAAGAATTGCATTCATGGCAGCGGCTCAGCTGTATAGTAGGTCTCAGCGAGCACCCAGGGTATCCATGGTAGAACGCATCAACGCTTGACGAAAACACCACCAAACTGGTCACAGCCTTTCCCTTCCTGCAGCCAAACCAACGCAACCCAGGCAGCGAAGCGACGGGCCTTCACAGGTCGAAGGAGCAAAGAAGCCGTAGATCCATCAAAAAGCTGCCATTCCGTCACCACATCTCTACCACCTTCACGGATCCCCTTCCTCTGTCGGGTTGATCACCGCTTCTTCCTGTATCGAATACCTCGTCCACCTTGCGCTATCGAGCCATTGCTATTGCTCCGACTCATCGTGCACACCGGCCGCACCTCATCCGAGTGCATACTCGCCAACGCAAAAGAGTTAGTGTTGTGTCCGAAGTATAGCCACGCGCCATCCTTGGTCTTCTTCACCGTCAACATCCCAATGGCACCCGTGGAGTCGGAGTGCTTGACCGAAGGGTGGCCCATGAAGTCCTTTTGGATGAATCCCCGCACGGCCTCCTCCTCCATGCACTCCTTGACACCGACACCGCTGACTTTGCGGACGTTGTTGAAGACGCGATCTGAACAGACTGAGGCTGCCATAGTGGTCGACATGTGTTCGCCCGTGCCGCTGGTGACGGTGGCCACGGTCGTCCTGTCTTCGTCTTGGGGGTCGACAGGAATGACGGTAGCACCCACTCCGACCAGGGCAGCAGGACCGATCCGCCCACGGTGCTTCATGCCGATGCCGCCTGATGATGCACCGCACGCAATGTTGCCGAACATGTCGATGGCGATGGCACCAACTGTGTCGGTGATAAGGTCCACCTCTCTGTCTTCCGCATCTTTCGTGGGCGCGCCGTCCACATTGATAGACTGCTGGCGAATAGGTGATGCTGGGGTCTTCTGTTGGACGTCAGTTGGCAGGTCTTGAAAAGACTGAGAGGCGGTAGATGGAGATGTGGCAGGCTGGTGAGGCGGCGCGGGTATCGTGGCAATGGCAGTGTCGTCTGAATCGGAGCCTACAGATTGTGAGTGAGTTGCAGCATGCAGTTCGAGGCCATCAGCATCAGGATCGTCCTCAAATGAGACATCCACAAGTTGCTGTCCGCCGTCGATGTTTCCTTGCGATGATACGCGGGTAAACGGCGAAGACGGAGCCAACTTCTGCGTGCTGTTTGCAAATGGGTTGCGAGACATGTTCTCCAGGTCGCTGCCAGGTGGTCCCTCCGGATCGATGTATTCGTCTGGGTGGTTCGGCGTAGTATCTTTGGGATCGTCATCAGCCAAAGACCACGAGGACGAAGACTGTTGACCAGGTGTACTGTCGCTGTCAGGCTGGAAGTTGTCGGAGGGTGGGGGTGAGATCGGCTGTGCATCGTTGTACATGGAAGCGTCCATGGCCTTCTCGTGAGTCTTGCGGACGTTCTCATATTCCCGACTCTGATCATAGTACTCAGTCAAGTCCTTCTCTGATGCCGCAGGCGACGTTCCAAAGCGCTTAGTCTCTTCGCGGTGTCTGTGGCGTTCGGCTTTGGCCAAGTCTGCTCGCCACTTCTGCCATCGGTGTTTCGCGAACGGAGAGACGAGGGTTTCGTGCGGACACATGACCATGCCGTGATCGCGAGCGAACTTGGTGGCGCCCTGACCGACGAGGAGGTTCGGTGGAACTCGCTTCAATGAAAGGGACTGGGTGGTATGGTCGAGAAGGAGCCGGGCGAGAGAGATGGGGTTCTTGATCTCTGCAATGTCATGAGCTTTGAGCGTTGTTATACATTGGTGACAACACTCACGAGACACAGCACCAGCCGCGCCGCTGCGGCCGTAGGGATCGACAATGATAGCGTCGCACTCGACAACGCCATCAAAGCTCAGATTGCTGCCGTACCCAGCATTTGTGATTTCGCGATCCTCCAGTGCTTTAATGGCGACCTCGACGACGTCAACAGCAGAACCGCCAGCCCTCATGACAGCCATGGCGACTTTGCAGGCACTATCCGATCTCAGTACTGACCCTCGTTACAAAAGCTGTGTGTACTCACTCATTACATGCTTGCAGGTGGTAGGACTCGTTGTCTTTGCTGTGGAAACCAGCGCCGGCATGAACGAAGATGCATGCGAGGTCGGATTGCTTTCGAGGCTTGGAGGACTTGGAGGAGAACATGGTGGGCGTCCTTTTGGAGAGCATGCGTCTGTCGTAGGTAGGTGTATGGTTGTCTCAGGTGTAGCGGCAGTGGTCGATGCGGTGGACACGTGAGGAAATTGGAGTGGGTGGGTTAAAACGAGGGCACGAGACCGGCCAGATGTCTCTTATGAATACCCGTGACGAGTCGCCGGCGGCAAGCGGCGGGGGAGGGAGGTGGTGGTGTGGCGGGTGAGTTGAGTGAACTTCGACGAGAAGAGAAACAAATTGAACGTCAACCCGCAACTACAACACGCTGCTCCTTCCTCGGTGTCAAAGGAAAGAGCGCTGGTGACTTCCGTTCGCTTAGCATGTTTCGATCTCCTTCGCTCTTTCCTCGCAACCTTGATATCCTCAATATCAAGAATCCAATGTGCTCACTTGATTTTTAATGAAATGTTAAAATAGTTCTTCGACACAATTGATGGGAAGGAGGTGAAGTCACATCTCACTTTTAGCAATCGCCCAAGCTAGCTCTATCTCAAATTCTTAGACCCTCCAAGCAAAGGTTTGAGGCGGGGGTCGGGTGTGAGTCTAAGACGACCGCCGCAATGCCAAGACTGACGTCCAGCGAGACCTTACGCAACGCCAACAGGCGTCAGCTATTAACCTTCACCACTTGAGACCAAGACGCACCCACCACACCACCTGCCTCACCCTCCACTCACTCTCTGGTCGCCGACGGAACCGCAGCTATGGCGACCCAAACCCCAGCCGTTGTCATGGACAAGTACGCTCACTCACGTGCGTCCAATTGCAGGAACACCTCAGCTAACCATTGCATAGCGGAACTGGTTATTCCAAGCTGGGTTTCGCCGGCAACGACTCGCCCTCCTTCGTCTTCCCCACCGCAATCGCAACCAAAGGCCCCGGCGGAGGCGGAGGCTCAGCTGGCTCTGGCCGACCTGCTGTCGGCAACAAGCCTTCGTTCTTGACTGGAGGTGCCGGCCCTACAGGTCATCTGTCTGCAAAGAGAGGGACTGAAGATTTGGACTTCTTCATTGGAGATGAAGCTCTCACCGCTTCCGCTGGTCCCGGTATGCTTGGCATGGACAACATAAGGTGGAGTGGAGGCTGATGAGAGACAGGATACGGCCTAAGCTACCCTATACGACATGGCCAAATCGAGAACTGGGTGAGAAAGGATTGGAATTGCTACCAGAAGCTGGAAATCTAACGTGCGGCGCAGGACCAAATGGAACGCTTCTGGTCGAACAGCATCTTCAAGTACTTGCGCGTGGAACCCGAAGACCACTACTTCCTCCTCACCGAACCACCTCTCAACCCACCCGAGAATCGCGAGAACACCGCCGAAATCATGTTCGAATCGTTCAACTGCGCCGGTCTCTACATCGCCGTACAAGCTGTCCTCGCTCTGGCCGCATCTTGGACATCATCGAAAGTGCAAGATCGATCATTAACGGGAACGGTCATTGACTCGGGTGAGGGTGTGACGCACGTCATTCCAGTCGCAGAAGGTTATGTCATTGGCAGTAGCATCAAGAGCATACCAATCGCAGGAAGAGACATCACCTACTTCGTACAATCACTTCTGCGTGACCGAGGAGAGCCGGATAGCAGCTTGAAGACGGCAGAGCGCATCAAGGAGGAATTCTGCTACGTATGTCCAGACATCGTCAAGGAATTTGCCCGTTTCGACCGCGAACCAGAGGACCGCTTCAAGAAGTATGAGGTCAAGCACCCCAACGGCCGCAGTGTATCAGTCGACGTCGGATACGAGCGTTTCTTGGCACCAGAGATCTTCTTCAACCCCGAAATCTACAGCTCAGATTTCCTCACGCCGCTTCCAACCATCGTCGACTCGGTCATTCAGAGCTCGCCAATCGACGTGCGAAGAGGCCTGTACAAGAATATTGTCCTTTCTGGAGGTTCAACTCTTTACAACCAGTTCGGTCGCCGCTTACAACGAGATATCCGCCATCTGGTCGACGCACGCATCACGGCATCGGAAGTTCGCGCAGGCAACGCGGCGAAGAGCGGAGGCCTCGACGTCCAGGTCATCACTCACAAGCGACAACGACACGGCCCGTGGTTCGGTGGCTCGTTGCTCGGCCAGACACCGGAATTCAGAAGTTACTGCCACACCAAGGCCGAGTATGACGAGATTGGTCCCAGCATTGTCCGGAGATTCGCGCTGTTGGGAGGCCCGGGCAGTACTTGATCATCGGTATAAATTGATGTGGACTGATACTTGCATGCCCAGCCGCATTCCACGGCACGGCGAGGCTGCCTTGCGGCGGATGATGTGCTGGCAAGAATCAACGTCGGGAACGATAGACATGAAGATGAAGACGGGAAAGGACATGTTGCCGCGTTCCAGCGATTCCAATGGGATTCACGAAAAGCGGGAGATGCCAAAAAGCCTTGCGTGGATGATGGACCCTAGCGGCAGTTTATACAAGACGGAATGCAAAGATCAAAAAGTCGAATGTCCAAACGATGGTGCCACCAACCTCGTTGAATCTACCCATTGCATGTGGCTTTCGCCTCATGCTAAGCCACCATGTTCGGCCATCCAAATGGTCCCAAAAGGAGCACGACAACAGGTATCGCGAACACATAGAAACACGACACGTGCGTGGGATGTCCTCTCTCTCAATATTTCTCGCGGCATACGCGCCTTCAGCAGAAAAACCAAGAGGTGTCAAAAGCTGACAGAGTTCGCAGGCCCCTAACAAGCCCCACCCTGACTGGAATGTGCCTTACAAGGGAGGACTTGTCATGGGTCTTGAAGTTTCGAGGTTCTGCCTGTTTCGTGGTCGTGGACCTTGTCTGTACGAGTGAAAGTCTGTTTGTCTGTCGGCTTATCGGGCTATGTGTGCGGTGGTGGTGGGTTTTGTGGGGAGATGAATTTGCATGTGCGTTGGCGGTAAGCGAGGGAGGCTAGGAGTTGAGCGTGTGGTGTGGTGAGTGAATGATCTCGACCAGCCCAACCCTTCCCCACCTTCCAAAAGATAATGATTGATTACAAGGCATCTAAACAGCAAAAAGATAACAAGAATGAGTGATTGATCTCGCTGCGACTCGAACGCAGGTCTCCACAGACACGGCTGGGCCGGAGAATGGGGGGGGGGGGGGGGGGGGGGGGGGGCGGGGCGCGGGGGCTGCCGGGGCGGGGGGGGGGGGGGTTGTTCTCTTTTTCAGACCATCGGCTGGCAAGCCGTGGGAAGCGGGCATTCTGCTTTGGCTGGGTGTGCTACCACTACACTACGAGATCCTGAAGAAGAGGGAGAGTGTTGGTGATTGATGGGGGAGGGAGATTTGGGGTGAATGTATAGGTTGGTTTCGAGACGGAACGAGTGGAAAAAGACTACCGACGACAGCGCAAGTCCTTCTAACAAGCAAAAAGAATTACGATGATTGATCTCGCTGCGATTCGAACGCAGGCCTCCACAGCCACGGGGGCAACCCGGAGAATGGGCGGCCCGCTTCAACGATCGGGGCGAACCGATGTGAAGCGGCATTCTGTTCTGCGCTGGGTGTGCTACCACTACACTACGAGATCTTGATGGATGATTGATAAGGGAGGGAGGTTGGAGGTTGGTGTTATAGGTTGGTGTGGATGGGTGGGGGAGCAAAATGGAACTTTCCTTACCATTCAAGTTAAATATGATGGGAGGCCTCTCTCCCGAAGCAAAAAGGTATGGATGGTTGATCTCGCTGCGATTCGAACGCAGGTCTCCCAACCGCACGGCGTCCCGCTAGAACCCTCAGCACTCCCCCTACCCACGAGACTCTGCGAGCAAGAAATGGCTTCGAAGTCCCTCTTTTACTGGGTGTGCTGACCACTGCACCACGAGATCTGGTTGGATGATTGATGGTGACGAAGAAGTGGAACGACATGTATAAGCTGGTCTGTCAAATTGAGACAGGGGCGACGTGAACGAAATACGTCTTGGACATACGCATAAAGTACTTGTCGACAAAGTCCATACTCGTACATTCCCCTCCCCCTTCCCCTCCACTGCAAAACAACCCTTCTAACCATACCCAACAAGCGTCTTCTCCATAAAAAACGTCTTGGGCAAATCCGGCCCCCAAACATGCACCGGTCCCGCCGGCTCCCTCGTAACCACATGCTCCTCGTTGACGACGTCCCCGTCCGCGTAGTGTTCGATTTTGAAGCCCGACGGGTCTTGCCAGTAGTCGAAGACTTGCGAGCCGAGGATGTGGCGGCCGACGCCTGGAGGGGTGTTAGAACAGGGGGTGGGGTGGGAGGGGACGGGAAAGGGGGAAGGGGTGTGTGGGAGGGAGAGGGATGGGGACGGGGATGGGGAAAGGGTGGATGTGTGGCTTACCCCAAATACTCTCCCAGCCTTTCGATTCCAGATAGCGATGACCCATCATTTGTTCGTCGTAGTCGTTGACTTCATACCTGTTAACACAACAAATCATCAGCATCCATCAACCCACACTCAACAAGTATCATCCAACAAAAAAGGTTCAGGGCAGGCACAAACTCACGAACTATGATGCAAAAACCCCCTCTCACTCCCCTCGGGCGCCCTGCCCAAAAACATACAATGATGATCACTATACCTCCTACCCAGATCCAAATGCATAAACACCAGCATATCCACGTCGTCCTTCTCGGGGACGTGCGCGATGTCCGAGGGCGCGAAGTTGAACGTCGACGTGTAGAAGGCGTAGTCGGCGTCGAAGGTCGTGCTGATGTAGCCGAAGTGGCCCAGTTTGTGGATTAGGGCGGGGCCTTCTTTGAGGCGTTGGAAGCGGGCTATTTTCCACACGTGTGGGTGTTAGTATGGTTGGGTTGACGATGGGGGTGGAGGGGATGGGGATGGGGATGGACGTGCCTTTGCGTGGTTTGTGGAAGGGATAATTGTAAGAACTCATATCCACCGTCGTGGCTGTCGGCACCTCCGCCGTGCTGACATCCACATGCCTCTCCTCCTGTCCATACAACACCGAGAAAAACGTCCCATTCGGCCTCGCGATCGTCACCATCTCACCTCCACCGGGGGCATCGCTGAGATCCTTCACTTCAGCGCCTTCCAATTTACAAGCTTTCTCGAAGTCCGCTTTCGAGGCTGCGACGAAGCCGGGTCCTAGGAAGCGTGCTTTGCCATCGGGGCTTTGGCTGGCGATGTAGACGAATGGATCGATGCCGTAGCCGCTGTAGTAGATTTTGGTGGAGTCGGCGTTGCGGGCTACTTCTGTGAAGCCGAAGTCTGCTGCGAAGCGGGAGAAGAGGGCGAGGTCGGGATGTTGGAAGTGGGTGTGGGAGAGGCGGAGGAGTTGGATTTTGGAGGGGTTGTTTTCGATCTTGGGGTTGACTCGTGTTGGTGGGAGGGATGTCATGGTGGGTAAGTAGTTGGACAGTTTCTTTAGATATTGCTGTGAGGTAAGAGCCTCTCTGGAAAGCTGCAATGAGGGACAAGACAATATAAATGATTTCGGTACTTACCTTTGAGTCTTTCTAAGCCTTGCTGCTGCTCTACACAGCTTCGTGTACGATGACCCTGTTCAAGCGGAACGAGACGAATTACGGTGCCGAAACTCCTCTACATCATCGGCCGGGCCATGTTTAGTACCACTTGCAACGGATACCACTCGTCTTGAAGCTGCACATTTGCTATACCTGGTATTCGTAAACTTCTCCACATTGAGGAACAGCACCGTCGATCCCTGAGCGGAACGGTTGCGGATGTCTTCTTGTATGGGGTTAGCGAACGAACGAAGCGGAGAGCTCCAACTGTCCCACAGCTAGGTCAAGTTTGTCCACGGATTATATTGTGGGACTTTCGCCGAAGTGACCAGGTCTGACCAGAACGAGATGTGTCGCACTCGTTCGTCAAAGCCACTTTTCGCCGATGGTCCTGTCTTAGCAATCAGCTGAAAGTGTTTGATCTAAGTTGGCTTACACCCGCTCTTGAGCGGAATGCGGAACTGTAGGATGAGAGCAATAAGTATTGCATCTGCTGCACCGCTTGAACTCCACACGTTCACACGACTTCGTCGAACATATCACCAGCATGGCGACTTTCCAGCGATTGATCCGGTTCCAGTCCAAGGAAGACGGCAGCATCCATTACGCAGACATTGGCAGCAACGACGTCTCCAAGGTCCAAGGCACCCGAGTGCAGGCGTATTCCTCGCTGGATGCACTTTCAAGCAAAGCATCATCGAATACCGTCACCGTGGATAGACTCCTTGCCCCAGTGCCCAACCCAAATCTCCCAATCTACTGCGTCGGCCTCAACTACCGCAGCCACGCAGAAGAAGCAGGTCTCAAAGTCCCCAAACAGCCACCTCTCTGGACGAAGCCGGCTGCCGCTCTAGCATCGCCTGGCGAAGACATCCCCGTGGGCAAGTTCTGCGCGGAGGCAAATCTCGATTATGAGGGCGAGCTGGTATTTGTGACGTCCAAGGCAGCCAAGAACATCACTCCAGAGCAGGCTCCAGAGTACATTTTGGGATACACTGTCGGGAACGACATCTCTTGCCGGACACACCAGGCGCCAGAGAACTGTGGCTGGCAGTTTTACTTCGCCAAGGCGTTTGACAAGTTCGCTCCCATCGGTCCAGTGTTGCTAGGCGCGGAACATCTTAGCAAAGACGTCAAGCTTGTCACAAAAGTCAACGGCGATGTTGTGCAGGAGTCGAAGTGTCTGGAGGATATGATCTTCAGTATCAATGACATCTTGAGCTGGATGAGCCAGGAGACAACCATCCCTGCTGGGACTGCTGTTATGACCGGAACGCCAGCTGGTGTGGGCTTGTTCCGGAAGCCACAGCTGTTCCTGAAGGACAGCGATGTTGTTGAGATCGAGCTTGCTGGTGCTGGGGCTGGAGTCTTGAAGAACAAGATAGTGGTGGCGTAGCTGTTAGAAATGTCAATGGACTGTAAAATGATGTTTGCCAGGAACACGACGATGTCCAAAATCGGTGGACCTCACTCCCTCACCAAGACTTGTTACCTGCTGGCAGGACTATGGCTGCGTAGCTCGTGTGAATCGCCATATCAGTGAGGCTGCACGCCCTGCGATAGGGTCGAAATCGTGCGACCCCCTGGTAGCCTTCACTCGCTTGCGAGCCGAAGTCGTGGCTGCTAGCTTTGGTCATCTGGGCTCTTGTGCTAACGACGATCATTTCACGGCTGCACTTGTAGCAATCCTCGAGGCCACACGGTGAAGCACCTTCCCTTGACTGACATCCCTCGCTGTATGGACGTGTTGACAGTGAAGAATGCTGTCGGTTGTGTTTGCCGCCAAGTAGGACTGCCGTCAAGCTGAAAGTGCTGGTTTTAGACCCATGCAGAAGAGATCGACGGAGTGTGGTTGTACAACGGCGGAGAGGAGTCCGGCTAATGATTACGATCCATGCGCTCGGGAAGGGAACACGAGATGTTGTGCCATCCTCACAGCCGCAGCCAGACCCTGAATTATGGTGTGAAGAGCGGTAAAGTGACTTTGACGGAGAGCCTGACCCGGCCCAAAAGCGATGATCAATGAGACAACTGCCCATCGTCGCGAAGCATGCTGAAGAACACTAGTACCATCCAATCGTTCCTTGCTGTCGACTATACCCTCCTGAGAAGCTCCCTGCCTTCAACGATGAGGCATAAACCGCGATGATGGACGACTGAATTACATGCCGCCCAGCTCATTCTTTCGTCAGGTATATTGCCCAAACATCCAGAAGGGGAGGTTGCTTCGTGGACTGGACAAACATGTGGGACCTGTCACCTTGCGCGTGGAGTCTCACCACCACAATATCAAATGATTGATTGGTCCCAAAGAGAGCAAGCAGTCGGTCCTTTGAAAGCGCGGCAGCTGTCCAACAGCACGGTATGTTTCGGGCTCCAGTCGATCAAGCGCGCGGGTCGGCAGAATGCTCACTCTCCACGCAGCCCAAGCAAGGAGAAGGTGAGGTGCAGTAGGGGCGGGCTGATTCTGCCGGGACGTCGGCGCCGGGAGGTGATGGTGGCCGTGGATATCAAGGTTCCTGGAATTGTTTTGATGACAGGGAGTGAGCAGGCAGCGTCAGGCATGGATGCAGACGTCCGGAAGATACATGTATGCATGGCGGCGAGGCATGGTAGTGCGAACTCTGTCAAATTGGCTTTCGGCTCGTTCGGTGGGAAGTGATGCGCGTCCGGCGACCCGATGCGGCATGGCAGGCAGGATTCACGATGGGTCGCGGTCAGCATTTTGATGAGGACGGCAGTGGATTCGCGAGATTGTCCGGTTGTTGGGCGGCGATGCGCATCGGGGTAGACTGTTCAATGTTCAATCAGAGCGTGGGCGGTGGTCACCCCCATGCCGTAGCGGAGGTCGACGGGTCATGATCCGGGCGGTGCGTCGGTAGCAAGGTTACCCGGTCTGCTGGTGCCAGGATGCACTCAGAAGAAGCCGAGTGCCTCGTCGAGCAGAGCAGAGCAGACCGCGGCCGTCCGAAGGGAGAACCTCGCGGTGGCATGGTGCTGAGATGAGAGAGGGCGCGGGAGGGGATGGGGTTGCGGAGGCGAGCGTAATATTCCTGGTCGTCTGGCTGGCGCGTGCAGGACAGAGATGCCGCCGGGCGCCCGCCTAGCCCAACCCAACATCTCGGTCTGCCACTTGCCAATTCCGAGGCCGCCGACGGCGTGCGTAGGACGTTTGTGCGAGGCCATCTCTCCCCGGCCAGCCAGCAACAATGCGCCTTCCGATCCTCTGCCTTCCTGTTCCATCCTGTACGACTCGCTGCCCGTCGCGCCTTCTCTCTCCCAGTCTCCTCTTCGCTCCTCCCTCGTCCTCACCGCCGTGGTCGTCGCTGCCGACAGCTTGTCCCCTTTCGGTCCGGCGAGCACTTTCCTCCACGCTTTCTCTACCCGAACTTGCCGAAAGCCGCTGCCACACATCTCGCCGTGCGAACAGCCCGCTGCCCATTATTGCCCGCATACCGTCGCCCTCACCAGCCTGACGAGCGCCCCAGACCGCGGGACCACACCCGATCGCCATCGTGGAGCAAGACAACAGCCGGCTCGCAGACTCGCTGCTCACGTCGTTCCAAGAACCCGAGGCCGCCAAGAACTCCGCCAACGCCAGCACCATCAGCTCCTCCGCTGGACAGCCCTTCGCCGCTGGGCCCGAGCCCAGCAGGCAGGCGCAGGGACGGATGCGTTCCAGCATAGCCTGTATCCGCTGCCGCCGCTCCAAGGTCAAGTGCGTCAACAACGGCGTCGGCACAACATGTCGCTCGTGTGAGAACTCAGGACGAGAGTGCCAATACCCCTCACCCGTGACGGGGGCCAGTCGACGTCGGGACAGTCTTTCAGGACGGCCCGAAGGGTATGGAGGAGATACCGAGCGACGGCAGAGGCCACGAAAGAGCACACACACCTTCGTCGCCAACCCAGCGTCAGCATCACGAGACAGTCCACGCCCGTTGCTAGACGCGTTAGACCCCACTGTGCTCACGCCTCAGGTGTGGCAGGAGCTCTTTGACATCTTCCAGATCCACTATTCTGCAGACTTGCCCTTCTTGCATCCCCCTACCTTCTTGAAGCCTCTACGTTATGCCACGCTCCAGCCTCCAGCAGCCGCCGCGCCAGGCTTTTCCGCTGAGGCCACCAAATCAGCGCGGCCTCCTGCCTCGACAGAGTTCCTACTGGCTTTCCTTGCACTGACTGCTCGCTTTCATCCCAAACTCGTAGCTCACCACTCACCGCCAACGGCAGCTCGGGCCAGCAATCCATTGATCGCATCAGAATACTATGCTGCTGCAGCAAATGAGCGGATGGCGACTGCCTGGACGGACAACCGCCCACACGACATTGAGCGAACGCAAACCACCTTGATGATAGGACTGCACGAGTGGGGCATGTGTAGAGGCTCGAAGGCGTGGTTGGCTGTTGGCATCGCCATTCGATCTGCGCAGGCAATGGGATTGCAGTATGAGCTGGATCTGGACGACGAACCCATGTCACGTTCCCTCGCGCTCAACGGTGAAGCAGAGCGCATGGGCGTGGACTCGGGAAGGAAGGCCGCGAGTGGCGGGTCCGCCGAGGACGTGTTCATCCGTCAGGAAATCAGACGGAGAACTTTCTGGAGCTGCTACATCATGGACCGCTACCTCAGCAGTGGCAAATATCGACCGCAGATGCTTCACGCGAAAGAGCTCCGAATCCAACTCCCAGCGAGCGAGCGGTCATTCTTATTTGCCGAAAAGGTGCGAACTCTGATGCTTGGTGAAGACGATAGAAGCGTGTCTGGTACTGGCAGGGCCGAAGTCCAGAGCCAGCGACAGCAGTCGGTTATGCTTGGAACGACTGGTACCCCAGAGCGCACTCAGGCGCCTTCGCCCTCAAGCCTGGCGATGGCTGATACCGATGAAGACAAGGGCAGGCTTGAGGTTGGCTCAGATGAAGGTCTTGTTAGTCGCTATGTCAAAGTACTTGAGATCTACGGCAAAGTGGTCAAGTGGACCTGTGCTGGAGGACGCAGGTAAGTTGGCACATCGAACTCTACCTGAACAGAACTGACGAGACACAGAGTTGAGGAGCACCCTCCGTGGGACCCTCGTTGCGAATTCTACAAGCTTCGTCGCCAATGCCAGGACTTCAAAGCCAGCCTTCCTCGACAGCACACCTTGACGCCACAGAACACTCAGGCGCACATCAGCCTAAAAACTTCGACACCATACACCCTTGTGCATACCGTCTACTTACTTTGCCAGATCATGCTTCATCGCGAGTACGTTCCTTTCATCCCCATCCGCTGCTCGAAACCTGAAGGACCGATGGATCCACCGATCTTTCCGCCCGACAGATTTGATGTCCCTCGTGGATTTTGGGACGAGAGTGCGCGCGAGTGCTTCAAGTCCGCCCGCGATATCATGGATCTTGTCCGCACCTGCCAGGAGTGGAGCGCACTGGTGGAGACTCCTATTGTCGGGTTTGCCATCTACACGGTAGCTTTTACTGGTGTATACTGCATCAACTTTCCATGGATGGATCCTGAAGGTTACATGTGCACACGGCCTGATCCGTCAGCCAGACAGACCGATGTCAAGCCCGGCGAAAGCAAAGGCTTTGCAGCAGCGCGGAAGGCTTTGGAAATGATCGGAAACATGCGTTCAAGACTGCACATGGCAGACGGCTGGTTCAAGACGATCAACCGCATGCACAGGTACTTCCGCCGACTCAAGGCGGATTACAGGAAGAACATCCAAGCAATGGAAAGCTCGTCAGAAGGTGATAGCCCAGTCAGCACGCGACATCTCAGCCTACGTGAAGGTGGACTTGGCGGTGGCTTGGATGAGTTCAGGTTGCTTGAGCGGACGCTGCAAGACTTTGGCAATCTCGAAGATCATGACATCGAGATGGCCGACGCCAGTCGACCCGACTCGAGACCACTGGATGCCGTGTATGACGATAGCAGCGCTGGCACCACCGTTAAGAGCGAAGATGCTGGCGACCGCACTGATCGTGCACCGCCAACATCAGAGCCTCCCAAACCCGAGGGTGGTGCGTGGAGTGCCATCAATGCTACCCCTGGTGCATCAGCCACCGCTTCAGCGGCAGCAAGCCGCCATCCAAGCATTTCAACGCCGTCGAGCGGACCGTTCAGGAGCTATGAATCTTACTCACATCAGCAACATCATCAAACACCACCTCACCAGTCGCAGCAAGGACAGAACCCACAACCACAGCATGGCTACAGTCACCACATCAACAACTTCCGTCCAGCTTACTCGGACACTCCAGGCTCAGCCGGGCCTCCTGCGAATCTAACTTCACCTGCCGCTCACTCTGCAACGGCTTCCACACCTTCGCAGAACCAGCCGACCCCACCATATGAGCGGCAGCAACAACAGCCTGCATACCCGGGCTGGACTGCACAAAACGCACAATATCCTATGCATGCTCCCCCTCCACCGCCAAATCCTTACACGAATGGCGTCTCTCACCAGCATCCAAGTTCGATGCACCCACCTGCACCGCATTCAGCATATCCAACACCAGGACATACCACGCACCCACCACAGCATCACTTGCAACCACCTCCGCCAATACCTGAGGTCCAGCAGCAATGGGATCCTATGACTAAGGAGGCCTGGCTGAACAGCATCGACACCCGTCTCGGTGGTGACGATGTTGCTGCGTTTGTGGATGGTGGCGAGCTCGCTGAGTGGGCCAATTTGGCAGCTGCTCAAGGCTTCGGCGGCGGCTGGCTCAGTACTGTCTGGGGTGGTGGATCAACGAATCATTAAAGCGTCGAAGCATTGCAAACGTTGGGCGTGTATTGACGGCATTTGTGACATGGGCAGCGATCGTGCGCTTGCAAAAGCGTCTCCTTTTGGACGGATCATGTATACCCAGGGCAGCCTTTTGAGAGGAATTGCGCACGCATTTTGGCAGTGCATGTGTACACGACTAGTGACGATATAATGTCGAATACCAACGAAAAGATGTGCCATGTCCTTAAATTATCTTGTTGGAGGACGATGATGAACATTCTTCCGCGAGATGAATGTTCCACCAACCACAACGCCCTTTGTCCACTTCCCGACGTTCGCTATCGAAACCATTTCTGACGATGTTCGCCCATCTCCAACTCGAACACGAGTTTCTCCATCACGCCACGCCTCTTCCGCCTAAATGTCCTGCATTAGCGGTGGAGAACTCCATGCGCGCCCCGCGAGGTTTACATCACCAAGCTGTGCCGGCAAGCTTTGGGGAGCTCAGAAGGGAAGCTTGACTCGGCGATCATCAGGTACCAGGGCGTGCCCATCACACAATTGTGCGAGAAAAGAAGGTTTCCACGCGGTGTCATAGCGTTTGTTCGGGAGGAGATGGGGCGAGATGTGGAGTGTGGAGAGAGGAAAGTAAGTGAAAGATATGGAGGAGATGTTCCTGCTTCTTTTCCGGTTCTCTCCTCTTCTTTGATGCTGCGGGTGTGTTTTTGAGAAAAAGAAGGCATGTTGTTCAACAGAGTTGCTTCTCTCGCCCTGGCGGCCTGTACGGCTGTGCAGGGCATGTCTATTGGAGGACAGGGCATGAAAGTCAAGCCTTATAAGAGAGAGGTTTTGCAGGATCTTGTTACTTGGGATGAGGTGAGGATATATCACGAGATTTCGAATGGGATGAAGTGCTAATGAGGGTGTTGGTAGCACTCCCTCTTCGTGCGCGGCGAAAGAGTTCTCTTCTACAGCGGAGAGTACCATCCTTTCCGCCTGCCAGTCCCCGGCCTCTGGCTCGACGTCTTCCAGAAGATCAAAGCCCTCGGATACAACGGCGTCTCGGCGTACTTCGACTGGGCTCTGGTCGAAGGCAAGCCAGGCGACTTCAGCGCCGAAGGAATCTTCGCCCTCGAACCCTTCTTCGAAGCAGCCCAGACCGCAGGAATCTACATCCTCGCCCGCCCAGGCCCATACATCAACGCCGAAGTCTCAGGCGGTGGCTTCCCCGGCTGGCTCCAACGCAACCCAGCGCTCTACCGCACGCGAGAGCCTGAGTATCTCGAAGCGACGCAGAACTACGTGAGCAGCATCTCGAAGATCATCGCCAAAGCGCAGATTACGAACGGTGGGCCTGTGGTTCTGGTGCAGCCGGAGAATGAATATACTGTTGCGACTGAGGATTATACGTTGTTCCCTGATTCGGAGTACTTCCAGTATGTGGAGGATCAGTATCGGAATAACAGCATTGTGGTGCCGCTTATTAGCAATGATGCTTCACCGCAGGGATACTTTGCCCCTGGACCGCCGCAGAGGTATGCGGCCAAAGTTGATATCTATGGTGAGATCAGGCTGGATGATAGGGACGCTGTGACGCATACTAATCGTTCGTTGCAGGCCACGATGGATACCCTCTCGGCTTCGATTGCGCAAACCCATACAGTTGGCCCGACGATGCACTTCCAACGAACTGGGGCGATCTTCATCAGAATCAGAGCTCGAGTACACCATATTCGATCATTGAGTTCCAAGGTGGTGCTTTTGATCCTTGGGGTGGGCTGGGATTCGAGCAGTGTGCTACGCTGCTTGGACCCGAGTTCGAGAGGGTGTTCTACAAGAATGACTTTAGCTTTGGTTTGACAATATTTGTGAGTGGCATAGTAGTACTGGAAAGGAGTGGTCTCGCTGACTAGGGCTCTAGAACATTTATATGACCTATGGCGGTACCAACTGGGGTATATGATGTACAGAAACCTCATTCGAGAGCAGGCTAACAACCCATAGGCAACCTTGGTCATCCAGGAGGCTATACATCCTACGACTACGGAGCCGTCATCACCGAAGAACGAACCGTCGAAAGAGAAAAGTACAGCGAAGCCAAGCTGATCGCCAACTTCTTCCAATCCTCCCCTGCCTGGCTCACCGCAATCGCGCAGAACAACTCGAACGCCAACTCCTCATACACTGGCAACGGCGCCATCGCCACGACAGCTCTCTTCGGCAACGTGACAAAGTTCTTCGTCGTCCGTCACTCTGCTTACAATAGCCTGGACACGACAGACTACCACATCACGTTCCCTACCAGCAAAGGCAATATTACGGTGCCACAGCTTGGCGGATCGCTGTCGCTGCATGGCAGGGACTCCAAGGTCTTTGTGACGGATTATGATGTCGGTGGTGCGAATTTGCTTTACTCGACTGCTGAGATCTTCACGGTACGTCTAAGATACAGACCCAGCCTAGGACCAACATATGCTGATATTCTTTGCAGTGGAAGAAGTATGGCAACAAGCGTGTGCTTGTGGTCTATGGCGGCCCGGGCGAGACGAACGAGCTTGCTTTCACCAGAGTCGGCAGACCGAGGACCGTGGAGGGCCGCGGTGTGAATGTCGGATACAAGAATGGTGCTGCTGTTCTGCAATTCTCTACGAGCTCGCAGAGGCGGATCGTAGAGTTCGGTAACGACTTGGCCGTCTACATCTTGGGTATGCTTTTTGAAGAAACCGGACGGAGGCTCTAAACTAACGTTTGGATAGATCGCAACTCCGCCTACAACTACTGGGTCATCGATCTCCCCAACGACTCCGTCACAAAGAACTACACCAACCAGAAACATTTCACCTCAGCCCCGATCATCAAGGCCGGGTACCTACTTCGAACTGTCGAGGTTGAGAGAGACTGCTTGCATCTTACTGGTGACTTGAACGCCACAACTCCTATCGAAGTCATCGGCGGCGCTCCTCAGCGTCTCCGCCAACTCACATTCAACGGCAAAGATCTTCGATTCCGCCAGTCTCGCGATGGTGTTGTCACTGCTACTGCGACTTACAACAAGCCCCAGATCTCGGTGCCTGATCTCAAGACGATCGGCTGGAAGACCATCGACAGCTTGCCAGAGATCAGCTCGAACTATTCTGACACTCTCTGGACGGACGCTGATTTGACCTACACGAATAACACCATTCGCAATCTAACTACTCCTACGTCTCTGTACTCGAGCGACTATGCATACCACACGGGCAATCTCATCTATCGCGGCCACTTCACTGCTAACGGCCAGGAATCCACCATCTTCTTGCAGACGCAAGGTGGTAGCGCTTACGGCCATTCCATCTGGCTTAACGACCAATTCGTGGACTCATTCTACGGAGCCGACAAGTACGAAAACTGGAACGCCACCTATACACTTCCCAAGACCACAGCCGGCAAGAAGTACGTCCTGACCGTGCTGATCGACAACATGGGTCTTAGCGAGAGCTACGACGTCGGTCGCAACGACATGCAGGCTCCTCGCGGTGTGCTTGACTTCAACTTGGCGGGCCACAACAAGAGCGATGTCAAGTGGAAGCTCACTGGTAACCTCCACGGCGAGGACTACGAGGACCGTGCGAGAGGACCGCTGAATGAAGGCGGTCTCTACGCTGAAAGACAAGGGTACCATTTGCCTGGTGCGCCAATCTCGTCTTGGAAGAGCAGCAAGGGTCCTGAGGAGGGTATTGATAAGCCAGGCGTAGCCTTCTACGCCACAACCTTCGATCTCAACTTCCCGCAAGGCTACGACATCCCTCTGAGCTTCTCCTTCAGCAATTCGAGCACAAACACCTCCGAGACGACGCCCGCGTATCGCGTCCAGCTGTATGTTAATGGCTACCAGTTCGGCAAGTATGTCTACAACATCGGTCCGCAGGATGTCTTCCCGGTCCCCGAGGGTATCTGGAACTATCAAGGAAGCAACTACGTTGGCGTTAGTCTGTGGAGTCTGGAGAAGAACGGAGGCAAAGTTGGCAGTTTGGAACTCGTCGCTGGACTACCTGTTCAAAGTGGGTATGGAGCTGTTGTGGCGAGTCCACAGCCGAAGTGGAAGAAGAGGGAGGGCGCATATTAGAATCAACCCTTCATATAAGTCGAAAGTCAGATCTACGCCGTCAACTGATCCCACTTCATGGCCAAAATCACCTCAGCCTGCACCTCCTTCCCCTCCACATCCGCACTCTTCTCCAAACTCCTCACCCGTCCCCTCTCAAAACCCGCATACTCCAGAACTTCACTGAGCGAATTCACTTTCCCTTTACTCTGATACTTCAACTTATCCTCCAACCCCACTTGAAACTTTCCATCGCCCTCCGCCTTGCCCTCTGCCTTCTGTCCTTCGTCGACCTGCTTCGTCTCGACCTTAATCGAAATCACCACCGCATACCCCTTCGGCCGCAAAGCATACTTCATGAACCTCAACCCGCCCAAAATAAACTTCGGATCCTCACTCTGCACCCCAAACACCGCATGGCTATACTCATCCATCTTCAAATCATCGACCTTGACCACCTCGACATTCGGGAAATCCGGCTTCGTCACGGATTGATTCTGCTGCTGCGCGATGGTGATGGTGGGGCCATAGGGGGTGCGCACGGGGGCTGTGGATTCGTAGAGGGAGAGTGCGATGGAGGCGTCGCTGACGAGAATGTTGGAGCCGCCGTGGATTTTTAGGGGGTAGTCGGACAGGAGGGTTGTGAGGATTGTGGTTGTGGCGGTGGTTACTTGTTTTGGGGAGGACATTGCGGCGTTGCAACAACTTGTGGATCGAAGGGAGTCGGGATGGGATTCTTGGGGGGTTCGTCTCGAATTCCCTGCTGTTCTTGGGTCGACGGCTTTGGTTCTTTGATTGTGGATTTTTGTTCCCGGAGAGGGTTCTTCGAGGTTGTCGGTTCGAGCTTGGGAAAGAGCTTAAGACATCAAGGTCTCCCTCCTTTCGTCCGGGTTCGAGGCTGTGATGAGCCTTTGACGTTTTCGAGGGTTCTTTCAAGTCTTTCTTCAAACCAGGCTTTGATGTGTGTGATATATAAGTATGTAGGTATTTGGAACACCTACAGAATCCTTGCCACAAAGCCCGAATGTCAATCTCCCCATCAGTGACCTTGGGAGCTTTGCTGTGCCTGCCAATTCAAGGCTAGTCAACCGAGGTGCATGAGGTGGGTCCGTTCGAGCGGAGAAAGAGATGTCAGTCTCGTGACGAGGTAGAGAGAAAAGAGGAAAGAGAAAGTCATTGGTTTGTTATAATTTTTTCGATTTCATTCTGTTCAACATAGGAAACTACTCTACACAAAGAGGTATCTCGCACCAACTCCACTAACTTCTGTGCTGTACAAAAGAAAATCCCTCAGACATACGAATACATCGCAAGGTTCCAATTACCACAGCTCCTTTTCGCATTCTTGGCCGTTCAGTTCGTGGGAGGCGTCAAGTCGACCAGCGACGATGACATCGGGCGGTGGAGGGAGAGTCAGTCAGTCATGATGATCTAGTCGCGGAACTGGTTCATCATGCCCTTCTTGAGCTTCTCCAAGGCGTCGCGGTAGCCGGCGTCGTAGGCCATGTCCATCTTGCGTTCGGTACCGAAGCCACTGCCACCACCGCCACCACTACCGGTGGTCTTGTTGTTCCTCTGTGGTGGTGGAGAGTCGCCGCCGAAGCTGTCGCGGTTGTTACCTCCGCGAGAGCCATAGTTGTCATTGCCACGGCCTCCGCCGTAGTTCGACCCGCCGCCGCCGCCGCCACGGCCGCTGTTGTAGTTGTTATTTACTGGGGCATTGTCGAAGTCCATGCTGTCGCGGTTGTTGTTGCGACTGTTGTAGTTGTTGCTGCCTCCGCCACGACCTGCGACATTGTAAGATCTCGGTTTGGTATGATAAGAATGATGAAATGTCATACCATTGTTGCCTCCCCCATTGCCATATCCTCCACCGTTGGAGTTGTTGGAGTATCCACCTCCACCTCCGCCTCGACGGTTCTGTGGTGGTGGGCTGCGGTAATCGTCCTCATCATCATAGTTGTTGAAGTTGCGGCCTCCTCCGTTGCTTCGACCTCCTCCATTGTTGTTGCCACGGCCGCCATAACCTCCGCCACGACCGTTGTTGTCGTTAAGGTTCATGTCGCGCATGGCATCCCGAGCGGCGTCATCTTCGCCAAGCTGTCGAGCCTCTCTCTCGTTGGAGTAGTTGCCACTGGCTCGGTTGTTGTTGCGACCATTGAATGAATCATCGTAGCCGCCGCCATAACCGCCTCCGCCGCCACCGCGGGAATTGTTACTGCCTCCGCGAGGTGGTGGAGGAGTCTCATCACGGTCGTTGAAGTTGTTGTTCCAACCGCCTCCACCGCCGCCGCGAGACATGCCGCCGCCGCCGTAGGAGTTACCTCCCCCGCGGCCGCCATTGCCTCCTCCTCGGCCACCTCCGTAAGAATCCTCACGGAAGTTGGATCGAGGTGGCTCTGGCTCATCGAAGGAGTCGCGAGAGTTGTAGCTGTTGTTACCCCCGCGGTAGGAACCTCCACCACCACGGGTGTTGTTGGAGTTGTTGTTCCTTGGTGGCGGTGGCTCATCGAAGTCGTCCATGCGGTTGTTGTTTCCACCTCGGCTATTGTTGTTGTTGACGGAGCCGCCCTGGTCGAAAGAGTCTCGACCCGAGTCGTAGCCGCCGTTGCGGGACTTGTCAGCCTGGTTGACGAGGTCGCTTGGTCCAACCCGGCGGTTGTTGTTGGGAGATGTTCGACCAGTGCCACCGAGCTTCTGGCCACCGGCAGAGGGGATCTTGTCATCTTCACGATCGTCCATTCCAGAACCGTTCGTCACACCACCGCGAGCATTGCGGCTGACATCGGAAGCATTGTTGTTGTTGGTGTTGCCTCCACCAGATTGGGTCTGCTGCCCGGAGGACTTGTATGGGTTGTTGTTGGTGGTGTTGGTATTGGTCTTGTTATCATTGAAGAACTCGTTGGAGTTATTGTTGCTGGAGTCGCCATTGCTGCTGTACCCGCTGTCACGCGGGGAGGCAATCTTCATGGTATCTGAGAGGCTACGGTCAGTCTCAGAAGACCTAAGGGAGAGCCGGTCATAGTCGCTCGACCCTCCCGACGACGAGTCGTCCGAGGAGGGCGATTGGCGGCCGGACTTTCCGATCGTGACGAGGCGAGCGGTACCTTGCTTCGCGGACCTGTCCTCCTCTGCGCTGGCGCGCGTGCCACCGACGCTGCTCTGAACGCGGGATGTCATGTTGGTGTTATTGGTGTTGGTGTTTGTGTTGCGGCTTGGGCTCTTGCTGTTGCTTCGAATGTTGCTGTTGGAGTCTTGTGACTTCAGGTTAGTTGCGGCGGCGTTCAGGTTGGAGGCAGCGGCGTTCAAGTTCGCGGCTGCAGCTGGTCCGTTGCTGTTGGTAGAGTTGAGTCCTGGGCGCTCAGCGCTTTTCTCACTCTGCTGTGATGGGTTTCGTGGAAGTTTGTCTTCAAACTTGTTAAAAATGCCCATGCTCTCGGGGATTGGACTAAGTATCGTAACAGTCTTTGACATGTAGTCAGCTAAACGAGTGCCGCCTGGCAGGATCTTGCAGATGGCATTGAAGTAGTTGGTCTTGCGGCCCATGATGAGGCGAGGAGGGACATATATGGGCTACGGGCCTTCATATCTTTGCTTCGATCGTCTGCGGCTCGATCTCGACGTGATGGCTGGTGTCCTCATAATCGTGATGTTGCCGGCGTCATACGCTCCACTACCATCCTGATTGCTGATCACAACGACTCAGGCAGCACACACAACCCAACGCTCAATGACCCAACCGCTCCCAATCCGCAGATTGGCAGTATGAGCGCTGACTCGAGGGAGCTGTGCCATTCTGTCATCCCGTGACGATCTCACAGCCGGGCGAGTCATGGGCAAGCTCGAAGAGGTGGTGAACAGCGGCAGGGTCTGTTCGCACACTCGCTCGTTGCGTCAAGGTCGGCGCCATGGTGTGCGTACGAGTAAGGCTGTTGCAGGTGGCTGCAGTGCTGGCCATCACCATGTTGTGTATATCGAGACTTGGGAGACAGAACGAGAGGAGGCGGGGTCTCCAACTTGTGGCTTCATGCGGTGCCTGAGTCGCACTTCTCGTGTTTCACGCTCGACTTCTTCCGTTTCGCGGCCTGTATAGTTACGTCGCTATAGGCGTCATCAGCGATACCAGGGCATTTATAGATCCCCACCTCCTTGTCGTTGGGTTGCGAGGACTGTCAATGTGAAGTCGGAGACGCTTTTCGGCTTCATGTCTGGTTGGATGATGTCAAGGCGCGTTGCCGTCGTTCCTGAAGCCATTCCTCTTTGGGAAGCAGTCACGTGCTAGTCTCATTGAGGTGAACGCCATCCGTGATAACATTTCTCATTGCTACTCAGGATGCTGGTCCTATAGTAAGACTTTACTATGGGCGTGCCTGAATCAGATCCCGAATGGATGTCTTCCTCCGTGGTGAGAGCCCAGGTGACGCATTTGTGGAAGCTGATTCCAGCGAAGTGGTCTTTGAAATCGTGATTGAACCAGGAAGACATGTCTTGTAGAGATCGTGAACAGCAAGACTGACATGGATGGCATTGTTGCTTCGTGTGATTGATGTCTCGTTTGTCTTGGGTGTGATGTCATCGACCTGAATGCTTCATTATCCTCAAACTGGTGGTTCGTCACCGCACGGTGTCGTCGCCCAGCAGCCTGGTCTACACATCCACTGGCAGCTACTTCTTCCAAGCTTTTCTAACGGCATGCTTGCGGTTCCTGCGTGTACATCGAGCCACCGTCATGTCTTGACTTTCTGCCACGCGAGAGCCCCAAGGATCGTTACCTGTCGGCACTTCCAGTCTATGATTCCTGCGAGCAATACACAATTGCTGGTGGCCTGAGTAGCCAGTCTGGCCTCGACCGATCGAGCAGCTCGTCACACAAGGGCGCATAATGGTGTTCCGCAGATAGTCATTACTCGGCAGTAGCAATCAGAAGAAGATCCTCCTACTGCCATCGATGATCGCTCGCAAAGTGGTAAATGCCTTTGAGTTGACATTCTGTGGTCCTCATGTCAGTCTTGAGGATCCAGGTATTGTTCCGAGGCGATCTTTTGAAGATCTTATGTAGACTCGTCGAAACGTCTGCCGCCTGATATTCGCCGCGATGCTGCTGTCAACAACATGTATCGATTGATCGCGGAGATGACATTCCGTTGAAGTTATCGATCTCTCGTGCCGATAATGGAAGTCTTGCAGGACCAGATCATTCTAACCTACCGCAGTTCCCAAGGACAGCGGTAAGGCGTAACACCAAGCTCGAACATCCATTGGTATGTGCATTACTATCGTTCCGACGATTTTGATGGCGTTCGTTCAATGTTTTATTCGTGGTTGTTGAAAAGCAGCGCACAGCCGTCTCTCCGGCAGCTCCTCACTCGAACCCCGCAACTTGAGAGCTCGTAACTTTAGGTTGATATTGAATTCGTTCCAAGTAGCCGACACTGGAGCAAATGAATCAGCTGTTGTAGCAGGTCAGACACCGCCCTCAACAATCATCAGTGAACACAGTCCGTAAGATACTCCAACACAAGATGTCAGTCTCAGCTCCGGTAGTAGACCCAGCGAAGCTCTTCTCTCTCGCAGGCAAGACAGCGATAGTCACAGGCGGTACAGGTGGCCTGGGCACGGCAATGACAACAGCTCTCGCATCTGGCGGCGCCGACATCGTGTCCATCGAGGTCGAAAACGATCCAAATCACCAAGTCATGGTCGATGCAGTCGCAAAAGCCGGCCGCAAGCTGTCGACATATATCTGCGATGTGCGGGATCCCAAAGCGCTCCGGGCCACATATCAAAAGCTCTGGTCTGATGGCGTCGAAGGGGATATCCTGTTGAATTGTGCCGGGGTCCAGAGACGTAATGAAGCTGAAGACTTTACGGACGAGGAGATCGAAGCTGTATTGGACATCAACCTGAAGGCGACACTAGTCTCTTGTCAAGAGTTCGCGAAGCCATTGCTGGAGGATGGACGGCCTGGGAAAGTGATCAATATCGCCAGTATTATTTCTTATATTGGAGGCAAGAATATCACGCCTTATGCCGGTAGCAAGGGAGGCGTATTGCAGATCACCAAGGCTTTCAGCAACGAATGGGCGGCAAAGGGCATCCAGGTGAACTGCATCTGTCCTGGGTAAGTAATGGTCCCCGTCGTCAGCTATTCAACCATACCGTTACTCTTTGCTGATAATATGGGAAGGTACTTCCACACTCCGTTGACCGAGCAGTATCAGACCGACCCCAAGTACAAAGCCTTCAACGACTATGTAATGATGAGGACTCCGGCGAAGAGGTGGGGAGAGCCTGTCGACCTCTCTGGTGCAGTGATCTTCCTTGCCAGTGGAGCAAGTGACTATGTTAGTGGAACGAGTATCGTTGTGGATGGAGGATGGCTAGGAAATTAGCATCAAGATGGATGCAAATGTTGCATTCAACTTCCAAGCATCTCGTTCTGCTGTCAAATAAACTTTACTCGCCTTTCGTGTGGCCATTGGCATTGCCGTTCATGACCGCTTTGGGAGCCAGATCCTGCAAAATGGCTTTGGCTGGCCAGGCGAAGCCAACGCCATGGCTTTCAAGATCCTCCGGGCTCACCAAGAACTCGATGATAGACATGAACGTGTAGGCTGCTACCGCCGTGCCAATGTGCCACCATCCGTGTAGTTCCAGCAAAATGCCCAGTGGCATGCCCAACTGTCGTTTCCACGTCGTGAGCGTTGAACAGAAGTTGACATCGATGTTCCAGATGCCGTATGAAGTCAGTGCCGTCATCGAGGCGAATGTGAGTAAAGACCTCAACCTCTGGCGGTGTTCTCGTTCCTTGATCCGGATGTGAATGATATACCGAACTCGATATGCCACGATCCAGCACATGCAGAAGAAAAGCAGGACGTGGAGGACGAATTCGTCGGTAACGCAGTGGTAGATGACGAAGGGCACTAGGATGCCCAGAATGATCGCAGTGTTGCGACGTTGAATCTTCGGCGGTTCTTGAAAGCACCAGGTCTGCTGCAAGACTGTACCGATGGCCAGATGCATTGATAGCTCGTCCGACATCTGAGTATGATACTTCAAGGTCGTGTGGTAGAGTCCAGAGAAGATGCCGACTCCGATCAAGGCCCAGTAGGAGAGGCTCGTGTTTTCAAAAGAACCGGCGCCTTGACGCCTGAATCTTCGTATGCCATGGATGCCGTATGCGACTGTCAAATCCAGTCAGATCCTATTCTTGACAAGTTCTGAAGAGTACACACTGTATAGCAGACTGGTCAACGTGTTGAAGAACTCGCCGATATATTTGGTGATGATGTAGTCCTATTGGCGAGTCGTCAGTACGACGCTACCATCAATGTCGCAATCGCTTTCGTCGATATCACACCTCCTCGCAGAAGCTAAGGAAGAACACGCTCTGTTAGTGGTGTTGGACCTGAGCTTGGCATATGTGGTCACTCACTTGACCGCCGATGTAGGCTCGCCCCAGAACGGATCAGGAGCTGCGTCTCGGTACGACACGGCCCAGGGGAAGCTCATGGTGTCGACGATTGGACTCCTGGTCCCAGCTTGCAGGTATTGTTGTAGCACTCGCTGCCGTTCGCGATCAAGTCTTCCTTGTTGGTGGGCATGCAGAAATCAGTCTCAAATTCGAAGGTGGGCGTCACGCCTGAAAGCCTGCTTTCACTGTCGCCTCGGAATTTTGGCTGAACACGTGAATCGGCCGGTCGAGTTGACAGTCCGATGCCTTCCTATTGGACACATCCCGAGATACGTGTGAAGAAAGGGGAACGGCCACTTTGTCAGCATTCGACAACAACCAGGACCTCTTCCGTCGTCCCTTTCTTGCTACAGTCGTAGTGATGAACTCGTCCTACCACCGGCTATCCGCACCCACTTGCTCTAAATTTTGATCCGCAGCATCGGCCGAGGGCCAGCGAGACGGTGGATCTCTCTTCGAATGCCGTCCGGACGAGTGTCAATTCCCACCCTCAGCAAGATTGCTGACAAGGCGATGCTCAAGACGTCGGTTCAGGAAGGGAACTACCGCTCTCTTGATTTGGACGAGTATTCGTGAGGTGAGGTATTTGGTACAGCCATTTGAACCTCGCAACAACCGAAGCCCGCGTGCTGATCGGCCCCGCCTGTACATCGCTCTCGCGCTTTCTCGCTGTCTATTGTCCTCATCTGGTAACAGCGGCATGGCCTAAAGATGCACAACGGAGAACACTGGCATATAAAAACTAACTCAAACCTCATTAATCAAGCACTAAAAGACTTCCAACCCGTCCATCATCAGCCAGCCATGTCGTTCGCCGCCGAACCCAATCCTCCTTCTAACGCTCTGGATGTCCTCATCAAGAGCGCTATCAAAGCACCGACTCATGTCTTCGACTTGCTCCGTCGGCTTCATCAACTTTCCCTGGATCAGGAACTTGTGCTGAAGAACGACCAAACTATTCAAAATTGGAAAGACAACAAAGAACTGGATGCAGACCAACGCAAGCACTTTTTTGACAACATCATGCGAGACAAGTTCATTGCTCTGACTCCTGATAAATCCATCTTCATGTACAATCTGGCACGGGCTTCAGGTGCCTTGAACGTCGTTGAATGTGGGACCAGCTACGGTGTTAGCACGATCTACCTGGCGCTAGCAGTTGGACAGAATGCCGTTCAGAAGGGAGTGGCCGCGGGAGACGCAAAAGTCATTGCAACCGAGAACGAACCTTTGAAGGCGGAGCAGGCCAGAAGACACTGGAAAGAAGCAGGCGAGAGCGTCGAGAGATACATCCAGTTAAGGGAAGGCGACCTCACAAAGACGTTGCAAGCCGATCTGCCTTCAATCGACTTCGTCCTCTTCGATAGTCAGATTGCCCCCTTTCCCCTTTCATGCTCACTCAGCGAGCTAATACATCTCACAGTATGGACTCCAATGGTTATGCCAACTCTGAGAATCTTAGAGCCGAAGTTGAAGGCTGGCGCCATTCTTATCGCTGACAATACCGCCGCACCAGGGAACGGATACGGCGAGTTCCTCGACCACCTTCGCGCAGAAGCGGCTCCGTATTCGGCTCTGACGTTACCGTACCAGGACGGTCTGGAGTTGGCGGTTTACACTCCCAGATCGTGACCAGCACTGCCGCAGCCCACGAATACAACAACTCGAAGCGGAAGCTGATCTCGCAGTTCTTCACCCCCGAAATTCACGCTCCTGTCTCGCAGAATACCCTGGGTTCCTGACTCCTTTTCTGCTTGTCCGCCATCAGCGATGATCACAGTTCCTCGTACAGTCTCTTCGTATAGGACTCGGCATCGGGAATTGTTTCTTGCAAGGTCTCCCTGCGCATCACCCCACCAGCTGCGGCCTCTTTCTCCACGTGTACTTGACTCGCTACCAATAAGCGTAAATTAGATTTCTGTTGCAGACCTTGGAGATACGAGCAAAGTATATCACAGTGACGGAGCGTCACTTTATCGTCATTTGCAATAGCAGAGCATCGCCCCGACAAGACCACCGTGCTGTCCCGTTCTTGGACATCTTTCATCTCTGGACGATCAGCACCACAGCACCGCGAGCCAGTTCAGCAGTCATACTGGCGTGGCTTTTGAGAACAGATTACTGTGTACAAGAGAGAGCCACCTGCATCTTTTGGATCTGGTCGTCGATCTAGAGCCTCTAGTTCTCCAAACATGTTCCCAGCGAAAACAGCAGCAGCCCTAATCACCACTCCTGGCAGAGCACCTTGTTCAACCACCAAATTGAGGTTTCGATAGCATGGTATCCTTGCGAACGCATCTGCCGGCGGCAAATCAACGACAGTACCGCGAGTGGAGAAGTCGAGTCTCCAACACATGCCCTTGGGCGATGCAATCTCCAATAGGTATGTCGCAGGTCATCGCTCCCTGACTCCGTCGGTGCGACTAGGAAAGGTACTCAGCCTTTTGACTCGGGCACACATCGGAATACACCAGTCGCAGGAGGCGGTCTTGTTGTGGACTTGAGCGTGGGATACTACCGAACTTGCACCTTCAACCTCCTCGCCCCAGACTGCGTCACTCTATCTTCGTGCTTCACATCTATTAGGAGCTCGCGTCTGAAGACAGGATGAACTTCCGTTAACCTCATCATCGTTGCCGAACATGGCAGTCATCAGTGACACCAACGCGGTCAAAGACAGATTCCTCCTGCCCGGCGACATCATTTCGCTACTCACGTCGCTGATATCTCTTCCCATCATCGCGGTCTTCTTCTACCAGCGACTGCAGAATGCGTGCCATAGGAACATTACGATGGCGTCTGTCACGCTCCTCATGGTAAGTCACATCCTTTCGTCGACAAGTTTTGTGGTCGACTGACAAACGCTTTTGCAGAGCTATATGTCGACTTTCCTCTTCATATTCGTCTTGACGACCATTCTGCACATTAGGGTTGACTGGGACGAAAGCTTGCAAGCGCTGTGTGATTCTACGCTTATGATATGCCTCACGCTCTACTGCCTTACGAAAGCAACTGGCTTCTTGTTCCTCATCGAGCGGGCGTACATCATCTCGTGGCCGGTCAACCCTCGACACAAGACCCTCGAATACGTCTTGAGCTGCTTCATCATCTTTGTGCCTTACGCGGTGGTCACTGGACTGTGCATCAAATAGTAAGCGAACAAGCCCCCTACTTCGAGTGGCAGTCCAGTGCTGATGACACTTTCCAGCCGGATTGCGATCAACAACGGAAACCATGTCTGCGTTATCGGCATGCAGATGTTTGTGCTTGTACCTCTCCTTCTGGTAGAGGTATTTGCTTATGTATGTGCTTGTACCAAGACGTTCTCACCACCAATATCGACGCTGACAAAAGGGCATCGCAGCTCTACCTGACACTGCGATTCCTCATACCTCTCATCATGTTCCACCGTGGAGGTACCGGCTTGCTCGCCCCTTTACGAAGAGTCATGCTTCGAACCTGCATTGGTACAGCCATCACGATGTGTTCCACGCTGGCAGTGAAAGTGTCCCTGACGCTCTTCAACGGCGAGCCTGCATGGCTATGCTGCATGACGTGCAAGATTGATGGTATGCATACCGCTTTGCTGTTCTCAAACCCGTTTACCAGACTGACCGTCTTTGCAGCACTCATTGCCGCCACTGTCATGCACTGGATCACCATACCAGATCCTACGAATCACGGCTACGAGGATGACACGCCACAGGCATTGGGTGTTGGTTTCGAGAAGTCCACTGTCCACACTTCGGTATCCACCAGAACTCTCGTGCCGGAGTCGCCAGGAGAGATGGATCCGAAACAAATCTTCTGACGAGAACACCGCCAGTTGTCGACACAGCTTGGCAGAACTTGAAGATGACCGGTTGTTCTTTATGCTGGCGACCTGACGTTGGGTAAAGTGGGACATTTGGATGATCAAGTGAGTGCGTGGCTCATACGCAATGTACATTAGACAACCTTTTTGTCTCATGACTAGCTGGAAATAGGAATCGGAACTTGCCTCGTTCCAACCCTATGATGCTATACGAACGGATCATGCCCCATCTTTACTTATGCTTGATTTGTACTCTATTTGCGCTTAGGATCTTCGACTGGTGGCTGGTGGTTGTCGTCTGCTATCACTTGGCGCTTGGCCAGCACGCAAAAACAGAGCTGAAGGCTGATGAAGAACGGGAGGGCTGCTCTGGAATTTCTGGGGGCCAGATCTCTCTTCCAGCCGTCACAGAAGCAATGGCCCATTTGGAGAAACGCTGCATCTCCAGCTGTGGCGTCGTGGAAGCCTGCTCGTGCCCTGGCTGGGGCAGAGCTGGAAGAGGATTCTGCAACGACGCATCCTCAACGCGACGATCATAAGGGCGGAGCGTGGCTTTCTTATTAATGCTGTATTCAACTCACATCAAAAGATCTGTTTCTTCGAGGTTCGACATAGAGGACAATTTGACAACATGCTTTCCAAGAGGACACATTTCTGCCTTCTTCTGGGATCAGCAACACTTTCATCGGCCTCTCCGCTCGCTCGCAGACAGGCACAGACATATGGACGCATGATCGTCTTCGGTGACAGCTACAGTGATGATGGAAATGGAGCCTGGGTGGCCAGCAACCACACTTGGCCCGCTGATCCAGCGTATTACAACCACAGCTTTTCGTAAGTCGCCATCACACTCTCAATGGGAAAAGCTTCAAGCTCAGTGATGGACAGCAACGGCCCAAAGTGGTCGAATGACCTCGCAGACACGCTGAGTGTCGAGCTGTTGAACTACGCAGCCGGAGGCGCCACAGCAGACAACTCCTTCGTGCAAGGCTACACTGGAGCAGAAAGTACGATCCCAGTCCCTTCGACACGAGATCAGATCGCAACGTTCCTCAATACATCTTCCCCGCGACCTGACGACCTTTTCGTCCATTGGATCGGTGCCAACGACGCTCTTTGCGACACCAACATCACTGGAGCGGAACTCACCAGCCTGATCAATCGCGACGTCGACACTCTTTTCAGAGCTGGGGCTCGGACGATCTTGTTCGCGAATTACCCGCCGGTGAATCAGTTCCCGGCTACATATGGCAGTTCAGATTATGCTTTTGCCGACGACTACGCCAAGGGAGTAGACACTGGTCTCGGCAATCTAGTCGCAGGCTATTCGGCATACATCAAGACAGGCTTCATCGACGTTCAAGCCCTATTCGCGAACATCACCAACAACCCAGCGGCTTATGGGGTTGACGAGAAGTACGTGAATCCACCCACGGCTTGCTTACAGGGAGCGTACCCCAGTGAGGGTGTTCCGAGGTCGCTGTGCGATGACCCGGAGAGGCATCTGTATTTCGATCCCTATCATCCTGTGAAGGAGGTGCATACTAGGATCTCGCAGCTCTTCCAAGAGAAGCTTGCAGAGCTGGCAGGGTAGAATTGTGGGTGGACTGCAACGATAGATGAAGATATGATACGAAGCAGTGCGGAAATACAGGCTGGAGTTTCATTCAATTCATTGTAGGCGTTCGCATGCACTCTGCCGTCACAAATCGCCCGTACTATAACTCTTCTTTGGAGTTAGTTTCCTTCACGATACTGAAATCGTACGTCGCAAAATTCACAGCAGGCTCTGTATCAGGCCCGTAGATCTGATACTCCTGCTGTCCCCACTGCGGCCAATTGATAGCATCCACCCATCCCTGCGGCTCAATCACAAGACATCCATGCAAGTCATACGTCCCATTCCCACTCCTCTGCTGATCCGCCTTCGCCTTGATCGACCCGTTGAACCAGTTACAGCTGAAGATCTCGAGATTCTGCTGATTTGTGCGGACGTCCAGCTGAATGCCTGTTTGTGGTGAGGACATTGTCAAGACGACCAGATCTGTGGATTCGGGTGCAGAGTAGCGTGGTCGATCGATGATGAAGGCGTTGTTGTAGCCAGTGCAGTTCACGCCACAGCTATTCTTGGGGCCGTTGTTGATTTGGGAGCCGATCAGTCTTGGACTGGTGAAGTCTAGGAATGTTCCTGCGACCGTGCCGATGGTTCCGTTCGGGACTTGGGAAGTCTCGACTTGGACGTAGCGAGATGAGTAGGGCATATGTAGAGTGTTATCGTACACATGCTGGGCGGCGGAGTTGACAAATGCTCCCAGGTTCCAGTAGATGTGGTTTGATAGCATCACTGGAGTCTTCTTGTTGAGTGGGATTGAGACTAGACGTGACGTCCATCGAGGACCTTTTGAGACGGTGTAGGTGGCGATGTTGACAAGATCGCCGGGGAACCCTTGCAGAGCCTGGTCATAGAACATGAAAGTGATAGAGTCCATCGTGTGCGAGACGACTGTCCAATTCCGTTGGTCGTAGCCAATCGTGCCGCCGTGCAATGTGCTCGTGTTGCCACTATTCTCTGGGATATGGTAGGTCTGACCGTCAAGCTGAAATGTTCCATTCTTGATCCTGTTTGCATACCTTCCCACAACGCCTCCCATGTAGGAATGTATGGTGGATGTATCTCGGACATATTGGATGCCGGTGTCGTAGCCCATGACAACGTCTTGAGAAGTACCATGCTTGTCCTCTACCCATAGATTCGTCAATCTTGCGCCATAGGGGATGAAAGTGGCTGTGATTCCAGGAGCTGTAATGTTGTACCTCGCGAAGGCATCTCCAGAGAACGGTGGGAAGGCAGTTGTGTTGTCCTGTGCTGTGGCTAGAGCAACAACTAATGACACGACCAATGCTTTAAGGAGCATTTTGACGCCAGAGTTTTGGTCGCCAGCTGCGTTGTCAAAGTTGCATTGGCTTGCACGACCTAGTGATGACTGAAGAGTTGCAAGGAGGCTGGGCAAGAGGCACAGTTGAATTCTCGTAGGATCTGCCGTTTTGGGGAGCAAGAAGGAAAGATCGACAGGACCACAAGACGCGATCAAGCCACCCGCGTAACGGGTAACGTTGTACAACCGTGATGAATAGGAGGCCGGTCTCTCATCGTTTATCAAAACACACAAGAGCATCATCAACCCACCAAGAGCACGCTCGAAGAGAGTACTGGCAGCTTTCGTCACAAAGAAAGCCGACCTTCTGAAGATAGGGGTTCAGAACATGCCCTTCAAAAACGATCAGCCCCAAAGGCAAATGGTTCATATTGCTGCTAATGAAGAAGAATCCCTGCTTTGCCGCCACATCGATACCAGCCTGTTGGCGAGCTCTTTTCCAATCCATCCCGACGGATCACGACAGCAGACAAGCAAAGCGCTTTGCGAACCGATGAATCAAAGCCTAAATTCTACGAGATTAGTCGACCACTCAAAAGCAGCTGAAGGGATTACTCACTTGGCCTTGTAGGTGTAGCTCGCGATGAGATCCATCAATGTCGGGCTCAGACAATCGTACGTCTCCAAGCCAACTCTCTTGAACTTGCTTCGAACTTCGTCCATCTTGTTGGCATCGAAGCCTTGTTCAATGATACTGCTAACGAATGCAGCGAACTGCGGCTCTTGCCAGCCCTCTTCGCTCGAAAGCTCAGCATGGACGAAGTCGAGGCCCTTGAAAGGATGGTCTTTCTCGATTCTTCCGTACATATGAACACCACACTCCTTGCATGCGTTGCGTTGGATGACTGCCGAAGGATCGATTACATGGAGCTTCTGCTTGTTGGCCGTGACAGTCAGGTTGGAGACTGGGACGACTCCCACGACTGAGAACAAAGCCCCTGATGGCTTCCAGCATTTCGAGCAGCCACATGCGTGGTTGTGGGCGACGTTTCCGGAGATGCGGACTGCTACGCGGTCGTTGAGGCAATGGCATTCGAGAGTTCCGCCGGAGAAATTTGGGTCGCCTCTCTTGAGGCCATTGTCGATGAGAGGGTGCAATGCGACCATTTTTGCGATTTCAATGAATCTCGAGTCCGTCAAGAAGTGTTTTGCTACCTTCCACGAGCTCGAGGCGGAGCTGCCGGTCTTTTATGTGGGATCTCTGACCAGGATGAATCCATGGCATTCAAGCGGGGTCGCAGTGAGCATTCGAAAACAAATCGGTCTGGTACCCGGCATCGTATGTGCGTACTGGCATGGGTACGAACCTCCCGTCGTGCGATATTGGGAGCCTGAGAAGAGGGGGTTGATGATCGTGATGGTGAGCTCTGCCCGCTGCGGCAGCTGAATACCACTTCGAGGAAAGCACTCCCCACCGATCAGAGATGCACCACAAGGACTCTCCCCAAGAGTGGTGGTAATTCCCATCAGACTATTCGAAAGCAGCAATCTTGTCAATCACGCCTTCAGTGGGATCAAGGCGGATAAGGCGGAGTCGTCTGATCGGGTAGTTTTGCCGGTTCGAGTACCTGATGACGGCAAGGGAAGCCGTGGTTCAAGTGTCGAAGATGTCGCCAACTTCAACAATCATTCTTTCGATGTGATAAACATGGCTGCTCGGACAGACTGTCTGTAGCTAGGATGTTCTTGAGCAGGACATTAGTTCAGCGAGCGTGTCCTCGTTTCCGTTTCTCACGGGTGGAGAAAGGGAGCAGCGATCCAGCTTCAGCCACGAATAGATTCCAAACGAGCACCATATTGACAAGTGCGTACGAAGTGCTCATGAAATCGAGAGAGGAAAGATCATTGAGGAAGAAGTGAGGTCCTGTTTCACCCCTTTTGTACAAACCGTTTTGCCCACCTTGATGGTACGGCTGCAGCCGGTTGACAAAGAGATCATGGACCTTCTAATCGCACGAAGCTCTGCGGCCGTGGAGGTGAGGCGGATAGGCTCTCATGATGTCAGGCATTGACACGAATCAGTAATCTGATGATGCTATTGCTAATCTGAGTTCAGTTGTTGACCAAAGCGATACAATACACCCTCACTATACATTACTTGTAGTACTTGTAGTGTCTATGTCTACAATGTCTCTATTCTTCGAACCATCGTCAGTATACAAACCATGCGCCTCTCATAGTACAATCATTGCTTCTTAGCCTTGCTCTTCTTCGGCACCCTGAAAGCCCAGTACAGGAACAATGTCATGGCGAGGTTGAAGACAATATATGCCCACATCAAGCCAAAGTTCCTCCATCGTCGGCCAAAATCCGCATTGATATTCGATAAGAACTCATTCGTGTTGGCCAACGCGCAGTACTGGCACTGATCGGTACCTGAAGCTCCAGGATTGATCAGACGGCCACCGTTCCCCTCGATGTAGGGTTGCATGTAGTCGCCACATGTCTGATTCGCAGGGGCGTCGAAGCGCAGGAACTCGTCGGCAGCGCAATTGACAGGTGCGTTGCCCAGCGTCGTTGCGAGGAAGCCGTCTACCAAATATGTGAATGGATTCACGCGGTACATGAAGATCTGGAACCGATGTCAGCAGGTGTCGGAGGGCGAATCAGGGATGCAACTTACCCAGAAACCCGGTAGCGCCTGTGGACCAACGAGAATTCCACAGAAGGCGTATAGCATAATGCTCATGAGCGTAGCCAGTCCCGAAGCTTCTTCGGCAGATCCCAACGCGGCGATGAGCATCTGTGCAAAGGTGCTTGAGAACAAGAAGGCCGTCCAAAGGATCAAGACGGTTAGGATACCGCGAGAATGCACAGCGCCGGTGAATTCAGCATTTCTGTAGAGACCCATTGGATAGTACCACACCAGAAAGCTGAAAGTAGCCATTCCCGTGTTCCAGGCGAGCTCAGCAGCGATATTGGAAACCACGAAGGCAGCCCAGTGGTACGTTCTAGATTGTCGTTCCCGAACTTCGTATAGTGTGCGCTGAACTACGAAGACCGGGATGATCTGGAAGATAAGTTGAATGAGGACGAACAGAAAGATGAAGACACCAAACATCTGGTTCTGCAAGCCCTGTTGAGTGTTTTCGGATTTGAAGAAGGAGAAGCCGATGAACATCGACTGCATTAGGATGTTAGCGAGCTTTTTGATGTTACGACGTGGGCTTTACTTACCGACACGATACAGAGCAGTGCCTTCGAGTAAATGTACGAGGGCGTTCGGTAGTACTGCTGGAATGTCCGCTTGGTGGCCTGCAGCATCTGCTCGCGGAAAGTAGCAGCAAACTCGGTGTAATTGGATCCATCATCGGCGGCAGGCTTGGTGTGTTGCAGGGCTCTTAATGTTGATAATTCCCCTTGTACTTGAGCATATTCGGGGCTCTGTTTCCACGTCGCAGGCCAGTCAATCTCGGTGTGAGCACCAGGAGCCGCGCCAATCGTTTCTAGCATGTACTCCGCAGGATTGATATGTGGTGGACAATCTGGTGCTCCATTGCGGACGAAGTAATCGACCAATGTTCGCGAGTTGCGACCGATCTCGCCGAAATAGACTGTTCGGCCACCTTTGGCCAGAAGAAGTAGACGATCAAATCGTTGGAACAAGATGGCTGAGGGTTGATGGATTGTGCAGAGGATTGCTTGCCCGTTCTTAGATAGCTTCTCCATGAGGTTGCAAATAGACCAGGAAGTTTGACTGTCGAGGCCGGATGTGGGTTCATCCACTGCACGAATGATTAGCATCATACGCAGAGTGACAACAATCAAAACGACTTACAGAACAGGAGTAGCGATGGACGAGCGACCAGCTCCACGCCAATCGTGAGTCTCTTCCGCTGCTCAACATTGAGCCCTTCGCCGGGAACGCCGACGACAGCATCTGCATATGTCTCCATGTTGAGGAGATCGATAACGGTGTTGACATAGTCCAACTTCTCCTTGCGAGTGTACTGCTCCGGTTGTCTAAGCAGGGCGCTGAATTGAAGTGCTTCTCTCACAGTGGAAGTGTGCTATGACTGTGTCAGACGAGTCGTCACTCGAAAAGAGAGATTTACTTACAAGGTGCAAATCCGATTGCTGAGCATATCCTGTTTTGCGTTGGAAGGAAGTATCGCCTGTACACGCAAAATTAGCTCAAGGGATATTCAAATCCTCTCAGATCTGCTTACGTTGACGTCCGTCGACCAGCATGTCCCCAGTGATCACACCAGTAGTCGTTCGTGAGGCAAGCACGTCTAGAAGGGTGGTCTTGCCGGCGCCGGAAACGCCCATAAGAGCTGTCAGAGTGCCAGGCTTGACCCACCCGTCCACATGATCGAGGATCGTTCGTGGTTGGCCTTTGACTTTGACCTCATAGGACACGTTCTGCCAGTGAAAGATCGATGTCTGTTTCTGGATGCCAGATACCTCAGACGTAACGTCGCTGTCCAGCTTCTCGCTGCGCGCAGCAGGTAGGGTGGCTTTCTCCTCGTCTGGCTGTACCTGTCGAGCGTGCGCCTGTGCGAGTCGGCCTCGTTTGAAGACAAGGACCTCGCCTTTGGAGCGTTTTGCTGCCACAAGCTCTGTCACAACAAGGTGTATGATTGCCAGGCCAAAAGCGAATCCAAGTAGAATGCCGAAATTGCGCCAGCGATGGCTGTTGACGTATCCATACGAAACCTGAGCAAAGCGTGTCCCACTCACGAAGGCAGCTCCAGGCTCCGACCCTTTCGTGCTACAGATTCGCTCTGTCCCGAGAATATTTTCGTAGCCAGGTCCTTCCGGAACGAAACTGGCACAAGCAAACTCACGTCCGTGGAATTCGTTGAGAATGACACTCTCGAAGCCGTAAAAGACGGGATTGATCCATCGCATCCAGGAGGCCCAGCCACGCATGTACTGGACCGGAATTGCAAACCCAGCGTACATGGTCAGACCGAGTAGAAGGACAGATGCTGGAGCCATTGCCTGGTCGATTGACTTCGTCAATGAGGCGACGACTCTGAAGAACATCGACATCCTAGAATGAACATTAGCTCGTGTATAAGAAAACGGTAAGACACGTCTGCTTACGCCATGAGCAACACAAACGAGACAAGCAGAAAGAAGAAGTACGGTCCTGGCGCTCGTCGAAGGTTCGTCATGAAGTAGAGTGTGGTATTAACGAGAATGGCGTTGACGATCTTGAAGGGCAAGTTGGTGATGATAGACGAGAGAGCCTCTGCGCTAGGGTGTATCAGCGCATATCTCTTATGCTTCTCCACAATCGGCCGCTTCGAATAGAGTGTGATGATCTCGAGAATGCTGCCAAATGCGTTCAAAAGAACCAGCATGAAGAGCACAGCGCCGCGGCTGAAGAAGCTCGAAGTCGTCTGGTTGAGGTTGTAGAAGATACTTGCGACGATCAGCGCCTCGATGAAATTGATCACCAGGATGAACGCAGTCACGACCGGGTTGGCTTTGAAGTCTTTCCACTGTCTCCACATGCAGAGCAAGATTTGTCGATAGTAGGAGAGGGTGTATGGAGACGCCGTCCTTTGATGCTTGGACTTTTCCTGCTTCCTCAGCAGGTGGAACCTCTCGTAATGCTCGCCGCCGAATGGGTACTCAAGGTTGAAAGCTGCTACCTCGTCCTGAAGCCGGCGACGCTCCTGACTCTGCAGCCACCTGTTTGCAAATTCATCAGGCGTGCGAGGCACCGAAGCCTCGAATCCAGGAGTTACGACTCTCTCGACTGGGTTCGTAAGGGAGGTCAGGAAATCCGGTGTCGTCTGGCCTTCTGGACAGGTGAAGCCCATATGCTCGAAGAACGCCTTTGCCTCTTCTGCAGGTCCAAAGTAGATTTGTCGGCCTTCGTAAAGCACAGTGACTTTATCAAAGACGTCGTAAGCAGCTTGGGGCGCCTGGTAGATGGCTACTGCGGACGTGCAGCCAAATACATCGCCTTGCATCCGCAAAGTCTTGCAAAATCTTAGGCAATCGTTAGGGAGTATACGACAAAACGATCTGAGCCACACTTACTCAACGGCATTGGCACTGTCCAATCCTCTTGTGCTGTTGTCCCACATTTGGAGAGGTGCGTTACTAAGAGTAGCCTCTGAAATGGTGACTCGCTTCCGTTCTCCTCCGGAGACTCCCCGTACGAAGTCGTTGCCAACTTTGGTGTCTTTAGTATGGCTGATGCCGAACATTGCCATGATGACGTCTCGCAAATGTGAGGCGTATCTTGTGCGATCCATACCAATTGAGTAGGGTGTTCTGGCCATCGCTGCGAAGAAGAGGGTGTCCGCGACGGTTAGCAGAGGGAAGTGGTGGTCCACTTCTGCAGTGTAGATTGCTTCTCCACGAAAGGCAGTGTGCATAGTCTTCGAATCGATACCTTGGTAGTTCACCTGAGATTCCTCGGTGACATTGAATCCGTAGGTCTCGCCTGCCAATGTCTTGAGAAGGGTCGAGCAGCCTGAGCCTGGAGGCCCAAGTACGCAAAGCATCTCGCCAGCTGTTGCAACATGTATGGTCAGGACTCGGTTTTATTGGAGTAGCAAACACACTTACATCGTAATACGCCCTCGATATTATGCAGGATATCAATTCTCCTCTGTCGGGCGCCAAAGAGCCGGGGTATGTTACTACCCAATTTTAGGATTGTGTTGACGACGGTTGCTTGATAATCGGTCTCGCTGCCGTAGCCAAACACATTGAGGTTCTGGAACGATAGACCAGCAGTCCTTCGGGGCGATGATTCTGAGGTGACGTTGTAGAAGGCCTTAGTCCACTTCCTGACATTGAAAGATGGCGAACTTGGATCCAATTCACTCCCGGGAGCTGCTTCGAACGGGTCTCCCGTTCCAAGTCGAGCAGATTCCGCCGTGAACTTCCGGACCAGGCCAGCTACATCTTCATCGTTCTCATCGTCTCCAACCTTGATCTTCTCTTCGGACTCGTGTTCGTCGTGAGCATCGTTCTGTTGGCCAGCGGGCCTGCCTGGCAGACTAGCGAGTCCCGTCGAGACCTGGGCTATGGAGACGACCATGTTGGGTGGAGTAGGCGGTGATGATTCTTGACCCGAGGCCTCGAAGGCAGAAATAGAGGCCATTTTGACTGTTGGTAACAGAAGTCAAAAAGTATAACGAAACAGCCTGAGGCTATAGGCCAAGAAAAATCGGGGCCCGCGGACGCGCGCGCGCGCCGATTTCAATCAGTAATGTCTCGGCGAACATCACGGCCAAGACTGTGACACAAGCCTTTGGAACTTTGGAATTGGGGCATGCTCGTACGTTAGTCTGCCACGTCCAATCGTTAGCACGCTACCGTAGCACGGCGTGCCTGACAGCTGCTGAGGCTACTTCGCCTACGCCCGGAGCCCGGGGGATCACATAGGTCTACTGTATAGGTCAGCCACAGAGAATTGTAGGCACGAGGTTGACAAAGAATCATGAATCATCCAAGGCTGTCTCAAACCCCAGCAGCAGCAGCAGCAGCAGCAGCAAGGCTGAACGGGTGATGGTCACTGACGCTTGAGCCATGCCCTACCATGTCATCATCCTCCTCAACAAACAGGCCTGTAATCGATCGAGACTCGGTAGGGCCAGTAAGAGTGGGCTCTCGCGAAGCAGTCCTGTTCGTTTTCGTACGTTCAGACCTGGGTTGATGCAATGTCGCAGCGCCGACAACGTAGTGAATACAGCATGCTTCTGACAGTCGAGAAGGAGAAGAAGAGCGCCGTGGTTCTACTGAGAGTAGTGGCAGCAGCAGCCATTGCTTTCAACTGTGCAGTCACGAACCTGCGGTGAGCCGTCTGCTTCTCCAACACTCGATGCTGTTGATGGATGCATATGGAGCAACTGCAATTGCGAGGAAAGTGGAGTCTTATATTGCCAAGAACCTTTTCGATTGGCTCGGACTCCGTGGACGCCGTGGACTTTTAGCCACGTGGAAGTCAGGGGTAAGTTCGCACTTCCTTTGCTGTTTCCTTGTGTACTTGGTGCTTTGTTGTCGTCTTTCTACTCTCCACTTTCTTCTCCTATCGTTGAGCGAGCTCCATGTTCGAAAATTACAGCATTGAGTTGCTATCACAATTGACCACATCCGGCGAAAAAATATAGCCGGCTTCAGATCCATGGCCTGGAGGCGAACTGGCAGCTCTGAAGCGCAAGAAGATCAAGCACTATGGCAGAAACTGTGACTGGCTCAGAATTTCCTGGATTTGAAGGCTGTCCACAGCTCATATTCAACGAGCTAGAAAAGCATGGAGTCGCTCGAAGCTTCCGTCAAGAAGCTATTGATCCGGCCTAAGCGATAAGTACAAGACTCGAACGTGGTCTCTGTAGGGATCTGTGATACCGGAGTGAGGCCTCCTGACCCGCTTGTCCGTTGGTCGAAGTCCACATAGTAGGAATCAAAGATCTGGAACATAAACGGTTATGTTTGCTCTCGCGACAGCTTTGCGGCCTCGATTTGCATGCCTATCCTCTACGTACGTGGAGATGTATTAGTGGTAGTACTGACAGTGAGCCAGGTGAGTTCCAATTGCCAGCAGCGTAAGGCCATCCTCTCCAGTGGACATACGGGGCCTCTCCTACATCCTTTTTTCACGGCGATGAATTTGCGCTCGAGACTTGAAGAAACTGCTGCAGCCGGTCTGTGTGATCTTTGCTTTCTGGCCCTTTGTTGCTCCGTTGGGTGAGGAGATTCTCCATGCTTCTGGGCGCCGCGCGACAAAGAACTTTACTCAGTACTCCGTTCGAAATCGAACGTTCATCCCCGTTCCCTGCCAGCTGTCCATGCAATCGGAAGTGCAGCCAAGAGCCTGGTCGCCTTTGGGGATCGGGGATGGTGCCTCCATTTTGAGCGGGCCGATGGGGGTGTGCTAATTCGCTTCGCGGCGTTCACGAATTTCATTCACTCGTCGCACGTGACCTCGCTTGGGCGCTTGCCGATTTAAGCTTCGCGCGCGGACCCCTGGACTTTCTGCCGTTTGACAGCTCTTCCTTTCTTCAAGCAAACAACATTACCACTCGCGCTTCTACATCACCGCACCGCTCTTTTTCACACCACAACGCCACGCCCAACAACACCACAATGCCGTCCACCATCCGCACCACCCACTGCCAGCTGGAGGGCATGATCACCAAGCCGCCGAAGAAGCGCACCCTCCATGCGCAGGCGCGCAAGAACCGCAAGAATCGCGGCTTGCTCAAGGACGTCGTGGTGAAGGTGCACAAGGTGCCCAAGAGCGTGAAGAACATGCAATTCCAGCATGACAGAGCGCAGAAGCCTGTCCTCAACTCCAAGCCGCCACCCTCATCTACTGCTGCACAGCCAGCATCATCTACGGCCTCTCGCAAGCGCAAGTCGGCATCCGAGTCTGGTAGCAATCAAGAAGCACCGGCCAACAAGAAGCTCAAGGCTGAGCACACCACAACCGCCGCCGCCCCCTCTTCTTCCGACACCGCCGCCGCTTCTCCCAACGCCACCTCCACAATCTCTCGCAAGCGCAAAGCCGACGATGTCGACGAGGAACCAGCCTCGAAGAAGCTCAAGACCGCGACCACCGACGCCGGCGACAAGAAGCCACAAGTCCCTACCAAGTCGCCATACATCCTCAAAGACAACGGCACGCACCGCACTTGCTTCCTCGATCTTGCTGCCGAACTACGCAACAAGATCTACACCCAGGCTATGGACGAACGTCTCAACATCAACCCACGTCAGGCATGGGGCAACGAGCACCCGCTTCAGCGAACTTGCAAACTCATCCGCTCCGAGAGCAACCTCCTATTCCACTATGTCACCTCCTTCCAGACGAACAAGCTCAAGCATGCCTTCATGTTCCTTCACAGTCGCACTCGAGAGCAGAAGCGCAGCCTAGCTAGCCTTCGTGTCTCCGTCCCGACCGCCACTCGCGCCGACGAGCACACCCTTCGGAGTGCGCGCCGCGCTTTGTATGGCTTCAAGCGTACATTCAATCGCAAGGGAGTGCAAGATACTGTTGTGCAGATGCAGCTGCCGGTCTATGACCCCAACCACGACAAGACCGAGTCGCAATGGGTGTCTGTCAAGGAGCTGCCACTCTACGAGATGATGGCTGGTCGTCGTCGCAACGGTCGAGGCGGATGGGAGAGAATCCAAGTCACGGTGAAGAGACCCGACGACAACCAGTCTTGATCTCCAACATCGACCATTACCACAAAGCCACCAAACAACCTCATCAAATGCAAACAACCACATCATTTGCTTAACACCGAGCTTGCACACGAACAATGGAAGAGAACACCACATGCAGAACTTAAAGCCGCGCCAAAAGCGCCGAGACCGTGGCTCATGCAAGACTGCGTCATTTGCGTTCGCCCGAAGAGTGACCGGGGCGACCATGTGACAGACATCACCTGTTTTACGGCTCGCATTCCAGACAAGAGTCACACGACAAGGGAACCCAGCAACAATAATAAGACCACCGCCGACACCACCGACACCATGCCTCGACCACCACCAGCACATCCCACTTTGGCGCTTCCACCCACACCACAATGGCAAACACCACCACCAGATCCCCCGTGAGCTTCGGCTCACTCCCGGCCGAACTCAGGAACGAGATATACCACTACACCCTCGTCGAAGAGACACCCATCCAACTCCCATACGCCTACGAAAACACCCCATTCCATGAACCACCCCTCCTCGCCACAAGCGCCTGGATCCGCGCCGAAGCAGCACCAATCTACTACGGCAGCAACACCTTCTCCGCACCTTCCCCACCCGCCGCGCACTTCTTCCTCTGCAAAAATACCGCAGAAACTATTTCCCTGATCAAAACCTTCCGCCCGATCGACCTCGTGCTGCCATGGTCTGCGCATAAAAGATGGACGGATGCGTTGGTTTGGAATTTGAATAGGTTGGTTAAGAAGAATCTCTGTCCCGAAGCTGTGGAGGTACCTCTCAGAGGCGAAGAGGGCGACTTGGAGTGGTGCAGGTTGGCAGACATTGAGGGCTTGGAGGTTGTGTGGCAGGGCGAGGGGTTTTGGAGTGTACAATGGAAGGATGAAGAAGAAGATTGAAGGAGAAGACATTGGCTGAAAGAAGGAGATGATGATGGATACACACACGACACTTTGGACCGATTGGTGATGGCACGATGATGATGCGAGGAGGAATACATACCTCATCTACGACTTTGGGAGTACAAGGGCCGGCTTTACGCTGGAGCTCATTTACTTTTCATGGTTGATGGGCTGATTGGGGATGTTTAGCTGGAGCTCTCATATAGAGGGCCGGCGAGACATTCCCGACAGGAGGTTGTACTGCATGCACATCATGGATGAAATGAATAGTTGGTCAGGAAAGGAGTGTTGGAGAGAAAGTGTCATGTCGAACGTGCAGGAATTGTACCTCTAGAATACCTTCAACGCAACTCTTCACCCATTGATCATGTTCTCGTTTCCTCGGTGTACTTCTTTGTCTTGCAGATTGGGTCGTTGTCTAGCGTCGGAGGCCTCTCGTTCAGCCATCATGGCTTCTAACTTTCATTCTAACCGAAACCGCATCCCCGTTGCCATTCAACGCTGTAATCGACTCACGCTGCAGCCGCTAGCCTCGTCACTCTGAAGATTGAGGAGAGAAAATATCCATATACATCCACTGTGAGTGCAAGGGTATCCGCAATGCCTCCTCACGTCCCAGTCCCAATCCACCTCCCTTGCACCTCCTCCAAAACCACCCTACTCCCCGCCACCGGCAGCGCCCAATCAACCCTCTTCAAAGCCTCCTCCCCCGTCACCATCCACAGCGCTTCCGCCAGCGCGATCCTCACCCTGGGATAAGGATTCGTCTTCAACATACTCACAACCTTCTTCAGAACCTCCTCCCGGATACTCTCAATCTCCGCAAGTCCAATATAGACATGCACAGCCGCGAGGATCTTGCCGATGTCGTTGGACTTGTGGTGGGATTTCTGGACCACGGAGAGGAGGTTGCGCCATTTAAATGTTGGTGAGGTGGCGAGGCGTTGGGGGATCTGCATGTCGAGGAGGAAGGCGAGGAGTTCGAGGCTTGGTTGGGTGTTTGGTGTTTCGAGCAGGAGGGTTTTCATGACGATTGTGTAGAGGGTTAGGAGGTGTTCCAATAGAGGAAGGTCCATTGTGTGAAGGCAGTTTAGGAGGGCTTCGCGGGAGGCGATGAGGAGGGACTCGGCGCCCACCCCTGCGCAGAGGATGCAGCCTTCTAGCAAGGCTCGATGGGTCCACTCGGGTGTTGAAGGTGAAGATAATGGTGACAGGGCGGCCTCGAAGTGTTCCAGTGAAGAGACGCTCGCCACGTCGACCATGGGAAGGTCGCTCTTGAGATCGAGGAAGCGCTGCCGGCATTGAGCGGCCTGCAGACGTACTCGGTCGAGCTTCTCTAGCGACAAGCGGTAGACGTCACCCTGGATGACCTGGAGAGCAGCCTCCTGACGCTTGAATGTAGGCGATGCTAGGAGGGCAGAGGCGCATGAGAGTGATTGGAGTCTGACCAGGGAGCCGATGTCTCCTCGCTCGTCGACAGTGTAGTCATTCAGGCCAGTGTGGATGGCGGCACAGATGGAAGCAACGATCGTTTCGTCAGCCGTTTGTGCATCGCCAACGCTGCTGACGGTCAATTGGAGAGCTCGTGCTCCTATGATCCGCCAGTCCACATTCATGACTGTCATCAGTCCACATAGAGTCTCGATTGACCCTGCTGCCTTAGCGCCAACGAGTCCAGCAGTATCGTAGACGGATGCAAGAGCCCCTAAGGCGACCGCCCTGCCGACGCTGTGCAAAGTGCTCTTTGCACCTTCCACAGAGACTTTTTCAGCCAAAGCTGAAGCTCCAAGACAGCCAAGTGGCTGGCTTGCAGCCCTTCTCAGTCGCAATATGGACTTGACAAGGTCAGGAACGACTTGCAGGATCCACTCTTCTCGCCGATAAAGTAGCTTGTCGGCGATGGCATCGAGCGTCTGCCACGGTACGGCCTGCGTTTGCAAGGCAGGCAAGTCGCGATCGAAAGCTTCAAAACATGAATCGCAAAGTGCAGTGGTCAGCTGAGCCAGAGACGCTGGGAACTCAGAACGAAGCATTCTCGGGGAGAAATCACTTAAAGCAGACTCGAGCCGGGTCAGTGTGGTGAGTAGCTGAGATAGATCCACCTGTTGTGAGCCGGTCAAGACTGCACTCGTTGTACTTGAGGTTTTCGCAATGAGTGCAAGTGCCAGTGCAAGTCCATGTAAGCTCTCGACCTCTTTCGCCGGGCATGCTTCGATTTGCTGCAGCACGCTCTCCAGCACTTGTGAACTCATGTCCGTCGGTGCGACTTCGTCTAGCCTTGCAATTGATGTCGCAGCGCTTTGCCGCGAGGGCACATCAGCAGAGCCTAGACCTCGCCACCCAAATAGACCCTCAAGCAGGGCTTCCCAATAGAAGGAGTGCAAGACAGCCGCCTTTTTCGCAACGTCTAACATCGCTCGATTGCGTAGACTAACGGCTTGATAGTCGACAATCTGCACTAGAGAGATGCCTTCATGGACCTGGTTTGGATGTCGACCGACCAGCTCTTGCAAAGCTGCAGAAGATCCACGACGTATGTTGCCAGCTGGATCCAGACACGACGAGAGGATCAGTTGGACAGCAAGGACATGTATGATACTTTCCGCCGCGCCGGCTCGGTTACTGGAATGCAGACTGCTGGCCTTCACCTGCGACAGCTCAGAGGTGGTGTATCGGCGTGATAATGACCAGATCCCGAAGTTTGCGGCATCTCGGACGTTGGTGCCGAGAGTAGTGCCAGTCGCAGTCCGTTGCTGGAATTGAAGTGCGGAGATCAGAGCGTCAAGTATATCTGGCAGTTGGTTTGGCGACGCAGAGCGTTTGAACAGAGCATGAGCCAATGCCAGCGTCAAGCCATGCCATTTTAGAGGATTGGCAGTCGTGAAGTCGATAGCTTGAGCAGATCTTGGCATGTCCTCTTTGAAGGAGTCAATGATAGCCTGCACAACTTCATGCCCCATCTCCGCGTCAAGTTCCAAGATGATCAGACTGAGGGCCTTTGCCGCAGCATATCGTACTGGGGTATCTTTGTCGCCAACAGACCGCAGCAGATAATCAATAACATTTTCCAGCACATCTGTCGTTTCGAGGAAGCTTCGTAAAGGACCTTGCGAAGACACCGACCGCAGAGCCAGGATGGGTACATTTCGGAAGATCTTGACGATGATCTTCTTTGCCACAGCGTTCGACGAGAGGCTGGAGGTGTCGTCTGCTTCGAATGCCCTTTCACAAGTGCGATAGATATCGGGGACAAGGTGACTCAGCTCGGCAGATGATGCCACGCCGGCGACCAGTCGAAGACCTCCAAGCATTTGGTACATGTCTGGCATTTCAGACGCACTCTGGGAAAGTGTTGAGAGTTGCTCCCGGACAAGCGCAGCTGCGAGATTATGCTTTTGAACATCAGGCCGAATGGACAGTCTGACAAGCATGGCCGCTGCTGCATCTTGCGCCTTCGTTGGAGTTGCCAGATACGCGAGGCCAATGTTCAAGATACGAGTCGCCAAGCGCGGCAGGAGGAGAGAGAAAGCTATTCGATCCTTGTCGCTGTTCACAGATGCAGGCTTGTCCGAAATGGATTCCAAGTCAAACGGCGTCAGCAGCAGATGAGAGAGCCAAAGCAGTAAAACATATGGCACCTTCCACGCCGTCTTCGGAGAATCATCGCTGGACACTGTACGCTCCAGAGCCTCCAGGAAAGGCTCCAGATACTTCGGCTCGTTGTTCAAAAAGCCAACAATCACTTTCTGGCCCCGGACCTTGCACAGCGTATATATCAGGGTGCATACCGCCGTTTCCAGATCGATGTGCTCAGTCTTCTCTCGCGCATTTGGCCGGGACAGAAACTCCAGATAGGCATCCACAATCGGAGGGAGAACGAATCTCAACTTGGCATCGAGAAGCTGAGGCTCGCCTTGGAAGGGCTCAATCTACAATCGTCCATGAGCATGGGCAATATCTCAGGCCAGGATTCAGCGTACGAGGTTGACGACGCGGTCCAGATCGCGTTTCTTGACGCGCGTGTGTGCTCGTCGTTGGCCAGGCTTGAAGAGTAGGCGGGGAAGATCATGTTCGAGGTCGGTCAAGAGTCCAACAGAGGCTTTGATGAGCTTCAAGTCGTCTTCTTCATCGGCGTTCTCCATGTGCGATGAAATTGTATTCATCAAGAGAAGAGACGAAGTCCAGCAGGCTCCTGGTAATCACGAGATCCAGCCCCATTTTCTCGGCTGCTCCCGGCACCGGCGCACACCTTCTTTCACGCCATCGACGAGAGCTTTTGCCACCCACTCGCCATCATCATCAACATCAACTTCATCAAACAAACAAAACACCAAACAAAAACAACAAAATCCCACAGTCGCCAAAATGACAACAACCCCAACCACCATGGAAAAACAACCCCTCCTCCCCTCCTCCCAACCAGAAGAAGAAGAAGAAGCCACCCTCGCCGACCTCCAAACCCGCCTACACGCCGCCCAACGAGCCTACATCCGCGCCTGGTCGCGCAGCACCTCCGGCAAATGGCACCGCGGCATCATGGCGGGCGTGACGGCCTTCCTGATCGTCTTCATGGTCTTCTGTCTCGCCGTCATCACCAACGACTGGGTGAACGACGACGACAACGACGGCGAGGGTTGGTTAGACGGTGGGAAGGTGCCCCTGGAAGCGCATATCATGTCGAAATGTCCCGACGCGAAGGACTGTTTGCATGATTTGATTTTGCCGACGATGCAGAGGGTTGAGGGGAAGGTGGATTTTAGACTTTCTTATATTGGATCGCAAGTCTCCCTCTACCAACCGCCACCTCCTTCATATACTGATTTGTGTTCTAGCACAACCGACCACGACGACGGCCTCGCCTGCAAACACGGCCCGACCGAATGTCTCGGCAACATCATCGAGCTCTGCGCCGCGCACATCTACCCGGACCCCAAAATCTACCTGGGCTTCACGATGTGTCTGACCCGGGAGTACTCGCGGATCCCCGAGCGGGAGCTCGTCGAGGACTGCGCGCTCGAACACGGTATCGACATGTACGAGATCAACAAGTGCGCGGCCAGTGACGAGGGCTCTCTGGCGCATGATATGCTCAAGGCGAGTTTTCAACGCAGCGCGGAGGCGAATGTCACGAAGAGCTGTACGGTGAGGCTGAATAATGAGGTTCGATGTATCCGTGATGGTGGCGAGTGGACGGATTGTGAGGGAGGTCATAAAGTCAAGGACTTGGTGGCGGATATTTTGGAACTCGCAGATGCTTCCCTTTGAAATTTTTCTAGAGAAGTGCATACTTGTGGGCTATTAATCCCCCGGCTAGCCTCCTCATCATGGAATCTGTTTATCGTGTGCTTCATGCCTCATATCTCTCTCATCGTCCTTTCATTCATCGCAAAAAGGAAAAAAGGTGTCGTCGTCGTAGTCCATGCTCCATGATTCGCCCATGCTGGATATGCTGATGCCGCCGCCCAAACGCTTCAAAAGTGAAATCGCCCACGCCGAAGAAAATGCAAAAGTCCCAGTCTACCAATCTGAATTCTTTCGCTTTTCGGATCCAATCTTCACCACGGACCCCAAGTTCCTCTCGTGCCGCTGCTAGAAGCCAGAATCTCCCAACGCCCCATTTTATCCGCGGTGCAGAACGGATGGCGAAGCGACACCCCCAGGACGTACTCGATCCACTCGCGGGTCAGGACAGACTTTCCCTCGCCGAGTTCCGGGAAGTGGTGCAGCATGTTCTTTTCCGTGCTGACCAGGCGCGACGTCGTGTTCTGTGCATACTTGGCGTTCGAGGCTCGTTCTTCGACCATGTCCCAGAGTTTGACCAGATAGCGGCTGTGTTTCTGGTCGTTCCAGTAGCTGGGGGCGGGCGGCGCGTTCTTGTGGGCGTAGGAGGTGCCTTCGCCGAGTTCGAGCTGGTTGGAGATGAGATCCTTGGCGCGCGAGAACAGGGATGGCCGGCTCTCCATGATGGACTCGGGGTAGAGTTCTGGACGGCCGGCTACTGCTGCGGTTGAGGTCAAAGCCCGGTTGTGGAGTCGCGGTCGAGATCGAGATCGTGTTGGTTGGTTATCGTCGGCGTGTTCGTCTTTTTTCGCGGTGGCGGTGGTGTTTGCTCGGGCAATTGGGGGCTTCGCGGGCGTTGCGAGCGCTGCGTGAGCAGACGGCAACCTGTGGGTGTGTTGGTCAGATGCTGGTGGTGGATGTGAAGAGATGGCGTGGTAGTTGGCAGGGGACGAGGAGGAGGAGGAGCCTTGTGGATCGGCGTGGGTCGGCAGGAGTGGTGAGGATGGTTGAGCAGTCACGTTGCTGCTCTGGCGCCTCCACCCGGCACCGAAGAGAAGGTAGCTGCTCATGTTTCTGCGGTATGCTGGCCGCTGTCGCTCCCCGGCGGACATGCTTGGCGAGGGTCTATCTTTAGAGCTGCGGAGGTGGAGAAGGTGGGTGTGTTGATGGAGGGGTGTTAGGTGTGTAGATGTGTAGATGTGCTGGTGTGGCCATTGGAGACAGGTCCGCTCGCGGTAGATATGATGTGGTCTGTGGCGGCCTTGAATGGCGACAAACAGACTATGCCGGCGGCACAAGCGTGAAGGAGATGTTTGCGACTTACCGAGACTGCTCATTCACCCATGACCCGTGCAATTGCTAAGCCGAGAGATGGTGTCGAAGTCGAGTTCGTGATTGAAGGTGGTGGTAGGTGTTTGGCGACGGGTGAAGCAGGCGACAAAGAAAAAGATGTCGTCGGAAGGGCTTGGCATGAGCGAGCAAGCAAGGTGAGGTAGTTGGTCGGCGAGTGGTGGGTCGGGCTGGCTCGTGTGTTGGAGTGAATGCAGCAGCAGCAGCATCAACATTCAGAGTGGGGTTCAACCTCGCCGTCTTCCATTCGCCCCAGGCCAAATGGCGCCGCTAGCTGTCGCAGCTGCTTGCCGACAACGCACGAGCTCTCTATCATCTGCACCGCACGGGGAGACTGATCTGTATGGATGTATCTGAGGATCATCTGGGACGGTGCACGAGGCCGCTGGTGGGAATAATGTGGTACACGCTCGGGCGTTGGGAGGGGTTTCACACACTCCCTCTCTCTTCTTCACGCAACTCGGCCCATCGCATTGCCGACCCGACGTACAAGGAAGATTCATGCGGCATGCAGTAGCTGTCCATGCGGGCGGCACTTGGCTGCGACCACTCCCTTATTTCGCGCGGCACATGCCATAGTCTAGACTGCGAGCAAAACCCCCAATCGCCCACAGATTATGCAACATTAAAATCACAGCTTGCTAGAGGACATGTAATAACACCGTCGAGCCCCGCGATAAGCGATGGCAGCATGTGATGAACGCATTCGCATGGGGAAAAAGGGTCCTCAATCGGCCCTGCGATGATCGCACAGCTGCAGGGACGCCAATCATTCATATCGCTCAGCCATCCACCTCCACCCCGTCCCTCACAAGTCGCCATGGTCCCGCCGGATGATTTGCGCCCCATGCTCTGCAACCGCAAACACCGACCCAACGAGGTTGATGTCAGGCAGACGCCCGAACGTCGACACATCGCAGACGCGAAGGCCTTTCGTGCCATAGACGCGGAGGTGTGGATCGACGACACCTCCGTTCTCCCTGGGCAGCATGCGACAAGTGCTGGATGCATGCCAATTGGGTACCATGGTCGTCCTTGCATAATCGAGGAGGTCCTCGTCGCTGGTGATGTTGGCGCCAGGCGACACTTCCCCAGCCGACCACTGCTTCAGATCCGGGTGCTCCATGATCTGGCGCAAGTACTTGACGCCCTGGATAGCCATTGCTTGATCAGCTTCTTCGGCCAGGTACTAATCCAAGCTTGTTAGCTGTGCAGCCACGCCCAAAGGATTTCGTGTCAGCTTACATTCGGATCAATGATCGGATCGCTCAATGGGGTGTTACTGCCAATGGTGACCGAGCCTTTCGACAGAGCGGCCATATTTGACACCGTCACTGAGATGTACGAAGTGTTGGGTAGAGGCGACCCATACTTGGTGAACGACTGTGGGTAGTAGACGGACTCGTACAAGATCTCGTTGTGTGCTTGGTTCGAGAAGTTGGCTGCGACAACGGCACCTGCGCCGATGCGCTCAAGCTCTTCATTCGAGATCTCCTGGAAAGCATTTGTGCAACCACTTGGGGCGCTCCACTTCGAGTTCCACTGCGCAGGACCGCCCTGGAAGAAGGCCCTCTGCTCTTCGTTAAGAATGTTGAGGTCGTTGACCATGTCTGTCGTGGATGCAACGTCGGCAAACTCGGGCTTGACGGCATGGATGACAGAGAATGCGGTGTGGTCTTGCATGTTATGTCCCACGTTCTCATTGTCGACGAGAACTTCGATGTTATATTCTTCCAACTCTGCTCGGGGACCGATACCCGACTGCTTGAGAATGAACGGGCTGTGGAAAGCTCCAGCAGCCAAGATGACTTCATTCTTGCAGGAGATGTTGTGAAACACTCCAGAGAGATCGTCCAGGAACGTGACACCGACTGCTTCGACTTCAGGCGTGTCGTACGAGTCTTCGTCGAAGATGATTCGCGTGACGATGGCCCTCTGAAGGACGTTCAGATTCTTCCTGCCTCGCGAGGCCATGTAGTAGGCGTCGAAGGACGAGCTTCGCATGAAGTTTGCGTCCAGTGTCATGGTGCCTTGCTTGACTCCCAAAGGATTGCCGTTATTCTGCTCCTGAGTCGGTTGGATCCCGATGGCACTCGTAGCATTCATGAAGCTAGGGTTAGATGCCACTACGTGGCCTTGGAACCCAATCTGAAGAGGGCCTTCCGTCCCATAAGCGTCGGGATCCCAGGTCATATAGGTGTTGTCGTTCGTGTGCTCGGGATTGCCGACGAAGACGGTGCCCTAGATGATTTTGTGAGTAGACCAGCATCAAGAGGTGTGAAGTGCTGCCTCACCTTCTTTGCGGACGCTTGGATATCCTCCCATCCCCATCCAGGGTTGCCATCCTCTTCCCATTGGTCATACACGGCTTTGCTGCCCAGGCCGTAGAACAAGCCGTTGGTAGCGCTGCTGCCCCCGAGACATCTGCCACCTAAAGACGGGTCAGCGCGGCCTTGCAATTGCCAAAGCCCAATTTCATACGATGGTACGCAAACGTTCGATTGTTCATGTGCGTCTGTGGCACCGACATGAAGTTGTAATCAATCGTGCTCCAACCACCTGTGGCCATAGTCAGTTCTGAATGGATCAAACATGTTGCAATCCTCCCACCGTTAAGAGCATATTGGTTGCCACCAGGGGTTGCGTAAGTGCGGACATCCGTGGGCGGTCCTCCCGCCTCGAACACAACGACAGTATGGTTTCCACTCTCAGTCAAACGATTTCCAAGGACAAGACCTGCAGTGCCACCTCCAACGACGCAAAAGTCGTAGCTAGGCTGAAACGATCGCTCTTGTGGGGATCCTGGGTAGGCATAGCTCGAGAAGTCGGGTGGTCCATCGTCGTCGTCGTCGCTATTGGTGGCTTGAGCAATGCATAGGTCATACCAGAGTAAAGGTACGAGAGCGAATAGAGTCAACATCATGGTGTCTGTTCAGAGCGAAGAGCTTTCCTGCAATGAACGGGAGTAACGAGTGCCTGGTCAGCAGGACAATGGCTGGGCGAAGACGGCACGTCGTGAGTCGAGACGAAACTGCCCTTTATCATTACACTGCCTCCTGAGGGGAACTCTGGAGGAGCGCCTACCTTGCACAAACACATGGCTGAAAAGGCGGATGCGAACGGATTTCTGGGGAATGCCGCATGTCATCCTGGAGCAGTTGCTTGGACGGAAGACGAATCGAGGGCTGATGAGGAGCATTGGTCTGTCCGAAGGATGAAAATAAGAAGCTTGAGTCGACCAGCTGAGGATCCCAAGCATGTGGTGTAGAATGGCTGCGGCAGAAGACGCGATCGCCCCGAAGAAACCCTCATTCGTCTTACAGGGAACATACGCGTTGGTCCGGGGAATGAGTAAGTTCCTTTGGTCGTTAATTTGGCTGATGTAACACCCAGCGCAAGGCTGCCGCTGTGTGTCCAAAGCTGCCGGCTTCGCATACATCGCCATATCCGTTTAAAGATGCGACTTGCGGCGGATTTAAGGGGTTCGTTCACTTGGGGCTGGATGTCTACCGTGCTCGTGATGATGTGAACAAGGCGATACAGTGATCGCTTTCAAAGCGAGGCAAGAGAACGCCCTGTAAGACGGAGGTTCGTTAGCGGTGGGCGGGCTAGCCTGTACGAGAGCTGCTTGGCTCCGTTGCAAACCTTAAGCTTCTTGGGCCTTGGAAGTTGGAGAAGTGGTCTTGGTCGCGGACTGTTGCTCCAATAAGATGTGCAGCATACAGGCATCATGTTTCACGCCCAGAGCGTTGGGTGACTTCGAGATCGTATTCGCTCCGTGAGTTTCCTGCAATTACAGCCTCATCCGAGTGCTACTTGGCGCAGTCGTCATGTGTTGGCCGGAGACTGCTACCGCCTTGAGATACATGCGTATGGACGCACCACTGAGGAACCGACATTCTTCGCATTCTTCGCAAGCTCGCAGGCAATCGCGCGAAAGAGGATAAGTAGAAAGGCCTTGGCTGCTGATCCGAGACTTGTCGTCTGCGGCACGTGGTCTCGTACAAGGGCATGGCTTGTCCCTTGTAGGTCATCCCAGGTTGGCATTACCAACGGCGCAAGTGGGCGGCAGTGCAGCGAAGTGCCCGTATGGAGTGGTACATGTTGACTTGAGTCGCACGACAGCCAATCCATCTGTGGAAAAGTCCAGACCCAGCAACTCGGGCATTAAGTGGGCGAGTAGCACCAACTCAGGCCGGTGACAGGGTCCTGCTCGCGATACCGTCGGTTATACCAGACCAGGAATGGCCGTTCAGAGACATCGTTGTTGGTATTGCGCAGCGAAATGGCGATGAGGCTGGTGTGCCGAGTGGACATCACCGATCCGAAACTGAAGTGCTACAAAACGGCACTCCCATCGCCAGCCCTATACCCTAGCCGCCGGCAATGCGTGGCTGGCGGTCACATAATCGTGAATGCATGTCGATCTCTCACCAGTATCACCGCTCGTGCTCTTCCTCGCACGGTACGTACGTGGATCCAACGGATTGACCCTAAGCTGATGTGTTCCTCCATGTTGTTGGCTCTGCTCCGTCTTCTTTCCTGAACAACGCTGTCGCTCGAGAACATGTATCTTGGGCAGGATGTCTCGCGGCCGGTTCGAAAGGATCATTGATGCATTCAGGCGCGGTCGCCGTGTGTTGCTGGCTTTCACCGCATGCGCCATGAGTGAGCACCAAGGAGGAGTTGCCCGCTGGCGCCTTCAGCCCATCGCACCGCGTCTTCTACGATACACAGCAGCTCTTCCTCTTCGTCGAATGGTTCGAAACATGCCGCGGGCGACGCGTGAAGCAGAAGGGCGGTAGAAGAAGTCTAGAAGGCGAGTCTATGGAGTTCAAGCACGACGCGTTCCAATGCACTAAAATGGAATGACCCACATGAGGCTGAACGATGCTGGGACGACACCTCTTTGCTGCACGCCACCACATTGACTTTTTTCGCCGGAATTCTGGAATTGGCCCACTGCTGGATGCTCATATCCACTACAGTATCTGCCCTCCCATATGACCCTCTCGGGCTTGCCGTGCCATACCGTAAACCATGCCAGCTTGGGGAGGTGAATCCATCATACTTCGACACCCTCCGCGGGGCTCTACGATACCACGGGGGAGTGATTATGGCTTTGAATGAATGAGTGAATGAGGCATTTCCCCCGGCGGTGACCAGCTCAAGAGGCTATCTGACATGAGCTACCGGCAAGTCTCGAAGTCCAAGCGCCAATGTTGCAAACCAGCAGCCCGACACCTTTGCCTTGGGAGTGGACAAGAATCTGCCGAAGCAAACGCAAGCAGGCTCCTAGCAATGAGTTTGTCCTCCCAGAAACATCTCTTTGGCCCGTCTTTTCCTCGGCGTCACTCCTACAGACCCACTCTAGAGGCTTGTCTTTACTGCATGTCAGTCCTGGGGATCCCCGTGGATTGCCAGTGGAGTCCCCAGATTCCACTACCAAGTTATTGGTTTTTTAGCGCTGAAATACATTAGCCTCATGGCTTCGACATACGCAAAGAGGTATAGCTTGGGCAACATGTGCGAAACTGTGTTGCCATGTGCACTCAATATGGAAGCCACTTGCCACGCTTCTTGAGCGGTATAAGATGTCTGTGTCCATCCTCGTAAGTCAGATTGATCAGCCAAGCAGCTTTTTGTCTTCCCTTCTCTTGCTACCGGTCCTGTTCAATCGTCATGGCGGAGAAAGACATCCACATCGCTGCCCAGCATCTCGACTCTGAGGTCATCTGTGAGAACAGCAACCAATTCGTTGACGAAAATCTCAATGATGTCAACCTCAACAACAACACCAGCGCAAAGATCACATTGGTCCCGACGTTCTGAATGCGAGTAGAGTACGGGTTCGGTGGCATCGCAGCCAAAGTGGAAGGGTGCCGTACAGTGGCTGGTGGAAAATTGGTCCTGGTCGTCCGATCGCCAGGCACGTACTGGCTCGAGGGGAATCTCGATGTTTTGAACCGCTGCTGAAGCCCGGCGTCCGGTGGGTTGGCTGCAGTACATGTAGTCTGGTTGCCAACAACGTGCGGGTTTGGGAGCAACGTGGACGGAAGGAGCTGCTGTCTCGAAGTTGAATGACGGCCCAGATAGCTCCTGTAAGCCTCGAATTCCGGTGGCGGTGGCAGCGTCATGGCGCGTTGCGCGCGGTCGTTGGTCTCGAGGAAGTCGGGGTTGAAAGCAAACGGCTGGAGCCCACCTAGGTCTGCCTGCATGACCTCCTCCCGTTGCTGCTGTCGCTGCTCCTCGTCGTGCTGAGTTCCCTGAGAAGCGATGGAAGTGTTCCGCTGCTCCCCTTTCAAACGTTTTTGGCGAATGCTGTTGCTGAGTTTGTAACCGACTTTCAGCGTCAGCATGCCCCCAGGAGATGCCACGACGTCGTGGAGGCGTTCGGTGTTTTTGAGGACGGGAGCGGAAATGCAGGAACAGGTCTGTTTCGAACGTTAGTACGCATGCTCCGGTTGTGGTAGACAGCTCGGGACGACTCACGGAGAGGTATTGAATGACCAGTTCCAGCCTTGCAGAGGTTTTCATGGTCGCTACCTGCGACACACCGAACTTTGAACTCTTCAGGAGGCCCTTCTCCTGCAGGTCAAGCACTTCGCGCTGTGAAAGTAGTCAGCGTCGGTTGCACAGTGTCCTCAGGTAGACAAAAATTTACCAAAATGAGCCAAGCCTTCTCGACGTTCGCGTCGTCCTTCAGCAGGCCCGGCAGCCGTCCATCAAACGACGTCCATAAGCCTTTCCACTCTTCGACTGACATCCCCTCGATCATCGGGTGGTCGGTGATCTGGGCATGTAGGGCGCTCAGGATCTTGATCGCCCATTGTATCTCGCTGTTCTTGACCTCCTGGATGTCGTCGTCATCTGGAGCGACAAAAATGCGTCGCTGGGGTCCTGTTGCCTCTTCCATGCTCAAAAGGTGCCTGAAGTGACGAGTCGGAGTAGGTGGAATGGTATTCTGATCGGTTGGACGGGCTTTCTCGATCCTCTGTTGAGGTGGCTCGAGCGACGCAGCCTGTGGCATCTTAGTGCCATTGATGGCTACGGCGCCTCCTTCGGTCGAGGTGTAGGTGTTGCGAGCAGCGCCGTCCTCTTGAGGCTCGGTCTTAACATTGACCTGATCGTGTGGTAGAGAAGACATCGTCCTGCTGTGGTTGTTGCTTTCCTTGGAGTGTGACAAGTCTGGCGAGCAGGTCCTTCAGATATATAAGAATGCTGGGTAAGTGAATTGCGGCTGCCTTTTGCCTAAGTTTGAACACTTCTGCCACATTCGAGACCTCAATACAACGGCCATAAAGGTTCTGGTCACGTCCTGGCAGGCATCAACTTGAGACTTGAAGAAGTCTTTGATGTGAAGGACGTTGGAGTATGCATGTAAGCAGTTGGGAATGCGTTGATACAGTATGGTCAATGTACAAGTATGCGTACTTTAATGCACAAGTCCTCCATAGTACACGCCACGAACGTCGACCATCTTCCGGCCTCTGGCGCGTGCAATCTCTTCGGGAAGGCGTTGGTTGGTAAGAGCTTGGAAAGCGGCCTTGACGACGTTCATCTTGTTGCGAGAGCGAGGCGTTCGAGCAGCAAGGTCTGAGATTCCAGCAGCACGGGCGAGTTCGAAGATGAGATGCTGGCAGCGATTGCCAAAGCCTAGAAAGAATACACGTGAGCAGGACTGACTGAAGCAGAGACTGTGCAGGCTTACCAGGCGGTCTCGAACTTAGCTTCACAATAGAAGCTCCGACCTTTCCTTCCACTTCGCCAAAGATTGTCCGCTCCTCATACCTGGGAATGGGCTTCATATTCCTAATGGCGTTCATCATCGCCTGCCGTCTGCCGTCCTCGTCTTCCGCAGCTTTGCCCTCTCCAATACCAAGCATGCCATCCTGGTTGCCAGCAATAGTTAAAAAGTAGAGCGACTGAATCTTGCCCATTCGTGTCTGGTTCACCACACGATGAGAGACTAGGTTTTTGACTCTGATCTTGCGAATTGCCTCTTTGGTGAGGCCAGTTTGTTGTGAAAGTCGCAACAATCGAGGATCTTCCTCTTCCTGATCTTGCTTACTCCCACTCTTTGACGACTGTGGCCGGCTCCCTCCCATTGCGTCGACTAAGGGCTGGAAGCCTTCCTCCAAAGGCGCGCCTGTCGATGGGAGACGGTCCAAACCGGGGCGCTGTGTCGCAAAGTCATCGATGTAGTCGATTCGCATGGGGTCTGTCCTGAAGCGGCCCTGGGTCATCATATCCGTCGGGTCGATGGCCTTTTCTCCCTCTTCAATGGCCTTCATCTGCTCAGGGGTGTACTTCCTCGCCAGCAACCTCTTCTCTCGCTCGGTATACGGTTTCAGGTGAGATGCCAGAGAGTCGACTTCAGTTTGACGCGCTTCCGACACGCCCATGTCTTCGGCCTTGATGTTGGGGTATTTGCGATTGGGTCGTTTTCGTAGTTGGTTTGCGGGAGTCGTGTGGAAGCTGCGGCGCGCATTGGGGACGGTCTGCGATACGACTGATTTGATGCGACATGATAGACACTGATATGTCTTTGAGGACGACATTTTGGCGTGTTTGGCTGGTGAGGTGTAGTTGTCGTCGCTGGTGTGAGAAAGGACGAAGTCGACTCGACTCCCCAGCCAAGCCCAAAGCTTCGCCGCGGAGGTTTGATGGACCCCATCTAGTGCAACCTCACGTTAACATCACCTACATTCCCACCAACATGGCATTGCCGACGGCCGCTGCACGGAATCTGGCATGCCACAGCTGCCGACAATGGATGCTGCGGTCATTCATTTCCAGTATTGGTGGCCAGGCCATCTCGTCGACCAGCCGAAGAGCCTTCTCCACTCCACGGATGCGACTGAATGAAGCACGAGAACGACCTCAGAAAGAAGAGCGAGAAGAGCAGATTTCAAGCGATACAGACCGGAAGTACTCGCCACTGGCCGAAGGGAAAGAGTCAACGCACGATGGTCAAGAACAAAGTGCACACGTGCCTTGGTATCTCCAAGTGGAGTCTCCCATCCCAGAGCAAGAGAACAGCCTGTTGGCTCGACAAAAGATACCCGATCTACCAGAATATCCTCCACCAATGCTGCAGCCTCTTCTTGAAAGAATTTCTGTCGAGCTGGGAATGGACGATCTGTCCCTGCTTGACCTCCGAGGCCTCGATCCACCTGCTGCTCTCGGCGCCAATCTTCTCATGATCGTTGGAACTGCTCGATCAGAGAAACATCTCCACTTCTCGGCTGACAAACTATGTCGATGGCTGAGATCTGAACATAGATTGTCTCCATATGCAGACGGACTGCTAGGAAGGCAAGAGTTGAAGTTGAAGATGCGAAGAAGAGCAAAGCGTTCGAAATTACTATCAGCGGTGGGTTCAAAGGCGACTGCGGATTCAGAGCTGTATGAAGGCATCAGAACAGGCTGGATCTGCGTCAATCTTGGCAGAGTGGAAGGCGGCGACTTGCCCAAGTCTGAGGAAGAGCTGGCGCGAGAGGCGAATGTGGTTGGATTTGGAACACAGACGAGTGGAGCGAGGATCGTAATTCAGCTCTTGACGGAAGAGAAGAGAGGCGAAATCGATTTGGAGAAGCTGTGGACCGCTGTGTTGAAGAAGTCGACGAAGGAAAAGGAAGCAATGCAGATGAAGGAGGACAACGAGGGAGGTGATGAGGAGCAGCACGGGCAAGAGAACCCATCGAGCCCACAGCACGATGCTTCCAGTCTCGCTCAGAGACCTGCTTTTGCTCAACAACAGGCTCGCGCATTTCACACGTTGTCACGACGACCCCTCGCCGTTCCGACAGTCTCCAGCACGATTACGGGCCGAAATCCTCCAACACAAGACGAGAGTCCAGCCGGCGAAGCAATGTCTGCACACTCGATATCTACGTTGAACTCTGCATTGGACACTCTCGCACGCATGCCGCATGAGTCGGCTGTGGCTACCCTTGGCGACGACTTCATGTCTCCTGCAGCGATTGAGGGTGTCGAGACTGCTCGGAACTTTGCCGTGGCCGGCACGTCTGATTTTGTTCAAGCCTTCAATGCTGCCATGCCGCCATTTCCAGAAACGGCTCACTGGCACGCCCATGTCCAATTGCTGGCCTTGGCGTATCGCTTTGGCCATCCAAATGTCTACAACAACACACTCCTAGCCGCTCTACAGAACATGGTCGTTACTGGAATGGTGCCCATGGAGCGGAGCTACATCTCTGTTCTGGGTGCTTTACTCGGCAAAGTCGATCGCAGTAGCCCGGCTTTTGAGTACGACATGGAACCCATCTTCGATCTTTTGGAAGAGATGGAGCATTATGGGTACAATGCATTGCGTCCTGAAATCCTTGAAGCCCTGCACCGCGCTTTGGTCGGCCCTCCAACGACTACAGAGCGGACCACATTGCAGTCACTGGTGCCCGCGCTCGGCCTCGCCAGGCTCAAACGACATTTGGCCACTGCAGACGTGAAGAAGTTCTGGCAGTCGTGGAACAGCTTTCCTCGTCGACTGATACCTCGCTCGGTAGAGATGTATGTCGTACTATACGACGCGCTAGCAAGCGAGAACATGGCCCTGGACTTCCACCGCACGCGGAGTGCTCTTACCTACTGGATCCACGAGATGGAGCACGAGGCAGATCCGGTCACGGTTGAGAATGGAGGCGTGGAGCTTGCCATGTCGCTGTTCAAGGCGATTAAGTATGTCGATCCGCTGGCTGAGATCAAGGAATGGAACGATGTGAGGGGGAAGTGTGAGAAGGTGCTGAGGGCGGCTCTTCAATGAACGCTAAACATCTTATGTATCCCCGATTGTTAACATATGTCCAGGCCACTTGATTGAGGATCGATGGCATTGCGACAGGTTGAGTAGCGGGGATAGCACAGCCAATGAACACTTCTCCGACTTCACACTACCATGCTGCCAGCAATCCTTCCGATGGCAGATCCCATCTGCATTAAAATGTGGCTTTCCTTCCTGCTATCGCGGCTCCTCATGGTCCCATGCCATATCACGCCCTGTTCCGACGACCGTCATTCTTATTCCTTCCAAGCTCCATTACTTCACTCAGCGCAGCCTCCCTCTTCCAGCTTCGTATTTGGCAAATGTCCACCGGCCGCTGTCTCCGGCGCTGCTCCGTCGCTCGCATTCCATGACAGCTCCGCGGCCTTGCCCCAGACATATACGAAAAGCAAATGCACCGTGATAGCAGCAAATCTTTGGGTAAGCAAGAATGCCCGCGAGGAGACTTGATATCAGGTAACAAGTTTGGCAACGTCAGCGAACCTACCAGATTTCTGTAGAAGTACAGCTCCGAAGAAAAGCCAAGCAAGTCAACGAGTTACAAAGCCTGTACTTGAATAGAGACGTAGCGTTTTTTCGTCAACGTTCTCATTTAGAGGAAGGGCGTTGATAGCAAGCTGAGCTTGTGAGGCCGTCAGCTAGAGCAGGCTGAGATGAGGTTCTGACATGCCGGTCTGCAGCCATATAGACATGCTAATTCTACAAGTTCGGAGGCTCGTGCAGAATTGTGAGTGAATGTTGATACTAGGTCGTACTATATCATCAAACGAGACAGTATTTTCTTGCGTCATTCCGGAGCGGAGATCGACAAGCACAGCCCGCCGGCGCGAACCTGTGGAGCAGCGTCGCGACCTGCGGACATGGAAGTGTGTTCGACTGCGTTTGTACTTTTGGGATAACATTACCGCCCGGTAGACTGCTTCATCTCAGACCAGACGACACGCGGTGCCTGGACAAGAGCGCCATGTCGCCGGATCGACTCCCATCCCTCCGAAACGATCGATAGAAGCACCCCTCGAACGAACAAACAGCTGGCGATTGATTGATAGAAGCCTGGAAACAATACCATAGACGTTCTAGGCATTGCGTGTTTGGTGTGGAGATACAGTCATGGAGTCACCAAGCAACTCGTCGTTGCTGCCCTCGGCCATGGACCTCCTCATGGCCTTTCCTCGCCTAGCACAGCGAGCACCAGAGTTCATGGACAACATCGCTGGGAAGATCTTCAATGGCGGCAGCGTGATTGCTGATGCTACGGCCCACTCCACCACCGTCAACTCGACCATCACAAACACGAGCAACGCATTTGTGCAGAGTACCGCCTCGACCTTGGAGTCAACATTCAGGGAGGCTTGGAGGACAGCCGCGGAAGAGGAGAGCTCGTCCTTGTTCATGAGCATCGCACACGGCATTGGCAAGGTCAAGCAGTTTGGCGGCATATTCTCGTACTTGACATCAAGATGGGCTTTGACAACGTTTACTGCGGTAAGTTACGGTCGAGACAAACAAGAATGGGCAAGGCGGGGGCTGACATGCCGCAGGCCATTATCCTTAACCGTACCCAGTTCTATGCCTCCTCGCGCGAGCACCTTCGACTTCGCTTCCACATGCGTTTGGCCTTGTATGCGGTCCCCGTAGCCTCGTTTCTCATGCAACTCATGACTATCCTGCAAGCCATGAAATGCCAGACCTCGCCCGACTTTGCTCAAATCCGATACGGCGACCCGCTCAAGAATCTCGCTATTGACTTTGGTGGTGAAGGTGGCTTTTTGTACAACTTGAGTTCTACGCTGTTGTTTTGGCAGGACGATGCTAGCTGCTGTAACGCACGCAGCATGTCGTTGGTCAGCTTGGACGACGACAAGAGCGCGCTGCGTGGGTCTTTATCGCTCCTCTACTGGTTCTTCCTCACGCTCTGCACCAGTCAGCTCTTCGAAACGCTATCTTGTGCACTACAGGGAAAGCAGCCGATGCCAGAGACCGGGATGACGATCTTCGAGCACTCCCTGGCATTCGCGGAGTGCGAAGCCATGATTAGCAGTGCACTCGGCTTTGGCTTCTTCGGTATCAAATCTGGAGACGCACCCTCAGGCGAAAACTCTGGCCCACTCGTCCATAGATCGGAGATCCTTCAGCGTCTGAATGTGCCTCCAGAAGTCCTTCTGGTCTGTCTCATCTCATGCTTCAGCCATCTCAGCAGTGCCACCCTCGCCGTTGTGGGGCTCAGGCACAAAGTACGACTTGTCAACACTGCCATCTGGGCTTGCTGCTACATGGCCGCTTTCGTGTGGAGCTTCACCAAGATACTGATGAACCCTATCGAACAGATTGCCGACCTGGGTGTTTTGCGATTCCCTACCGTTTGCGTGGTCGGCTTCATACCACACCTGCTGATCTTGGTCGGCATCGTCGTCTGCGGAGCGATCTATGGACTGGCACTGTTCGTCACGGCACTGTCCGTCCCATCGGATGCTGCAGAAGGCCTTTCGTTTCGGCAGAGGCTGGCTTGGGCTTACAACAATCTCCAAGCCAACGTACAGTTCTCGACCAACTCCTCTATCCGAATAAAGATGTCGGAAGACTTCTACACCACACTTCTCAAGATTGGCTTCAACGTACTGACAGCCGCCAGCGAGGCAGTATACCTTAACGAGGGCAGCCAAATACATGTTGCACCGATGACATGGATTGAGCAGAAGCGGATTGACGAGATAGCAGCGAACATGGACAAGCGTAAGACTCCTGCAGTGCCTTCAGAGTTGCTTGGCGAGGGCATTGCGAGGGGTCTTGGCTTCATCGATCATCAAAACGCTGCTATTGGCCGATCACCCTACGCGCGAGAGCGCAAGTCGAGACCTACCAAAGCTGAAGGCGATAGACCGAATGGGTCTGAACTGGATAGTGGCCTCGGACTTACCCAGCGGAGGAGCAGGATGCAACTGACATTTGATTTCATAGCCGGGATCTTTTGGCTTGTTATCGGCTTGCAGGCGAGTCTTTGCTTGAACATGCTCCGGAAACTTGGCATTGAGCATCGACCTGCTTGGTTGCTGAAAGCAGCTGGTGTTGCTGAGGGGTCGAGACGTCCATCAGCGCACAATCGTCCTAGGCAGAGAGATGCACTCGAATTTTACATGCTGAGTGATGATGGGACGTACTCGCTGCCCACGGACAACAACTTCGATGTTGAGGTTGAGACTCGGCGGAGAGTCATTCAAGCTGGCACATATCAAGGCGAACCACATATCGCGGATGAGGTCTATCGCTGGTGGCGAAATGGCGGCCGCTTCGGAGACATGGACGCAAGTGGAGACTTTGAAGTCCTCTCCCAGCAAGATGATGATACGACGAGTGTAATATCGATGTCTACAACAGCAAGTACGACAGATAGCCAGGAGGATAGCGGAAGAAGAACACCGACACAGCTGGATCCATTCGGCGATCGTAGTAGAGAGAGCACCCCTGCGTCTGAAGCAGGCTTCGACATGGGATCTCTCGCTCGATTGTTGAATCCTCAGACGCTTGCCGATCGTGAGGAGGCTCGACTTCTATCACACAGCCTTCAAGCCGACCGCCCGATGACACGAAGCCAATACCGCCGCAGTATGGACCGCACTCGCGCTGAACTTCTATCGGGCCTGCGCAACTCCACCACCCAGCCGTCGTCCGAACAAGACGAAGAAACCGATCTCGAACACTTCATCCTCTCCCAACGCTCCAAAGCCAAAGCCCGCGCCCACAAGGCCAACACCTGGGAATCCGGCGCCGAAGGCATGGGCGAGGGCGGCCCGCAGTGCGTGGTGTGTCAGTCCTGTCCGCGAACAGTCTTGGTCTGGCCATGTGGATGTCTGAGCATGTGCGATGATTGTCGCGTCGGGCTTGCGGCGAGGAATTATACCAAGTGTATTTGCTGTCGGACGGATATTGCGGCTTATTCGAGGTTGTATGTTCCTTGAGGTTGAGAATTTTTAAGAGATGGGTGTTGTGAGGTGCATTGGGAGTGGGGTTGGGATTGGGATCGATCGAACATAGCGATGGTGTTGAATCAAATTAAGTGTAGCGTGTGATGAATAGTATATTATCGATATCAGAATCGCAGTATTCCTTCTATTCGACATTTAAGGTCTGTCTGAATCTTAGTTTTGTATATCTTCTATTTGAAAATCTCTATTGATGTATCAACATAGTCGATCATCCGTTTGTGTCTCAACCTAAAGTCTGTTTTCTCCTAAAAGAAAAAAAAAACATTCACACCAACATCCCCTCGACAACTTCTCTCCAAATCCCCTCCGCCACTCAAAAAACTTCAAAAATAACATGGTTGGGTCCTTAATATTGACAAGGGTGGGATTTGAACTGCCTTCTAATCAGAACGTTGATCGAGAGCCAGTAGTTTGGTTGATGAATGCTCACCCCACGAGGCAACGCCACTGCGGATTCTGCTTAGAGTAGAGACCTAAACGCAGCTCCATAACCACTCGGACACCTTGCCGGGATTTTCCGATGGAATTTGGTTTTGGATTTATGTAGCTATGGGTTTGGGGCCGAGGATTAGCCGTGCTGACTTCGTTCTATCATGTGCTCCTTACAGGAGTGGATAGGAGGTTTGAGGCAGAGGTAGTGAAGTAGGTAGAGTGATTCGAAGCATCGTTATTATTTACTTTTTGAGTCTTTTCTTTCTAGTGTCTAAAACTCCCTCAACCACTGTAGATAGGTCTTTGCGTCCTCTGCTTTGACGCCTTCCATTTCCTCCCGGACTCCTAACATGCTCACTTTGCCGCCAGACTCGGTACTCTGTCCATCGCCTTGAAATCTCCATCCTGAAAGGAGTTTCTCTAGGCCTGCGATGGTTTCTGCTTTGTCTTCGATCAAGAGCGAGATGGCGTCGTAGCCTCCTGCTCCTGGGACCACTCCTCCAATTACGCCGGGCACTTTCTCGCATGCATCCAGGAGTTCGGTCTGAGCGGGCGGTTCGATGGGAACGTCGCTTTTCTCAGACATGAGGCGAATCAGTTTGCGGATGTGTGTGAAGCATTCTGAGAGTTTCGTATAATTCTTGTCGCTGCCGCCTTCCGCAGCGTTTTTGAACTCTGCAGCAAGTGCTTCATTCGCGGCATGAAGATCATCCCAGATTGCATTCGCTTCCTCTGGTTTCTCCTTTCTCCAGGACAAGACTTGCTTTACCATCCCAGGCGTTTTGCTTCCACATGAGACATCGCACATGATAAGCCGAAGACCCTTTGGGATCTTGACGGCGTCCTTGTGGATTTCCGTATCCCAGCGTAGACCATGGTGATTTTCTTCGACGATATCCTGTATCTCTGACGCAAATTTCGGGACTCCCGGCTCGGCATGGCTGGTGAGCAGAGCAGGCGAGAAACGTCGGTAGAGACAGGTTCCATAGACAGCAGAAGCAACATCAAAGCCCGATCCAACCTTGCCTTGAGCGGCGCAGTGAGCTGCCTGGGCGAGGTTGTGGAGACGCCGCTTGCTGGTGTTGGTGATCAGATCAAACTTGGACTTGGGCAGGTAGTAGGTGAGAAGAGCGGCAGTGACTGCGGTGACCAGAGCAGCAGACGATCCCAGACCGGTCTTTGGAGCTTTGGACAGAGGGACCGCGAATTTGTGAAATCTGCGCTTGGAGGAGCCATTGGATATGTCGGCTGGGGTGGAATAGTAGTCGTTGTCAGCCAGAACTGTGATGGCTGAGGGGGTGATGTTGGGGCCTGCCAGGCTGGTAATGTAGCTCAAGACATAGCTGAGAGTGGTCTCGATGAAGGGATTGCGATTGAGATTGAGATCGGCGTCCCTGTAGCATGCGGTTGAGTAAGTGAGGGTCTTGTCAAGGTGCAGAACAAAAAGACAATATAACTTAGGGTTGAACGACGAAAGCTACTCATGTTTCTAATCAGCACCAGAAATACTTACGCTCTCAGGTGTGTAACCTCAATGCCGCCATCCCTCTCAGCCAGCCGGTAGCCATACTCCCAGACGGCATCGAGGAATTGGGGCGAGTTGACAGTGATCTCGTTAAGAACAATGCCATTGCTCGTCGGAATATCCTGAATCAACACGTGGATACGAGCATCCAGTCCAAAGACCAGACCAGTATACTTGCGATCCAATGCCAGATATCCGCCGGCCAGCAGGACTTTGCCTGGGGCAGAGACGGCGACAGGTCCGTTGTGACCCATCCAGTCGGAGAGCAGTAGAACGGCTCGGCCGGGGAAGTGTCAGGCAGACACGTGGAGATTGGAGTTAAGAGTGGACGGGCAGATCAATGATGAGCGGGCGGTGGAAGGGGAGGAGGAGGCCTTCCGGTTCCTGGCGTTGTACGAGTGGCAGATGACCAGAAGATTCGAGGGGCACTGCTGACGGCCCAGATTGCAGGAATCCGCTAGGGGATTTTGCGGCTTGCTGTTTCGTGAGGGAGACGTCGTCTTTCTTCGATTTCTTGCCTCGCAGTTGGGATATGTGTGTCGTTCAAGATGGCAGATGCCCTCGCATACCGAGTGAATGTGTCGACTAGTCCAGGAGTTGCATCGAAGGCTGCATGAAGCCGGCGGGTGGTAGCGGCGAGGTTGGCAGAGGTCGGGGAGTCCGCCAAAACGACCCGCTAGCGGCACGGGAGGCACGGAAACACCAAAGCCCGACGAAATCGAGCAGGGAGCATTTGATGCGAACGCGGTTAGACGTCAATCAAATGCGCCATGAATAGTCAGCCCGCCAGGCATCCCCTTTGCGTGTCGGGGTTATCAGATGCTGCACCGTCAAAATCCAGCTCGAGTCCTGGCCTTGGCTACTGGTGATTCATAGAACGCATCGCTCCTCTCTCAGGCACCTTTTCTCTGACCACCCACCACACCTCCTCTCCCCAATCAACTAATCCACCCCCCTTCTGGATCGCGCGTTTGTTTGACGACTGCCGTGTCGTCAAATGAACCTGCACCCGCGCCATATCCATCCCATCCCCGTAGGTCACGACATCCATCACGAGACACGACACGCGCACTGATTCTCTTCGCAGTCTCTCCCTTCCCAACTGAAGGGTTTCCACATCACCTAAATGCCTTACGTCAAGCCCACCGTCCACCTCTCGCGTATTGCTGGCACCGCCCTTAAGTCTTTCACCCACGGATACGCCCAGACCGTTGTCGCCGCATCGCAATCCAGCTATGCTGCTCAGAACACTTCGGCCGCGCCTCTCGCGGACACCTTGATCGGTCGCTTCCGGAAGAGCGAGAAGAGTAGACTTCAGAATGTCTACAACCACGTCGAGGCCTCTCGCCAGGCCAGCTCGAGTGCCGTCCCGACCACTCGTCCAGAGACCAGCCACAACGACTCCGGCCTAGACAAGTACTTTGATGCCTGGCAGAAGCATCAGCACAATGGAACCAAGGAGTGGCAGCAGTTCCAGTTTGCGCGCCGAATCGAGTGGCAGCCACCGTCAGTCATCCCAGGCCAGAGTCAGGAGGTGGCAGATGTTGAGCATGAGAGCGTTGGAGAAGAGTTTGCCGCGCCTGCCCTCAAGCGCTCATACACCACTAGCGCTCTCGACAACTTTGGCAAGGCCTTCATCAATGATCTGGAGGCAGAGGCAGTCGCTCTTGAGCAGGTGAACAATGCTATCGCGGAAGAGATTTCCAAGGCCAAGGAGGAGTCAGAGGACGGCTTGACCATCCGAGCTGCTTCTCCATCTGCGACTTCCCAGGTTGTGGAGTCTTTCGAATCCGAGCCACGATCAGACAGCCCTGCCACCATCTTCACCCCGAGCGAGAGCTTTTCGAGCGCCGAGTCCGTCGAGAGCGAGACCTATACCGAACACATCCTTCAGCTCGCCGAGAACAAGCAGTATGGAGATATCCCAGCGGCCTTCCAGAGCATGCTGCGCGCTGGCGTGCAGAAGCCATCGCAGGGAGCCTACCGTGCACTACTTAGCTCTGCCATTGAACTCACCCATGGCAAGCACCAGAAAGCACCAAAGGCACTCGAAGTCTACTCAGACATGCTGAGGAGGAGAGTTACGCCTGATGCAGTGACATATGGCATGCTCATTGAACTCCTGTCCGCCAGAGCGTCGGAGTCGGTCACCATGAGGAAGGCTTTGGAGCAGCGCCTTACTCGGTACGGTGGTCTCGAGGAGCCTGGCAAGTTCATGTTCCGCTCAAGCCAGTCTGAGCACACCATGCTCGTTGAAGACAGCTCGCTTTCCATCGCCCTGAAGATGTTCGAGCGAGCAATCGCCAGCACTTCTGAGCCACTGCCAAGCGAGGCATGCGCGTGCCTTGTCATTGCGAGCGCCGAGCAAGGTCGCGTGGAGGACATGACCCGTGTCTACCAGTACATGGAGGAGCAGTCACTTGAGCCGTTGACCGCCATCTACGCCCCGATGATTGCCGCTTTCGGTATTAACGGTGACCTGAGGAATGCGGTTGAGGTGTACGACGAGTATAAGGAGCTGGCTGTGGCCAACAACTCTGGCAAGAACACCATTGCCCGGATTGACAACCAGATCTACGCTGCACTCATCAAAGCATACGGATCTGCAGACAGATTGAAGGGTGGCTTGAAATTCTTGGCAAGCATCCAGGCCGACATTGAGAACCCCAAGGAACTAGAGAAACTGCGTGAAGTAGTTGCTCTTGAAGCCCTTCTCCCACTGGCCCTCAAAGACACCACCTTCAAGGACGCCTTCGACTTGACTGGATCTCTCACCGGACACGCCCATACCGCTGCTCTGGCAACCATCGCCACGACAGCTGCCGACAAGAACATCCCAGACATCAGCCTTCGCGCTTTCGACACCCTTGCTCAGCATAGTAAAGACCTTGCTGAACCAAGCATGGCAATGCTCGCCATGCACGTACGCAACGCCAACGTCGAGGCTGCCGAGCCATTCTGGCGAATCTTGGAGGCGGCTCCTGTCACTCTTGCATTTATTGAACCCACGACCATGCGCGCTGTAGCACTCATCGGCATTGGCCAAGCTGAGCGCGGCTTGCGCCAGAGCCGACGCATGTTCGCACGAATCCGCGAGGTCCAAACCGAAAGCCAGCAGGCCGAGACTGCTGAGCACATCGACGAGGCAATCGAGCTGATTGGGACCTTCATGCTCAAGAGTCAGGCGACGCTGATGCCAGAGGCCAGTCTGGAGCTGCTGCGAATGATGACCGAGAATGGCAGTCTTATTGCGCCGATTGCGGAGCACTTGGTCGCGCGCTTTGGTCCAGAGCACATTGCCCGTCTCAACCAGGCTGACTTGGAGTTCTTGCTGCGAGTGCAGAGTGGCATGATCTTGGATGAGATCTCAACTGAGATCGCTGGCCCTGCTCGATTCGGCTGCATGTTGGAAAACATCGTGTCGCGATCCCTGATGCCTGCCGCTGAGACGGAGGTCCTCCTTGAGAAGACCCTCATCAACATCGACCGCGCCGAATTGTCGAGGCTCTGGAACAACTACCGCTACCCAACAACCCCAGCACTGTACCAGCCCTCGCCGTTCACTCCCGTGGTTCCCTACCAGCAGGCTCCTACCTCGTTCGAGGATACCTACGATCCATATGCCAACCGCACTGATGTCAAGGGTTCGAACCTGATCAACGAGCTTCTCGAGAAGCCACATGGCCGTCGCATGAACGAGGCTTTGGCCAAGTTCCGCAACATGCGTAGGGTCGGACGTATCCCTCGCATGTTCACATACGGCAAGCTGATTGAGTCGGCTGCCAAGGAGAACAACCTCAACCTCGCCCACGATATTCTCGAGATGGCCAAGCAGGACGTTCCGTTCGATGCACGCTACCGCGTTGTCCGCTTCGGCTGGCAGCAGATTCTGGACCACATGGTCGCCGGATGCCTCAACATCGGCCGCCGTGACCTAGCTGCTCGCTACCACCAGGACATGCTCGACATGGGTTTCGCTCCATCTGCCAACACGTTCGGTCTGTACATCACCACGCTCAAGGAGAACACCAAGACATTCGATGAGGCCTCCGAGGCCGTGAAGATCTTCCTTCGAGCCAAGGCTGAAGGTGTCGAGCCATCGTCATTCCTCTACAATGCTCTCATTGGCAAGCTCGGCAAGGCACGACGCATCGACGACTGTCTGTTCTACTTCGCTGAGATGCGCAACCTCGGCATTCGCCCAACTTCGGTCACCTACGGCACGATTGTCAACGCTCTCTGCCGAGTGTCTGATGAGAAGTTCGCTGAAGAGATCTTTGAGGAAATGGAGTCCTGCACCAACTACAAGCCACGCCCAGCTCCTTACCACTCTTTGATGCAATTCTTCCTCAGCACCAAGCGCGATCGTAGCAAGGTCATCTCTTACTACGAGCGCATGCGCGGCAAGGGTATCGAGCCAACGATCCACACCTACAAGCTTCTGATTGACACCCACGCCACGCTCGAACCTGTCAACATGACCGCAGCCGAGGCTGTCCTCAGCGACATGAAGGCAAACAACGTCCAACCCGAAGCTGTCCATTACGCCTCGCTTATCCACGCCAAGGGTTGCGTTCTGCACGACATGGAAGCCGCCAAAGCTCTCTTCGACCAGGTCATCTCTGAAGCCAAGATCACTCCTCAGCCATGCATGTACCAAGCGCTCTTCGAGAGCTTGAACGCCAACCACCGTTCTGCCGAGTGTGAGCCTCTGTTGGCAGACATGGCTGCTCGTCGTGTCGACTTCACCCCGTACATTGCGAACGCTCTCATCCACGGCTGGACCCTGGAGAAGAACATCACCAAGGCTAAGGAGGCTTTCAACCGCGTGCCACTTTCGCGCCGCGAGCCTAGCACCTACGAGACCATGGTCCGCGCCTACCTCGCTGCTGAGGACCGCGATGCTGCCAAGACTGTTGTTCGTGAGGCCCTGAGTCGGGGTTACCCGAGTGCCGTCGCTGGCAAGATCGCTGAGCTGGTCCGCTAATCAACCTGACTTGTGCTTGGGATCTGGCGTTTCTACTTCTTTCACACCCTCTCTTGGATCGAGATGACGGGTCTCTTTTGTCACGGGCACATACACACTAATGCATGCTTGACGGCTGTCTGATTTTAGCGATGGAGTCTGGCGTTCACCGGAAACACACAAAATACAAAGACCGCCCTCTGCAACGGAAGATGCGAGGCGCTGGCTGGCTGGGTTCTGATAGGTTTCGAAGATGGAAGAGGACAGCCGCTGCCGAGCGTCTTTTCTGCTTGATGGGCATGCGTGAGCTGAAGCTGGGATATGGAGGAGTTGCTTGCTTGCTGAACCTGTACAATTAGATGGATACCCCACACGAATCTCTGCTCTGCTGGATCTATGACTCCCTCGCTCGTCGAAAGACGGAGGGGGTGGATCTGGAGTTTCCTTTTCAACGAATGAAATGGAGTTAATACCAAAAACTTTTCACTTTCTCATGTCTTCAATCACTCTGTTGTTGTTCTCGCTGCCCTGCAACCCCCCATTTCGCATCCTTATGCATCGCTCTCCAAATCCGCCGTACTCATCATCCCCAGCGACTCCACCAACCTCGCCACTATCGCAGCATCGCACTCAGCATGCCGCCGAAAGTGACGCCACGCCGTCTCCTCGTACTCGCCCATCACCACCGGCGCAATCGGCACCTCTTCCTTGCATACCTGATAAACCTTGCCGTCGGAGTACTTCCCGTTGATGATCATTTTGGTATGCTCCTCCTCACGGCCGAAAAACATATGGCCGGGGTTCTGATCCACGGGAAGATGTGTGAGGTACATCCGTCGCCAACTGCTGTCGACGTGAGGCGGGCGTTGCGGCGTCGAGCGGTAATCGCAGGCGAAAGTGTAGGTTATCTTGAGCTTGGGACCGCGTTTTCCGTTGAGGGTGGTGAAGGTGAGGTTGGGGACTTTGTGGACGAGCGGGTTGATGCCTTCGTCGTCGTACACGGTCGCTCCGTCTTTGGGGGCCAGCCGGAAGAAGAGCTTGCGTTGGAGGTGCAGGGAGCCGGCGATTGTGGATTTGAATTGGGTGTTGACGCGTTGGCTGAGGAGGAGGGTTTGGTTGGAGAGGTTGAGGAGGATTTGTTCGAGGAGTTCCGCTGTGGCGATGAGGCGGTGGGCGGATGGGGGTTTGGTGGGTGTGGACTTGTTGGCCGTGGTTGGAGTCATGGTGAGTGAGTTGGGTGGTGGCTATGCTTGTTGATGCGTTGGTGAGGTTGAGTGGAGAAGAGATAATGAAGACGAGCTTGAGGAATGTGCATGTGAAGGGAATGAAGCGACGCTGGCTTGGCGATCACATGAAAGTCCTTTCACATTACGAAGGAGTCTCCGTGTGCTACACAAAACTCCTCATCACTTTAATCAATCTCCGATAGTCCGACCCCAACCTTTGCTCTTTCCTGCGTTTACGAACTCTTCCATCAACCATGTTCTTGTCGCACGACTATACCTCCGCTCGTCCTCTCCCAGTAGAAGCTACCAGACCTAAGATGCAGTCGTACCAGATACGGGCGCCGCTCCAATGCCCGTACATACTCGTCCCTGCCCTGCGGCGACTCGACATCGTAATCCTCCTTCCGGATCTCTGGGCCCGTATACAACTTGAGCGCTTTGCAGATCTCGTTCTTGGAGCTCGGCAGGCCATGCACAAAGGCCATGCGTCGCCAGCTACCCATTCTAAACGTGTCCCGTACTGGCTTCTCATCGACGGAAATATCGAATTGGAAAGACTTTTCTGGGTCGGCACCGCTACTTTCGAGAAGCAACTCTCGCTGTTGGCGGAAGATGAGTAGGGGGTTGATTCCGCCTCCGCCGTACGTCGTCGCACGGGACGCCGGTGCCTGTCGAAAGAACAGAGCTTCTTGAAGGTAGGTGGAGTCGTCGATAACTGCCTTTGTGCGTTTGCAGACGCGTTGGCAGCGAAGGAGCGTTGGCATGTCGAGGTCGAGGAGAGTCTTTTCGAGAAGAGTCTTTTCGAGAAGCTCGAAGGTGTTGATGAGCTTCTGGCCAGCGGGAAAGCGAGTGCTCGCACTGTCGAGTTTTGTTAGTTTGTCGTTCGATTCGCTACCGATGTGTTAGGGGTAAGTACCCTTCGTCTGGGTCTTCGGGCATCTTTGAAGATGGTGTGACAGGTAAGTGGTATGAGAAGCTTGGCTGTCAGTTTGCGGTGAAGTCAGAACGCATGTGCAAACGGAGCCACGCTAGCGGATCAAAATTGAAAGCACGGACTTCTTTTGGGAAGGAAGCTGCCAAGGGCCTTGTTTTGATCGAGATTGAGTATTCGTAGTTCATTGACACACTTGTTCAACCCCATGTTCCACCGCCTCCTCTGCCTTGCCTCTTTTGCGCACTCAGTCTCCAGTCATCCTCATTCGCAAACCGATTGTGGAGAGGCTGGATTCTCTCCGCTCGTTTCCTCTTACTCATGCCCATCCCATCCTTGCCTGCAACCTTGAAGAACGTCGGTGCAGCTTCGACCAGCCATTTCGGCTCAATAGCTGTGACGTTGTGCATGTATTCCCTCGTCGTTTCAACCAACGAATGGTAGATGACATGCTCTGCCGCTTTGCCGAACAGCGCCGAAGCAGGATGCATATACACTGGCGTCCCTTCGACAAGGGTCTTGTAACCTTCTTGGGGATCTTTGCGGGCACTATTGCGAAAGAAACCAGAGCAGAGCGCCTGCCGAACGCGGAGTGTGTCTCTACCGCAAGAGACGACACGGAGACGATGGCGCTCGAGAATTTGCACCAGCTGTTTCCTCACATCTTCGGCGCGACGCATGTTCCTAGGTTGGATGAAGTTCTCAAAGCACCATGCATCGTTTCGTCCGGCATTCTTCCAGCCATTGTAGACATTCAGCAGTGTCAGGTGGTCACCCGCGGGATCGTGGAAGCGGGCCTTCTTCTGATCAGCTTGTTGCTGCTTGTCCTTTGGCCTGTGGAAGACGGTCTGCACGGCTGAGATCATAGCAACGATGGACAACATTTCATCACTGCATCCCAACTCGACAGACATAATGAGTGACTTGGCGAGAGCAGGATCCATGGGGAAGTCAGCCATTCGACGGCCCAGGCGTGTTAACAGACCCTCGTCATCTAGGGCCGAGAGCGCATAAAGCTCTTCCAAGGCCGTTAACATCGTGTTTGTAGGTGGAGGGTCCATGAAGTCGAATCCGAGCAGATCGTTGATGCCCATTGCCTTCAACATCAGAATCGTGTTTGATAGATTCTGTCGCTGAATCTCCGGAATCGTGGCGGGTAACATCTCTGACTGGAAAGCAGTCTCTGTATAAAGTCTAAAGCATTTGCCAGGTCCTGTCCTTCCAGCACGTCCAGCACGCTGTTTGGCTTGCGCCTGGGAAATGGGAGTGACTTGCAGTCTGTCCATACCCAGCTTGGCGTCATATGCAGTCTGCTTCACGAATCCAGGGTCAACCACAAAGTAGATGCCGTCAATCGTAATACTCGTCTCTGCGATATTAGTGGCAATGACGACCTTCCTGCCGCCTGGTGGAGGTGGCTCGAAGATTCGACTTGCAGTCTCCGATGGCAACGCACCATAGATTGGCAATATCACCATTTCAGGAACAGCTGGTCCCAGCGCCTTCATTCGTTCGTAGAGAATCTCGCAACTCGTGTCGATCTCTTCTTTACCAGTCAGGAAGAGGAGGATGTCTCCAGGCTTCTCCGTCAAGTGAATCTGCATGACAGTCGTGAGGGCAGCATCGAGGTAGTCACTCTCCGGTTCCCTGCTGTACATAATCTCCACGGGGAACGTTCGACCTGGTATGGAAAGAATTGGACATTCATTGAAGTAGGTCGAGAACTTCTCTGCATCCAAGGTAGCGGATGTGACAATCAGCTTCATGTCCGGTCGTTTCTTCAATGTCTTCTTGAGCAGACCGAACAGTACATCGGTGGCGATCGTCCGTTCGTGGGCTTCGTCAAGCATGATCACGCTGTACTTGTTGAGTTCTGGATCAAGCAGAATCTCACGCTGCATGATGCCGTCTGTCATGTACTTGATCTTCGTGTTTTGGGATGTCTTGTCCTCGAAACGAATAGTGTAGCCGACTTCTTCTCCTAGTCGGCAGCCAACTTCATCGCTGACTCTCTGCGCAACGGACATGGCAGCGACACGACGAGGCTGGGTACAGCCGATCATGCCGCTGTTCGCAAGGCCGTCTTCTGCAAGGTATTGCGTAAGTTGGGTGGTCTTGCCAGATCCGGTGTCGCCCACGACGATGAGAAGCTGATACTGCCGGACGGCTTCCAGAAACTGTTTCCGCATCTTGTAGGCTGGCAAGCTTTCTCTTTGCTCCTTGATCGAAAGCAAAGTCCTCTTTCCAAGCTCGCCACGTCCGGATTGAATCTTCTTCCACTCAGGCACCTCCATAGCGCCAGTGCCATTGCCTTGTCTCTGCGATCGCAAATCACTTGCAAACCTGCGCTCACTTGGTGCCACCATAGGATCGTTCCACTCCTGCCCAAGATCGGTCTTTACGGCCTCCTTGTCTGCCTTGTCTTTGACTTCTTGTTGTCTAAGATCTCTTCGTTCTTTCGCAAGCACATCTCCTTGCATAGCAGCCCTGTTCATACTGCCATCAGGTGCCTTGATGACTCGAATGGGCGACAGCTCGAGAGATTGCTTGGTCTGTCCAGCCAAAAACGGTGGCTCTTCTTCTCGCACCTCAATATCGACATCCTCTTCTTCCTCAATTTGCTCGCCGTTCACTGCGGCATTGTATTCCTCGTCCAGGTCAGGATAGTCTGCCGCCTTCACGACACCAGAGGCTATGAGCTGTCGTATCTCCCATCTTTCAGGACTCGTCATGCGCTTGCGCGGACGCCTGCCATTCGAGTTGTTATCAATCACAGGGACAGCGTTCTCCAAGCTGTTCGAGCCATTCAGTCCAACTGCGTTCGCTCCAGTTGCGCTCTGTGTCCTTCTGCCAGGATTGAGGTCCTGTCCTGTCACTTGGTCCACCTCAGCCATGCTCAGACTTATCCTCTTATCCTGCACTTTCATGACCTTGACTTTCACCTCTTGACCGCGCGACACTAGGTCTCCAGGATGATTCACTTTGTGGTCTGCCATGGCAGAGACATGGACGAGACCGTCCACCTTACCCTTGACGCCTCTGAGATTGACAAACACTCCAAAGTCCTTGACACCAGTCACGAAACCGTCGTATGTCTTGTACAACACCGGCGCATCATCCTCTTCAACCTTGCTCGGTCTCTCAAAAGAATCCCGCCTGCTACGCCTCTTTCGGTGTTCCCTGTCTTCTCGATCTGACGGACGATGAGATCGTGTTCGGCCGAACTCGTCTTCGAATAGGTAGTCGTCGTTTCGCGAGCGCTTCGCAGGTGGCTCTGGAGAACGTCTCTTCTCTTCCTGACGCACGGGCGACACGCTCCTCTTCCGTCCGTTTGTCTTGCCAGGGCCTGCCATAGACTCTAAGAGCGCGAATGTGTCATCCATAGCATCCTCCTCTATGGGCTTGTCTGGGATCGCCAGTCCCCGAAACTTCTCGCTCTTGCCATGTCCGTTGCTGGAGTCGCGTTTCGAATCGTCGGCGCCATTGGAGGACTTGTACTTGGGATGCATGGTGCGAATAAGGCGGTCGATGCTCTCGACAAGCGAGCGAGGGAACTCATACTCGCCCAGCTTGTCCGCAAAAGCGTCCAGGTTGGCGCAAGAAGCGTGCTCTGCAATGACAAACTCTGCGATGGTCTTTTCCGAGATGCCCATGTAGTTGTTGATTTCGCTGGTGACCTTGGAAACCAGTGAGAGAATCTCCAACTGCTCGAGATCGTCCATGATGGCTGTCTTGACGCCGGTAGCGTCGTCGGCGCAAGTTGCTTCGTGGTATCAGGTTCGGTTGTGAGTGAGTTGATGCGGCGACATGTGGAGCGGGGCGGACTGAGCTCCGTTCGATGCCAAGCCAAGTTGATCTCGCTGAGTATGGTTGAGGGGGTAATCTGTTTGGTACATCTCCTGATCAAAGATCTCGATGGCTCTACTTTCATGTGAGGATCATGACAACATCCGCAGCTTCTACACTTTTCAATCCAGCCTTGCCATGAATAACCGAGCCTTTCGGACTGGAGACCGTGTCGTGGTTACAGGCTAGCGCAAACCTTGTTTCGATGTCGCTCTCCTGGCTGTGGGCCTCTCAAACTTCCACTCTGTACTACCTTCTACAATCAACACCTTTCAAATCGACTCCCACAGATTCCGTATCTTTGTCATATGCTTTCATCCAAGGCTTCCGGCATCACTCTTACATGAGGCGCCACCATGCCTTCCCCTCCACCGTCCCACTCGCCGATTTCTCCCATCGTGGAGCCACGCCTGAGCGATTGCTGACATCACTGCGTTTCATATCCGACGCCATCATAGCTGCTGCTACGAGTCAGCTCGAGAAATGTTGCCATCCCTTGTCGAGTCTTGACTACTGTTGGAGAAGGAGCGCTCACTGAGACTCCATCCGCTCCTCGATCGATTTGTCCGTGGTTTAAGAAGTCTCGAGTGCCCATCAATTGAGTTACCTATCTTCTGCATTATTCTGCATTCGCTTGTCCTGCACTGCCTTTCTCTGTTTTTCTGCAATCCACGCCCTCTTGTACTCCACCTGGCAAGAGGCGATGCAATGTAACGCGTTCTCGAGCGCTGCCCTCCTTGGATCTTCGACAATCGAGTATGGACGGCAGATGTCGACTTGACTTTGAATCTCTCGTTGGAAACCCGATCCACGGCCACTGTGCAGCAGGTCCCCAGGTCGGCACAATGCAGAATCTGTTCATAATCAAAAGTACAGCCGAATCCAATCTACAAGACGTCAACCATGATTGTAATGCTGGTGTCGATCTAGCCAGCCGATTCTTGCACGTGTTTCCAACAATATTCGGCACCTCAACATGGCATGAAAGCTTTCCAGTACTGCTAGCTCGGCCTGACCTTACTCTTGGAGTGGACCAGTCGGCCATTGTGAACACATTGTGAGTGTATGCGAGGCTGCTGACAACTTAATCAAAAGAAATGTGCCGCGGCCGTTGAAGTAATGGTGTCAAACTTCCACCCAATACAGGACAGACAGAAAGAATGCAATGAGAACTTTACAGAGAGCTGGCTACCACCAGACCAAGCACAACCAATCCAGGAAACTAAACCCCAGATACAGGTGCAATCTTGGCAACATGACCCGGAATCTCCGGCAGCACACTGCGGCCGAGCCCTACGGTGGTTGACCGTGCTTCGAAATCCGACAGAACAAATCAACACACCGACATCCACGCAACGCATGCATGCGTGTTACCTTACTTTCGATCGCCCTGTGCGTTGGTCTCACACTTCGCATCGTCCGGCCAAGTCTCGAATGCCAAACGACAAGGTCGAGTCCAGACAAATTGCCAACGCGCGTAGAGAATTCAAAAAGTCGCAAGCCGCTCGCATGATTTACTCTGTTCAATACTCGACGACGAGGTCGTTTGGATGAGCCTGGCAACGTTGCCCGACACGCAAGGTTGTGGAACTTCAGAACCCGCACCAACAAGCATTAACCCTTTAAGCTTAACGATGCGCTTGCGCTGACCACCATGCAGCGACTGTTAGTCACCGCCGGGAAAGAAGAAAGAGGAGGTTGCTTTCACAGGCGCATCGTTGCAGCCAAGGGAGCCAAGACTTCTTCGTCCTGTTTTCGAGAGAGCCAGCTCTCTTTGAATTGATACTTGCGACCGCTAGTCGCAGCTGACCAAGCTGTGCACATGATTTCTTATCAACACGGCGCCACTTTCCAGCTGCACACAGCCTTGCCGGTGCGACCCGACCATTCTCCTTTTGGGTCGGCAATCCTCTTCGTCTCCTAGAGTCGGTATACCACACAGCGGCCCGCATCCCCGCCATGTCTGGTCTGCAGGCCAGCTCCAGGAAGGCAGCATGCCACTAAACGGCGTGCCATATCTCCGTTTCCGTTGAGCCTGGCGCCATCGAAGATGATCCACATTGGTATCGGGGTACGCTAGAGCAGGTACAGTCGTTTAGCGGCCGGCTGGATGATGCTTCCCACTATCCATGCACATCTTCAGCCCCACGTACTGGATCTTGCGAAGATATTGTGATCACGATGGACGTGTGGCTGTTGGAATCGCGAAGGGGAATGGCTCGCCGTGGTGCCGTCACGGCCCCGTAGGCATCATCGTGAGAGATCCTCGCTAAAACGCACAGATGACCAGCTCTAACTGCAGTCGATATATAAACGGTGAGATACCCGGTTTGCTCAAAACATTTGCCCCAATATCTGAACTTCGAAAGACTGGCGCATTGACAGCCGTTTCATTTCTACTTTCTCATCGCAATAGCTACCACGATGCATGGCTGCTTAGTCGCTGCTACAATCTTTGTAGCAGCATGGGCAGCGCCTCGCCCCATGCCTACCATGATGGAGAGAAGACAATACCCGGGTTCAGGTACAGCTTATGATTCAACTAAGCATATATGTGGCTGATTTGTACCTCAGAGGAGAGTGGCGCTCCACCATTCGACTTCCTCTCGGTGCCAACTGAAACTCCTTTGGGTCCGACAGAGGGAAGCGGCCAATTAAGAGGTAGGTCTCTAGATCTGAACAACGTTTTTCGTAAGGTGCTGATGGAAAATACAAGGACCAACAAACTTGGTCGGCTACAATCCTTCGAACCCCGTGAACACCGAACTTCCCGGAGTAGTGCCCTCAGATCAGTTTCAACTTGCTCCTGGCCAGACGGAGAATGCGGATTTGGGGCTGTATCTTGATCTCAAGTATGCTTTCAAGCGAAACAAAGTCGTTTGCGTGAAGCTGATGAGATGTTTGCAGCGAAGTCGACAATCCCCAACCCATTCGCGGCTCTACAGACAGTCCAACCGATCCTGGCCCGCGCAATCGTCCTTTGGAAAAGCAAAACCCGGATCTCTACGCACCGCCAGGAACGGACGCTGGTTCAGTACCGAATGCCAAATGGCCCTTGGCTCTTAGTCACAATCGTCATGGCAGCGTGTACGCTTCTGGCTGGGCGCGCCAGCAGAATGTCAACGAGCTACCTGTCGCGACAGCCATGGCGGGAGTGGATATGTATCTGACCCCAAATGCCTATCGCGAGCTTCATTGGCATCAGGCGAACGAGTGGGCTTACATCTTCAATGGCTCAGTGCGGTATGTGAAGCGCGTTCTGGTGTGAAAACGTGGTCCAATGTCTAATAGAAGACCAGTGTGGCATCGGTAGACGAGGCTGGAAGGACATTCTTGGACGATCTACAAGCAGGCGACGTTTGGTTCTTGTAAGTCGGAGAACAGTCTGAACTTGCGGTTCACTGATACCATTCTTCTCTTGAACAGCCCTGCCGGCAAGCCGCACAGTATCCAAGCTCTGCAAGATGGCTGTGAGTTCTTGCTGGTATTTGACAGTGGCGAGTTCAGCGAAGACAATACCGCCTTGGTCTCTGAGACCTTTGCACGCAATCCCCTGTCAGTCCTTGCTAAGGACTTGAGGGTAAGATGAGGGCCCATACACATTGGACGAGTGCTCTGTTGATGGTTTCTTTACAGCTCGACGTTAGCGCTCTTGCAAACATCCCCAAGGACGAGTTGTACATCTTCCCAGGAACGCCGGCGCCGGCCAACATCAGCGAGCAAAACGTAAGTGTTGATGACAGGTCGTGGGAGGGATCAATAGCTGACTTCAATGTTCTCAGTCGACTGGTCCTGCAGGCATCATTCCTGGAGATCAGACGTACTCATACCACTGGTCTCAGCAAGAGGCATACGAAGTCCCTGGAGGCTCCGTCAAGATCCTCGACACGGCTTCCTTCCCAATTGCTAAGGACTTTGCAGTCGCTCTTTTCACGGTAGGTTAAATGAGCCTTCATACATTTTTGATGTTTTGCTCATACCTTCATAGGTCAGACCTGGAGCCATGCGTGAGCTCCACTGGCACACTACAAGTGACGAGTGGGACTACATCTTGGCTGGCCAAGGCCGTTTGACCGTCTACGTAGCTCCGTCGTCGTCGCGGACTTTCAATTTCCAGGCTGGAGACACAGGCTATGTTCCAGTCGTTGACGCTCACTACCTGGAAAACACAGGAGATACAGATTTGGTCTACCTGGGTGAGTGTGACAATCACCGTGTACGGTTCATCAAATATTAACGATCGTTGCAGAGATCCTTCAGACTCCATACTACAACGACATTTCCGTGGCACAATGGCTTGGCCTGACTCCCAGACAGGTCGTCAAAGACCATCTGGGCTTCTCTGACGAGACCCTGGACCGCTTGCCCAAGATCAAGCCGTACATCCTTCCAGGCAACACGAATCTGACGACAACCAACTTCACCTCTGAGACTGAATAGGATGCTCATCACTCAGCAGCTCTCTCTTCGGATGGATGCCTATATGCATGGCGACTCTCGTCTTGAGAAATGCCCTCGGCCACGGCACAATTGTATGTTAAAATTTCCTGCCAAGAGTCACCACCACATGACCATGCAGTCCTATCTCACCATCCAAAACTTTACTCTGAAAGTCCTTCGACAAAGCATCCGCATCTTCACCCTCTCTCGCACCTTTCTCAAAGTAGCGATACCACCAAGGACGACACGCCCAATTCAAATACTTCGCCATAGTCTCCGTCTCCGGCCTCTCTCTCCAACCCGTCTGAAACGCCATTGGAAATCTCTTCTGCTCCACATCCTCGAATCGTGCCTCCTCCAAATGTCCCGGCAAGATCTCTCCCGCCTTGAGATTGATCCCCTGCTCTGCGGGTGCTCGCAACGAAACTTCCAAAAACTTCCAATCTTGCGAAACGAGCTTGTTGTTCTTGTCGTAGATTTTCCAGAAATCCATCTCTTGGCTTTCGAAGTATCCGCCGGGTTTCAGGAATGATTTGACGAGCTGCAGATGCTGGGGCCGGGAGGTGACGCCCATGACGAGCATTTTCTGATAGACGAGATCGAACGTCCCCGGCTCGAGAAGCTCGTGGCCGTTCTTCATGAGCTCGTTGAACTCGCCGAGGATGTAGATGACATTGTCTGGCTTGGGCGGAGGTCTGGGACGGGCGACATATCGAGACCAATGATGGTTGCGTTGGGATACATCTTCGCCAGGATGTTCGTCTGAAGCCCAGTTCCACATCCGATGTCCAAGATCTTTTGCGGGCTCTTCAGTGGTGCTCGTATGGGTTCGTTCAGCATTAGTTCGTTGATGGCAGCGCATTGCTCTTCTCATCTGTTGTGTTCAGCGGTTGATGGCACGAATGGATAGGCATTGTCGGTAAGCTGCATTTTTTCTGTTCGCTCGCCATGTTGGCAATGGATCATTGATGGAGATGGACATAATGCCGCTGTTGTGTACTTGCAATAAGTAAATACTATGGCTTGAAAGCACAGATTAAGGGCCAGAAGAATCTCGCATTGGCGTCCATTTTGAACGTGCTAGACAAGAACAGTCATGCCGGACCCGCAGCTTTACAAATACGACATATACCTAATCGTCGGGAAATAGGCCCCATCTTAAATGATTTGAGAATATGTGATGCAGGGTGGAAGTTCGAAGCCGTGTAATGTGGTTGTGAATGTCTCGTTCGATCCTTCAAGCGCCGCAAGAATTACCACTCAGAGACAAGAGCCTTGCTAGAACGCCTAGTCCGTCTGGTGAGGACGAATAGCTTTTATCCCGCCATCATTACAAACCCGCTGACACACAACCACCAGAGTCGATCGGCTCTTTCACTCCCTCTTCTTGTTCATCCTCGGCAGCATTAGCCAGAGGAGCCAAATCACAGCCATGAGCGCCAAGACAATTGGCTGAAGGACCTGCACTCCTTTGGCCTGAGCAATCGCTCCCACAGCATACGGGAATAGGGCACCTCCACTGCCGCCGAATGCAGCCGCGAACCCTATGCTTGATACATGGAGGTGTTTTGGGAGAAGCTTTGTGCAAGCTACTACAGCTGCAGGAAAGAGTGGTCCGAGGAAGAAGCCTTGGAAGGCTACTGCGACGGCGGACACGTAAAAGTGAGGGACTAGCCAGAAGAGTAGTTCGAGAGCCATGGCAAGCGGTAGATAGATCTAAGTTCTCGTTAGTGACGTATGTCGGATATGGCCGCTGAAGACGAACCATAATGGCAAGCTTCTCTCCTATCTTTGGTGTGACAAAGCCGAGCACTACTCTGCCAACTGTCATACCAAGCCAGAAACCGGTGGCGGACATGCCACTCGCGAAGTTGGCAGCATGTCTGATCCCTAAGGAGCAGGTCAGAGGGTTGAAGGTCGGTGCATGGCTTAAATTGGAGAAGGAAGGACTTACGAATCATGAACTCCACGATCCATCCACCTATAGGCAAAATGTCAGCAATGTTTCTTATTTGAAGTGAGAGACAGTTGCGCTTGAGGACATACCCAAAGCGACCTCCACGCCCACGTATCCCAGTAGAAAGAGAGCACACAACCAAGTCACGCGGGCGGCTGGCTTCTTGAGAGTTGCTTCTTTCAGTCTGGATCCGCCCTCATTAGACGTACGGGCGTTGGCTTCACGAAATTTTGCTCCAGTCTCTTTCCAAAATGCATGGGGAGACAGTGCCAATTCAAGGCCTGCGAATCCGACCATGCAGTAGTACCAGTAGTACCATGGCAGATTGGCCTTGGTTATCATCGTCGTCGCGATCAACGGCGCGATTGTTGCACCGAGACCGTAGAAAGCATGTAGGCAGCCCAGGACCTGATAAATTTTAGCTTGCCGCTTTGAATACCGACATATCGATATGTACCTCATTTGCGTTCGCCATGTCACCCAGCCAGGCATTCCATCCAGCATCCAGCAGCCCGTTACCGAAGCCGGCAATGATGAAAGATACAACCAGAACGGGGTACGGTGGATGAACGGCATTGATGATGTATGCGAGGAGATGGCAAAGAGGTCCGAGGAATGCAACTCCGCGCTGGCCAAATTTCAGGTGAATCGCGTTGTTGAGGATTGCGCTGAGATTGTAGCCCACGAAAGGCGAGAGGAAAACGAGAGATACCACAGCATATTCCAGATGGTAGTAACCCTGGAGGTAGGGAATGATGGCTCCGTAAGTCGCATCGTTCATACCCATGATCACGAAAGCCCAGAACGCCGCCGCCAGCTTGTAGATGTTCCTCCTTGGGAAGTTCCATGTTTCGGGTCGCTCAGAAGCTGTCGTCGGCGAGGGGAGAGTTTCGTTGCGGTCGTCAGAGGAGTCATCAGTTTTTCTCGAACCTAGACTCCTTCCGCCGATGGAAGGTCTCTTAGAAGAGGTGTCGATATCAGTCCTCAGGCGGACCGGTTGCAGCTCGATGGGCTCCATTGTCATGGTTGACGAGCCAGCATTTGATCTCTCGATGGCCATGACTGCCGGTAGTTGTTGCTGTGAAGGTAGGAGACAAGACAAGAGATGGATTTACAATGAAGCGAGGCAAGGAAGTGGCAAAGGAGACGGAACAGCAAGAGCGATTGTGAAAACGAGTACGGCGTTCAATACCAATTGCAGCTTACCGCATGTCTTGCAGCAGACAGGTGTCGAGAGAGTGAATGATTGGCGAGCCGTACGTGTGCAAAATGCCGTCAATCCTGACGGGACAGGAATACCGAATGCCTCATGCCGTGCGTTGTCGTGACGGACCGTCGGCCCTTTTGTCGGCGTTCGCGTATAGAGGGGTTGGTTGTCACGAGGAGAAGGAAGATCACATGATCTGCACATGAAGTGAATGTTCATGTGTACTGTAGTTTCTTGTGAAAGGCGATGAAGGAGGAAGAGGTGGACGTGACGAAGACCAGACGTGGTTGTTTTGGCTGACCCATGTCTTCATTTCGGGAGCAGCCGAAGCCTCTCACTTTTGGCCCGTGACCACATCTTTTGTCGACTCGCCTCCGTGACTTCATCGCCTGCCTGCCATCAACAACTACAGCATCTTCAGACGGCGGGCTTGAGAAAAGATGGACGGCGTCGATGCCACCGATCGCAGCGGTGACCACTCAGAAGTCGAACCGCCTGCCCTGCTGACCATCATCCTCGACACCAACCCGCACGCCTGGGCCTTGCTGGAAAAGTCGTTGCCGCTGTCCAAGGTCGTGGCGAATCTCCTTGTCTTCATCAACGCCCATATCGCCATCAACCATGCCAACCGCGTGGCGGTATTGGCCAGCCATGCTGAGCGCGCTGAATTCCTCTACCCAACACCAGCTCGAGCACAGTCCGCGGCATCACATGCCAACGGGGCAGGAGACGGCGACGTGAGCATGACCGACGGCAATTCCATGGGACGAGGGGGTCCAGTCCAGGCGCCCGACGATGCGAACAAGTACCGCCCGTTCGCCCACATCGAGCACGCTCTTACCAGCAATCTGCGTGATCTGATGAGCCGCACCACTCCAGCTGCATTATCTTCAACTCCGGCCACAATGATGGCCGGTGCCTTGACGATGGCACTGACCTACATCTCCAAGCAGTCTGCTGCGCTTCCCATGGGAAACACGACGTCACAATTCAACTACTCCGACCCAAGCGCCATGGCGGGTGGGAACGATTTCTCTTCCGACGGCACAAGATCGAGCGGGGCCATGGGCCTGACTTCACGCATCCTTATTCTGTCAGTGTCCGGCGACCTAGCAAATCAATACATTCCCGTGATGAATTCGATCTTTGCGTGCCAGCGACTGAGCATACCGATCGACATCCTCAAGCTGGCTGGCGACACAGTCTTCCTTCAACAGGCAGCTGATGCGACAGGCGGCGTTTATATGGCGCTGGACAATGAGACTCGAGCTGGCTTCTTACAATACCTCATGTTTGCATACCTTCCGGATCAGACTGCGCGAGACCACTTGATCATGCCAGGCGAGGGTGAGGGTGTGGACTTTCGTGCGGCATGTTTCTGTCATCGACGAGTCGTTGACATTGGCTTCGTCTGCTCGATCTGTTTGAGCATCTTTTGCGAACCATTGCATGACAGTACATGCTTGACTTGCGGGAGTCACCTCACCATGGCAAATTATGGTCAAAAGCCAGCCGTGGTCCCTAAGAAGAAGAAAAAGAAGAAGCGACCTATCGATGGCGCTGCGACTCCAGACAGTCGAGCTGGCACTCCATTACCGTCTTGATGACTTTGCATGAGTGTGGGGTTAGCGAGGAGTTGGAACGGACGTCTCTTTTACATTATCAACGATATTCGCCACCACAGTCACCGAGCAGATCAATCAACTGCTTTCTCCTACTTCTCTCGAGAATGTCACCTATCGCTCCCTGGTCGGCGTCATCCAGCCGCCATCCATACGTTGCCAGGTTCTCTTTTGCATGCTCACTGACACCCATCCGAGTGCCCACGATGACTGCACCCACATAGGGAAAGTCGAGTACCCATCTTGCTGCAACATTGGATATGGTCACATTGTGCTTCTCGGCAATCTTCTTGAGTGTATGCAGAAGTTCTTGAAACAGATCCCAGCCACCCCAGTTGACAATCATCTCGTAGTATTTCCGTTGACTGGGTGTTATGCCGCCATGGAAGAGTTCAGGTTCAGGCTGAGCGAGCCATTTCTCGGCAATGAACCCGCCACATAGTGTGCCGTATGTGAGTAGCTTGATGTTATGCTTCTCACAAGCTGCGCCCATTTTGAAGACAGGTCGAGAGTCGATCAGCGAGAACTGGACTTGGTTGGTGTGGATCTTGATGCCTGCTTGGACGATTTCCTCGAGACGCTCGGTGTCGAAGTTGCAAAGACCAAGCTGGCGCACTCTTGAGTCTTCTTGCAGGTACTTCAACGCTTGGATGTCTTGCTTGTCGTTGTAGAATTGCCAGTGGAACTGCAGCAGGTCGACATGGTCAGACCTCATCCTCTGACATCGTTCCAAAACGTTTGCTGTGATGACTTCGCGGGTCACAGTTATGGGCGAGAAGATGCAGTATTTCGTTGCTCCAAAGATGCTATCGGGGTTCGTGCATGAGGCTCGAAAGTTCCCAAAAACGATCTCTGCATCGCCGTAGTGGTCCGCCATGTCGTAGGCGACGAAGCCCTGAGACACATGCGCTTGGAAATGCTCCTGGATCTGTTTGGTGGACGCTACACCCCATGACGGGCTCGAGAGTTGCCATAGGCCGGAGAATAGTCGCGGGAGGGGAATATTGTTGAGGCTGAAGGTCTCTATGCTGGCTGGTATAGCGGGGACCTTGAAAGATGCTTCGTGCGTGCTATTGGGTCGGCCAGAAGATGAGTCGCCGCCACTCAATAGACCAGTCAAAGCGGTGAAACTCCGTTCGAAAATGAAGTCATTGCTTGAGATGCTCTGCAAATGTTGCATCGAGTCGTGCAATTGCACCAGAGAGGCCCTCTCTTCAGTCGAAAACAGTCGAGTGCCTGAACTTGACAGAAGAGTCTTTTGCACCGCTGTGACGGTCTGCACAATGTCGCCGTCCAAGGCTGAGAGAAGCTTGGTTAATTGAGGCGACAAGACATTGTTGTGTCTAGCGACGTCTTTGATTATGTCAGTCAAGATAGGGACTGCTTCGTAGCACATGCCGCAACCGAGCATAGATCGCATCCTTTGTTGAGCTGTCTGCAGCTCCTTCGTGGGTATCAGCCCATCGCTGCTTGATTCCCAGAAGCCGAAACGTTTTCGAGATGTCTTGCGCAGATAATCCCTGCTTCGATCTTCGAAAGTTGATGTGATGGACGGATCTGTCGCTAGCATTGACCGCAGAACTGAGCGTAGGGCTTCTTCGGGTAAGTTTGCTATTACTGTATCGGCCATGAGGTTGACGTGTGCCATCTTGACTTCTTTATGTTGCGCCATGTCGAGTCCAAACCGTGTAGTCGAGGGTGAGGTCAATTCGGTGTCCAGAGTACCTTCCTAGGAGCTGAAAGTCAGGTGTTAATTGTGACAGACCTCTCAGGTAGCCGTGCTCGAGTTTGTGGCAACATGTTCTACTTGTGTGTTCAGGTCTAGAACTACCGGCAAGAGGTGAAGTCCGGCCGGCAAAGGGCGAAGACTTGGCCGGCCCGCGGTTCCACCTCATCCAGAGACGCGTGCTCTTCCATCATCACCACAACAACAGTGGAATATATCACTTCAACATCAACATCAACTTCAATTGCTTATTACATCTGCACCCCGAGTCCGAGTACTCCACAAGCTGGGTTCTTCGTCATCCACTGCCAGGCAAAGGCACTGCTGTCGTCTCGGCGTGACTGAACTGCCGTCTTCCAATTCGGGTGATCCTCAATTGAGACGCGCAATTGGGATCGGGGCAAGCGACCAGTGCGTCGGATGACATCCAGTCGTTCGCATGGGATACGCGTTGTTTTGCTGCCAGCAGCGGAAGCACCGCAGCTACCGCCGGTCAGCATGCCAAACTCATCACATCGGGGCAACGCAAGACACGCACCCAGACTGTATATGCTAAATCCTTGGTCATTTGGCAAGTGAAGCATTTCCCCTCTCAAGATGAAGTGATCTCCCTCCTTGGCCCCGCAATATATTTTCTTCCCCGGTGGACAAACGACCTCGACCTTCAGATCATACAGCGTGAAGGTATCGTCCATGTTGATATGAAGCCTCCGCTTTCAGCACGGTAAACATGAAGCTTCTTCCCATCATTGACTCACAGTCCGATCCTGTCGCTTCCCACTCTTAGCGTGGGAGTGAAAAGAGTATCTTTGTCCCCTCGTAAAGCCGCAGCGCCTATCTCGGCCGGCGAAGCTCTCGGCCAGCAGGACCCGATCCAGGAAGCGTGTTGCCCTTGAGCTTTACAGTATTCACTCCAACACCACAGCAGAGGTCTCGGTCCGGGGCCAAGAGGATTTGAATCTATCAGATATCAAGCATCCGGCTTACAGGCGATCCACAAAGCTTCGATTGGCCACCCAGCTACTTGGTAGGCCTTGTCTTAACGCTGGTATTGACATCCCGGCTTCGACGAGTACTCACTGCACGACACTGTCTCTGACTACACTTCGAGAGCACGTCGACGCACCCTAAACACAATGGAAGACGACAAGGCCCCCAAGATGGGCATCTCAGGAACTGTCGTCGAGGCCGATGCTGCTGTTCGGGGCGACATTGAAGCTTTACCATTGGGGACTAATCAGGCTGGGGTCAAAAGAGACCTCAAGCGGAGGCATATCAACATGATAGCTTTGGCGGGCATGATTGTATGAACAGGATGCTCTGCCCACAACCGAGGAGACTGACGATAGATAGGGCACGGGCCTTTTCCTTGCATCTGGACAGGCAATTGCAACAGCTGGGCCGGTCGGAGCGTTGCTTGGATACCTTGTGATGGGCCTCATTACCTGGGGTGTGGCTCTTATGACTGGCGAGATATCTGCCTTCATGCCAGTCACTGGCGGCTTTGTGAGACATGCTACGAAATTTGTTCAGCCTGCTCTCGGGGTGGCTACCGGATTCAACTTCTGTAAGCTTCGACGTGGCCCCTTATCTGCTTATGCTGACCGTGTGTTGAGGGTACACCATGGCTATCACAGCCCCTGCCGAGTTATCTGCTGCTGCGACAGTGATCAACTTCTGGAACACATCCATCAACCAAGCAGTGTGGTTCTCTGTCTTTATCGTAGTCATCGTGGCTCTCAACTTCAGTCCTGTCCGGGCTTACGGAGAAAGCGAAGTCTTCTTTGCCGCACTAAAGATTCTCCTCATCATTGGTCTCATCATTGCCGGCATAGTTGTTGATCTCGGCGGCTCGCCTGGACAAGATCGATTGGGGTTCAGGTACTGGAAGAACCCAGGACCTTTCAACAGCTATCTGGTTCCTGGAAATACGGGTCGCTTCTTGGGGTTCTGGTCTACGCTGATCTCGGCTGCCTACAGTTTTGCCAACGTACAGGTCATAGCTCTCGCAGGCGCCGAGACGCAGAACCCCAGGAAGGTAATACCAAATGCGGTGCGAATGACCTTCTGGCGTATACTCGTCTTCTACGTGCTGTCGATTTTCGTCGTTGGTATGTGATCGTGCAGACGACAGACAAGCTTCCGTGCTAACATGTCGAAATCCCAGGCCTCCTGGTACCTTACAACGACCCGAACCTTGGCATATCGACCGGCACCGCACAGCAGAGCCCATTCGTCATTGCATTTCAGCGCGCTGGCATAAAAGTCCTACCAAGTATCATCAATGCCGTAGTCTGTGAGTAAGAGCCTGGGAAGACGCCCCACGAATCGTATACTGATATTAGCGGTTCGTAGGCACCAGTGCGTTCAGCACCGGCAGCTCTTGTGTCTTCCTAGCCTCGCGTACGCTTGTCGGCCTGGCTGAGGAATCTCAAGCGCCGCAATGCTTAAAGTGGACGAACCGTTTCGGAGTGCCCTACATCGCAGTCGGCAGCAGCTGTATCTTCCTTCCGCTGACGTATCTGGCATTGGGGACCAGCAGCAGTGTGGTCTTTGGCTGGTGAGTACCCCTCCGTCATCAGTTTTGGACGTGGTATGAGCTGATGACATTCTTAGGTTCGTCAATATAACGACTGTGGCTGGCCTGATCGGGTGGCTCGTGATATGTGCAACATATCTTCGCTTTTACTATGGCCTCAAAGCTCAGAACATCGATAGAGATCGTGAGCATCTTCAAACATCTGAAAATGTACATCGCGGCTGATCATGAGTAGGTCTGCCATACCAAAGCCCTTTGCAACCTTATATGGCTTGGTCCACCCTTGGGGCGCTGGTACTCGTGATCCTCTTCTCAGGTAAGCATCGGTCAAATATCATGTAAAGCCCATGTAACTAACGGCAAGAAGGCTATAGCGTGTTCTTCCCTGGACATTGGAGTGTCTCAAGCTTCCTCACTTATTACATTGACATTGCTATCTTCATTGGTGAGCTCGCCTCTCCATGTCTTGTTCAGCATACCATGTCTTGTTCAGCATATGTATCTGACAACATGCCGACAGTCTTATGGGCCTTGGCCTGGGCGGTTTTCAGAACAAAAGCCGTTTCGCTCAAAGAGATGGACCTGTCGGAGATCTACGTTATTGAACAGGAGAAGGAGCAAGAGGTTGACATGAGCGTAGGTGAGCCTCGTATGGCATGGTGGCGAAAATGGATCATATAAGTTCTTGGGACGACTTCGATGGCTACTATGATACAGATCGACCGATACGCACAGCGTCGTCCCGTTCAAAACATCTCGTATCGCCAGCTCATGTCTACCATCTGCTGTGTAACACCACCTTTCATGGCCTTTGCGATCAGCTGTGGGTCCCCAGACTCGAGGCGTTTGTTTTCCCGCAGAACGAGCCAGCGATAGAGGGTGATGACGCCTGCAAACAGTAAGGCGCATGCCATCAAAGCGCCAAACGCCGCATAGTAGTGCGGCGGAGCATAGTACAAGTAGCTGGTCCAGATGTTGCTTGTTCCACCAATGGCATTGACGAGGGCACTCGCGGCCGCACGCTTGGATACAGGTCGGGCTAGATGGAGGTTGATAGTCTTGTACAGCAGGATTTGAGGCCCGACCTTTGAAGCATGTCAGCGAATTGAAACGACAGTCATATGATGACGACTTACCGATGAGAACGGAAGGATCATCATGGAGAAATACCGCGCTCCGATATTTGTCGTCGCCATTGGGATGATGTACATGGCTGTTGCAATCGAGATGCAAAGCATGATAATCGGGTACACTGTGTTCTTGCGGTCCGAATAGAACATGATTCCATAATAAACGAAACCGGCGAGGATGTACGGTGGAGCTGTGAGCAGCAAGCTTATGGTGCTCGAGTATCCAAGCGATGATACCAGGGAAGGAAAGAAGTTGGCGATCGATCCTTGGCCTTGGGAGAGCATGTTGCAGAGGATCAACAAGATGAGTTTTGGGTCCGACAAGGCTTTCGCAAATCCTCGAAGAACGCTCTCGTCTTCGGTGCCTTCCGCCGCACCAGCTTCGTTCTCGATACGCCAGACAGCAAGGTCTCGCTCGATGGGAGGAAGGATCCGGCAGTTATGTGGGAACTCAGGTAAGATGCAAGCACAAATGGCTCCAATCCCGACTGTGGCTGAGCCTTCGATGATGAACAGCCACTGCCAGCCAGCAATGCCGTGCGCGCCATCAAGTTGGAGTATTGCAGCTGCAAAAAGGCCGCCAAAGGCATTGCCAACTTGCTGTGCAATGTACAGGCCTGCAAACCGTTTCCCCAGCTCTTTCTTGGTATACCAAGCTGACAGATAGTAGATTGCTCCAGGAAAGAAGACGGCTTCGACCATACCCAGGATTGCTCTGACTGCAAGCAGCTGGCCGTAGTTCTTGACCGCGGCTGTAGCAGCAGATATCCCTCCCCAGACGACCACCGCTCCGCAGATGTACATTCCTGGTCTCGGGATCTTGGTGATGATGAGGTTACTGGGGATTTGGAAAGGCAGATAGCCGACGAAGAGGATGGATATGGCCGTGGCGAAGTCTTCCGTGGTCAGGTGAAGGTCTTCCATGATGCCCTGCAACTTGGCTGCTGAGAGATTCTGTCGGTCGATGTAGTTGAGGATGTACAGGATTCCGATGGCTGGTAAGATGAGAAGATCGATCTTGCGGACGAGCTTTTTCTCAAGACGTCGGAACTCTTCATCGCTGAGCGCTCGAAGCGACTCTGGTAGAGTTTCGGCGGTAACGTTGTACTCTTCGACGTCGCCTTCGATGATGGATTGTGTTTTCTCCAGGTCTGCCTGAACTGGCTCTTTGCTGCTGGCCATGATGGAAGAGCCTGCTGCTTCACAGGCAGGCCGTGGTGTTTCAAGTGAACTATTTTATGACAATCGATGCAGGACGGTCTGAACCAACGACATAACGAATCATTGTGATATTTATCTCGCTGACAACCAGCTCTATCTGCTATCTTGCCAGATGTGGCGCTCTGACAATGTACAGAGTTGAGGCACAGATAAGACGGATAGGATTGGGAGGAGTAAGGAGGAGCAAGGGAGGCGCGGCCGGCCAAAAAGGGGCTATACCAAAAGTAGTATGATGAGAGCTCCTCCCTGTACCCTGTACCTTTGTAACGGCAGTTGTGTCAACAACGATGTCGCTATTTGATATACAAGAGCAGAGTACTACCTTTTTCCAAAGACATTCGCCCATCATCCAACCTCCAGAACCAAGCAAACATGTCACCACCACCGAATTCGACTTACCTTACGCCACAGACCACCAAGGTTCAGAACACAAGGCTGCGGTTACTCAATGCCCTCCAAAATGGACAGTACCCCCTCCTGACCTTCATGGCCATACCATCGGTGCGGATGGCACAGATAGTCGCGTTGACAGGCCTCGACGGGATCATCATCGATTGCGAGCATGGCAACATCGACGACGCAGCAAGCCACGACTCTGTCGCCGCAATCTCAGCACTGGGTGTATCACCAATTATACGAATCCGGGGTCCCACTCACGACATCATCAAACGGGCACTTGATACTGGCGCACATGGCATCATGGTTCCCCAAATCAACACCGCAGAAGAGGCGCGGCAAATCGTTGCATCGTCGAAATTTCCCCCACAAGGCGTTCGAGGACAAGGCTCAGCTTTTCCAGCCATTGCACATAGGTTGACAACACCTCAATATATGCAGTCAGCCAACGAGACGATCATCACTATGATTCAAATTGAGACCAAGGCCGGAGTCGAAAATGTGGACGAGATCTGTACCGTTCCAGGGGTTGATCTTGTTTTCATTGGACCCAACGATCTTGCACAGTCACTCCTTGGCTATACACCGGCCAAAGGGGACGAGCCAGTCTTTCTTGAAGCGCTGGACAAGATTGTTGCGGCTGCTCGGCGGCATGGCAAATGGGCAGGTCGTATGGTGAACAATGGCACAGTGGCAAAGGATGTGCAGAAGACTTTCGACATGGTGGCGGTCACCGGTGACACAAAGGCTATGCAAAATTGGTACACCAGTGAGATTGCATTGGTACGGAAATGAGAGCATGGTATTGAGAGCGGAGTTCGATGTATGAAGGAAAATCGGTTTTCTATTGGTAGCCTTGGCTTTGCGTGGAGCGAGAAACTATTGAACAGGATCGATGAGATTAAAAAACTCCTATAATATAGCTTCTCTGTACGCACTTAACACCTCCGGGCACTCAGGACGTGCTTCATTGTCACATATCATGGGTTGACTCCATGGCATATCCAATTGTAGAGCTCCCAATTTCTTCGACCCAAGCTCATTATCGCTGCTAATAGGAAGCAGTATTGTCGGAGAGGGTAACATATGATCTGGAAACTGCAGAGACCGTAGAGCACAGCAAGGTCAAGGGGTCTAATGATTGAGGGGCAATCGACTGCCAGATATAACGATCTGTTGAATTTCGAATGTAGACTTGGTATGCCTGAAAATATTCTTTCTATTGGTATCTCTATGCTTGCGCAATGCATTCAATCTCAATAACCGTGCCATTGCCAGGTGCCACCGCTTGAAGGCATGATCGCGAAGGCATGGGCTGTGGTAGAAAGTCTATGTATGCCTCATTCATCGCAGCGAAGTCCTTCATGTCCGCTAGGTAAACATTGTACTTTACTACCCGATCTAATGACGAGCCCGAAAGCTCGAGTACTTCTTTGAGATTTTGAAGTACAGTCCTCTACACCAGAAAATGTTAGCGATCTCCTGGGACAAGGCTGTGATCTGTGGATGACTTACGGTAGCTTGTTTGATTTCTCCTGTCGCAGTTTGGCCAGCGCAAAAGACAAGTCCTGGCACCTTCACAGCGGGACCTGATCCATAAAGTTAGAAAGTTGATCAGTTGGCCAGGATGTTAAACGCACAGTTATGTGGTTTGGTGGGAAACTTCTCGCTAGAGATCAATTGTCGAGACATCTTCTGTGTATGTGTAGGTGTGTGGGTGTGTTGTACTTGTGGAATTGAGGTCGAATGGGATTGAGGTCTTGGTATGAATTGGCTAGAAGGCTGATCATGAGCATTTATTGAAGTGTTGATTGAATTTCGCACTAAGGCTTGAGGTGCTCCTCCCTGTGGGTCGTTCCGATGTGTACATGTGCACGATAGTTTCTGCCCCGCAGCATGTCTCTGCCTCTACTCCTCCTTATCGACTCCTCCTCCTTAGCGACTCCTCCTATTCTCACTCCTCCTCCTCCGCCTCCTCCTCCTCCTCCTCCTCCTCCTCCTC